ACCTGAGAAATATCCAGACTAAAATGATTCATAGAAGGACAGCTGTATAATTATGTGTTACAGCAAACTTTTACTATAGTGGAAAGTATATTACCAAGAATTAAAACGAAAATGGGAAATTAACAACCAACAAATTAATTTGCATGGTCGACAAGGGATGCTCACTCCTCCTTGGCACCTAATCCCACCTCTTATGTTGTTGGAGGTCCACGTTCGCGCTGCTCCCCATTTGTAATGTTTTAATTGAACTTTGAACCTAGTCTGTTTGAAATCTTCTTATCTCAGGGTAAACTTTTACAACTCCAACGCAAATAAATAAATAAATGTACATGAAATTCAATTTGTTACTTTCACCAATCTTAAGTACAATAATTGTACTTTTGCAGTACTATTAAAATTTCTGTAACACCAATAAAGTTACTGATAAAGTGTTTCAGTATTATTATTCAAATCTCTGTAACACAGTGAAAGATCCTGATCCACAGATTTACAGTTTAATCGTCTCCTTTGTCTTTTTTCATTTTTTCCTTCACGCCTGACAAGATTCCTTTTATCTGTTCTCGTCTCTGTGGAAACAAAAAATAAATAACCTTTGTTGAGACTGATTATTCCTTAATAATCATTACACAAACGTAACTTTCCTTTTATCATGAATGTACTAAATCATACTTGCTTGTATATATTCCTATATCTTGAAATTTGAATTTATTTTTCTCTTCACAGAAAACGAAATCTCTTACCCCCCACATGACAGCTCCACATCCAACGAAAGCGATGACGACGACGATGATTGTGATGATAACCCCTGTTTTGAGGTCATCGTCAGCCACTTCTGTGGGGTCCACTTTCTTGGGTTTCGCCTTGGGTCCATTTTCTTCTCCAATTATCACGGCTTTCTGGTTGACATCCGTTTTCTTGTTAGCATATATAGATTCTTCCTGAAAAATAATGATTATGACTATGCCTTTAGCATTTCTTGATTTTTAATACCTTTTTTCTAAAGCATTTGTTTTTTATTCGGCTTGCTTGTTATGATTCACAATGTGTTTTTCTAAGAACATTAATTTAATTTCATTTATTGGGGTCCAACAAACTTTAAAAAATGTTAAGGTTAATTAAATCGACCGGGATTGATTTTGACATGACATGGTGACAACAAATTATGTTGCCGAGTGCCTCTTTTAACTTTCTCCGATTTTAGGCGGAATACCCCATACTTGATTCAAACATATATAATACCAAAAAATGAGTAGAGTACTTATACATGTTATATGTATTTCTATATAACAACAATATTCTGATTTCTCTACCGTATCATTAGAGTCTTTGGTAGAAGTTCCTGCAGTGGTGACATTTTGGGGGACATCATGCTTCTTCGTGTGTCCTTCCTTGCGTTTCTTCGTGGGTTGTTCGCTGTGTTTCTTTGTGTGTTTAACGTTGTGCGTGTATGTGGGTTGTTCGCTGTGCGTCTTTCTGTGCCTTACGACTCGTCTTGCAGCCCTTTTCTGGATAACTTTTAGTTCATCATCATCATCATGTCCAACTGCGTGATATGAACAATTTAACATATACCAAGAAAGACAACCTTTGCTATATATCAAATATCCTTTTAATTTCTAGTCAAATTTCAAAAAGAAAATGTATTCAACTTACGTTTCTTAACTGCTGTTTCAATTTTCTACAAAAAATATTTTTTTATTAAGGTCATTTTAATAACGGTCATCAACAACAAAAAAGTTCATGCGTGGCTTCGTGTGCAAAATTTAGTAACTTACTGAATAATAACTTACTGAATAAAAATTACTTTTTGGTATACTAGGATTCTTTCCCACTTGAGCTATTCGAACTATTTTAGACGATGGATCTCTATCTTAGTAGCTGCTATTTTTGTAATGTCAGGGCTTAATAACCCTGTACCAATTGAAAATCTACTATTTTTTTTCCAAAAATTAAGGTAAAAAATTCTTCTCTTGTTAAAACAAACTTGAATTTTGAGATTTTATTGATTCATAAAGATGTAAATAGGAAATAAGCATTCAAAGTACCCGGTAACTCTTTATTCGTCATTTTAAAAAAGTAAATGATCTCAATATTTCCAAATTTTGCCACTATTTCGATTCAAAATTTCCAATTGGAAGGGAACAGGACCTTGTGCCAAAAAGGGTCAGTTAAGCTCTGAATGTTTCATTTCCTTAGATTTCGAATTTACTAGGCCTACCATGTCAATACCCTGGTTATTACAGTTACATGTATCTGTGTTTGTTAGTATACTGCACTGACCTGTAAAACTATTTTCTAAGTTTCTTTTGTATCTTATTTCCTGCATTAGACGAAGTATTACGTTATTATTGTCGCTACCAAGTGCTGTATGGCATACTTCCGTCTACACCGTCTACACCGGTGTCGACTGATTACACTGAACAGTGACTAAGTCCTGTCCTTTATATAGGGGTCTGCAGATATAGCGAGAATCCGAACAAAAATGGCGGACACAACCCTTTTACGAATCGTGTTCAGCTTTAAGGGATAGTTTCAATGAAGAAAATGGTTAAGCTGGAATGCTTATGCAGATTTTTTTTTAATATGAATGAAGAAGGGGTTTTGGAGGGGGCTGCAACTCTCATTTAGTAGACCTAATTAAGTCCAATTATAAAGAAGAAAATGTTTACCTGGCTCTCGGTTTCTTTACTTCCAGCAGATATATTTACGTACAAACACACAACCAATACGCAGGATATTCCTTCAAAATAAAAAAAAAATATATCTTTTCCGTTTATAATCGGAATCAAAAATCAATAAGTAATGACTGATATAGAGGGGACACAGTCTGCAGAAATCAGTCATCATTAAAATCTCCTTATCCTTAACGGTTAATGCTCTTAAAACTCAGACAAATCCGACAAATTGCCAAGATATAACGGATGTCTGATCTACCTGCAGCTTTTCTAATAATACGCTCACTGTTTCAAGGTTAAATCACAAGCAACAAAACAACACTTACCTATCAAATTGCATACTTTTATGTATGTTACCATTTCGTCTGCTCTAAGCAAATGTCAGCAACACACTGGAAGACATTCCAGTAAACTAAACGTAAACGATATACGGAAAAAGTAAAAATCCCGAAATAAGACATTTTAGGGTATAAGTGTTTTACGTAAACTTTTATAAATTATTAAGGAAAATATTTGAAATAGAAACTAAAGATCAATATCTATACAATAGAACATATTTGATTGAGTTGACTATATAAAATGGTCCTCATTTGTAAATGTCATCAGAAATTTATCTTACTTAGAGGGATATTACACCTCAAGTTAATTTAGAAACGAAGACTAATGTCCACCCATCTCCAACCCAACAAATCCTCCCAATATTTTTTTTTCAATTTTAAAAATGAGAAACTTTGTTTTTTGAAAGCTTTCTTTAAACGTAAACAAGACTGTTGACATCCTTGCTTCATCAACTTGTTGGTAAATAACTTGCCTGTGTTAAAAATCATTCGTATTAGATTAAAGCAGGTATTTATATGTACGTATCGACAATACATCGTTGATAAATCTAAATGCCGAGTTGAAGACCACAGAAATTTTTCTTCTTCTTTTTATGTAAATAAGTTTTTAAAATAAATTCTTCTTTATATAAATACAAAAATAGATATGTTAATAACGGGGCGGAATTGGTGCCCATGTGAATTCCGACAGAGTGTTGGAAGACTTGATCTCCAAAAATTACATAGATATTGTAAATCGGAAACTCTAGGTAAAACACTTGATAAGCTAGCTCCCTATATACATAGCGAGGCAGCATCAGTACCTTATAAACTGTCCACTACAATTCCTCCTCTCAGGGAACCTTTGTCCTCAAGCCAAGCATGAATTCTCTCTAAGTGCCTGAGGACTCTTCTGTAACTAGAGCCAATGCCGTCCACGAACACCAAGTCCGAATATGAACGCTAAGTCCTACCACTAGACCTTTCTGAAACAGGTCAGTGACTTTTTTTTCAGCAACCTCTCGTTCACACAAACGAAGTCTGCAAATGGACACTTAAGTCCTAGCTTCTTGGCTTCCTGAATCACGAACACATGCGGAATCCCACCACTGCAACCAATTTTGTTACATGTAGTGGTCGGTTATAACCATTGCTTAAACTTGCCTAAACTAGAGGGAGAATCTATCACAACACAGATAAGCTAGCTCGCTAGCGAAACGGTACAAGTTTCAAATATCCTGTCTGCTACACTATCAATTTGATGGGCGGTTTAACATTGTCAGTCAACTATTCCTGTTGGCTGTAAGATGGTCTTTACAGAGAAGGTCCATTAAGTCCAGATCATGCAACATTGTGGGTTCAACATTGTTTTTACATTAAAGGTCAATCAACTTCGTGAAGGAGTAATATTACCATTACAGTGAAGGTCAATGCATGATTGGATGAGAAATGTTTGAGCTATTGTAAAAAAAAATAGGTTTACAGGCAGAAAATGATACGACCCCAAAACTGATATGAACAGGTGATAACGGATAGTGATTAATTCCATCTACGATACAAATTCAGAACATGGCATGGACTGTTAGAAACTCCTGAGGTGGGATCAAGTGCCTACGATAGTAAAACATCCCCTGTTGACCAATCACACTCAATGTTAGCCCTGTGTACTGATCAGATAGAAATTTGGTATTTATGAAACGCAGACTCTGATTGTGGTTGTTTGTTGAAATCTCTGCGACATCAACGTATTTGTAAGTTGCCTGCTTTGGTTTTTTAACTGGTCATGGTTAGATGTTGCCCTTAAGTTTAGAACAACTTGAAAGACATAAACACCATATGCAGGTAAACATGGAATATAATCCTCTATAGTACAGTACGCCTGGATGGTACCTGACAGTGATTCCTTTTTGAATACATGGTGATTACGCACATGTATTTCAGAGATGAATTTAATTTTTGAAGATTCATGAGGTTATGAACTACGACGCTTCACGCCAGCATAGTTCATGAAGCGTGTTAGCGCTTCATTATAAATATGCATGCGTGAAGCGTTGTAGTTCATATACCTCATGAATCTTCAAAAATTAAATTCATTTCTTATATTTACATTTTTTTTATGACTTGCCATAAATTTACGCCATTAAACTGTCATTTTTAAAGCAAAACAGTGTGCACTATATTTTTTGACGTCAAGAGCGGTACATGCATTATGAAATTACAATGAAGATATTCATGCTTATTTGTGGTACATACGTAATGTAGTTCTTGAGAAAATGAACTGCATTTTTTTTTTGTAAAGAATCATAGGGGAAATTTATTGGAAATGGAAATATAATAAAATATATGATGTGAACGGCCCCTATCTAAATGTAATAATTGGTGGAACTACTGAGGCTCCAAAGTTCTTCATAAAGAGGCTACTTATCATCATAGTAAATATAATCCTTCCTCCAATTAGCTTAATTGAAAACAACGCATTGTCAATTTTGAAATTAATTTTTATTGCCCTTAACATACATACTGATAACTTATATATATGTACACCAATAGTAATGATGCATATGAAAAAATATATAATAAAGGCATTCATAACCTATTAAATACCAAGGGCCATAGTAAAACATTAAAAGTTACATTTCTGACAAACATAAGTCTTTAGGAGGGGGAAGCACCAATACAAAGTCCAATGCTATGAGTGATCTCCTCCTATTTAATGTTATAGTATATACTGTGAGGTTCAATGGGAGATAACCTACTCGTCTATTTCTTGAAAATGTATGATCCATGCATTTAACAAATCATGATTCTAATTTTATGATTTTGAACATCTAGTTTCACCCTTCTCCATAGATCTGTTGTTATTATTAGGTGCAAATATATAAAATCAGATGTTTTGAATCAAAAATATTATTTTACAATCCATTCAAATAAAAATACAATTTTAAAATTGGCGGCAATGGCAGCAGATTTTTCTTCAAAACGTCATTACAATGAATAACAAAATAGTTTGGAGACTAAAAACCAATCACCCAAATGATTAAAAGCCTTATTGACGTTTATATGGACTATGAAATCCTCCTCTGGCTATTAGAGATGACAAGGGGAACATGAGAGATTACTGTGTACAACAGAGCAGTGTTAACTCAATGTGTGATATTGATGTGGTAATAATTTATATTTCTTGAACACAATTCTACATCTTTAACACTGCATGGCAAGTATGTAGTTTACTGGACTTGACAATTTACAAACAAATACAAGTCATGTTTGTAAAACAGCTGACTCCAACACATCGTGTTAAAAAAATCCTTTTCTTTTTTGCTTAAAGGGAGGTGTCATTTTCTCTGATAGATGGTCTTGTGATGCAACTGAGCAAAATAAAATAATCCCAATGACTTGACAAACAGAATTCTGCTAACAGATTACAAAAGTAAAAGCTGGATATTCAATACACATTCCAATTCATTTATGGCATTGTACAGAACAGTGAATAACACACACTAAACTGGATAATTTAAATAATTACAACATGAAACAATTGGAATATCAACAAAAAAATACTTTCTTTTTTTTCTTTTAAAGGATGTACATATCACAAATTCAGCATGTTTAGTATGACTTATTTGATGATGGCTACTACTAAGGACAATTTTTCCAGATAGAGCTACATTATACAGCATTGCTTGTGTCCGTTACCGCGCTGCTTCAATCGAGATTTAGGACGGTAGTGTTCCAGGAACATTAACTGCTTGGCATTGATGGCTCCCCGTCTCTTTCTACAAGTCAAAAATCAAAGAATGTGTACTTCAATAAATCTTATTACTGTAGATCAGCTTATTTTGTGAGATGTTTGTTTTGGCTTTATAAGCCACCAAAATGTCATCAGTTTTGGGTTGTTTATATCATCTTGAGGAGTACTGATACACATACAAGTATTCAAATATGAGAATGAAAATTTCTCAAGGAAAGCCTCATAATCACATTACCTTAGGAATAAAGATCTTGCAAATGAAAAATGAGTTTACAGAATCAGTTTACGAAAGTGCATTCTTCAAAAAATTTGCATAAGGACTCCTCAATAGCATCATCAGAGGTCACAACAAAATATCATAGAGCAACTTTTCTTGTCAGTCTCTCTGTATGCATGATCAACCTTTGTGACATATGTAAGCATCTTAATTAGAGAGACACAATTTTCATTTTATAGAAAAGGAATGGCCACTTTCAGGCATGAATTCCATTACTTAATGAAAATGAATGACATTTTTATGAGGACAATCAGTGCAAATAATCAAGCTATATCTTGTTTTCCAATAATAAGAATTTTTGTTATTTTTAAAATGCATTTTCAGTCTTAGACCTTTCCTGGGCAAAGTATATTGACTTTGAGCCAAATAAAATCTATTTATGATGACAGTTTAATTGGGGACTTGGTACTCTTAAAGGCATGTTTATATTGATCTGTTTTCTATGTATACATGTGCAAAAAGATTTTTCGAAGGTTAGTACAATTAAATGATTTTTACTACTGGTATAAGCTCAACATGGGTCATTTACAAGGAGGAAATGTAAATAATATTTATTATGTCTTATCAAATTACATAAACTTTAAACTATGACCTCACACCTGTGACTTATCTTGTGGAAATAAAATAAGGCTATAAATTCATGAGGATTCTATAATTTTGTACTAGGACAGATCATTCCACATTATAGAAATATACAATCAGTTTGTCTACTAGGTATCCAAGAAAACAGAATTTTTAATAGAAAACATTAAATTTCAGTGGTTGGTCCCATACCTTTGACAAAAGAAATAGATCATTAAAGTCATTTACTCATGGGCATACCACTGATGAAAACTTGCTCATAACTTACTCTCTGATTAATTCAACTGCATCTTCATATTTCATTCCACATTCAATCAGTGCAAGGGCTACTAAGACTGGAGCCCTGCAAAAAAAAATCATAAATCAAAATCAGTCAACAAATAAACAAATTTCTAAGATGTTTTCAAGATCTTTTTCTATGAATCACAAAATACTTTTCCCCAGCCTCTTACTTTACAACACAGCTGCTTTAATTAACATTAGCCCCTCCTTTATATGTTGAGCCCCTCCTTTATATGTTGAGCCCCTCCTTTATATGTTGAGCCCCTCCTTTATATGTTAAGCCCCTCCTTTATATATTGAGCCCCTCCTTTACATGTTGAGCCCCTCTTTTATATGTTGAGCCCTTCCTTTATATGTTGAGCCCCTCCTTTATATGTTGAGCTCCTCTTTTACATGTTGAGACCCTCCTTTATATGTTATACCCCTCATTTATATGTTGAGCCCCTCTTTTATATGTTGAGCTCCTCTTTTATATATTGAGCCCATCCTTTTTATGTTGAGCCCCTCTTTATATGTTGAGCTCCTCTTTTATATGTTAAGCCCCTCTTTTATATGTTGTGCCCTTCCTTTATATGTTGTGCCCGTCTTTTATGTGTTGAACCCCTCTTTTATATGTTGAGTCCCTCCTTTGTATGTTGAGCCCCTCTTTTATATGTTGAGCCCCTCCTCTATATATTGTGCCCCTCCTTTATATGTTGAGTCCCTCCTTCATATGTTGAGCCTATCTTTATATGTTGTGCCCCTCCTTTTTATGTTGAGCCCCTCCTACGTATGTTGAGTCTATCCTTTATAAGTTGAACCCCTCCTTTATATGTTGAGTCCCTCCTTTACATGTTAAGTTCCTCCTTTATATGTTGAGCCCTTCATTTATATGTTGAGTCCCTCCTTTATATGTTGAGCCCCTCCTTTATATGTTTAGTGCCTCCTTTCTTAGCTGAGCCCCTTCTTTATATGTTGAGTCACTCCTTTTGTAGTTGAACCCCTCCTTAAAATGTTGAGTCCACCTCCTTTACATGTTGAACCCCTTCTTTATATGTTGGACCCCTCCTTTATATGTTGAACCCCTCCTATATATGTTTAGCTCCTCCTATATATGTTGATCCTATCCTTTATATGTTGAGCCCCTCCTCTATATGTTGACCCCATCCATAACATTGAGCCCCTCCTTTAAATATTGAACCACTCCTTTATATGTTGACCCACCCCCTCTTTATATGTTGAGCCCCTCCTATATATGTTGAGCCCCACTTTATATGTTGAGCCCCTCTTTTATATGTTGAGTCCCTCCCTCCTTTATATGTTGAGCCCCTCTTTTATATGTTGTGCCCTTCCCCTCCTATGTATGTTGAGCCCCTCCTATATATGTTGAGCCCCCCTTTATATGTTCAGCCCTTCCATTTTATGTTGAGCTCCTCCTTTATATGTTGAGCCCCTCCCCCTTCCATTATCATGTTCAGGCTTACCTCCCCAGACCTGCCACGCAGTGAACGGCTACACAACAGCCGGGTTCTTCCTTGAAGCGGGTCTTGAGCAGATTGAACCATTCATCCACCACTTCTCCTGGGGGCGGGTTACCGTCATCAAACTGCCAATCCTACAATCAGAGGCAAAACTGAAATTACTGCTCCCCATAGCTGTTACTGGACTATAACAATACCCCAGTACAGGTATCTCTTAATAGGACTAGAACAATACCCCAGTACACGTATCTGAAAAGAGGAACATTTACATACAGTTGAACTTTTTTCAAATACAATTTCAAATATTGATATCTTGAATATACAAAGGGTATGCCAAACTGATGTGGAAGTCCACTTTTTGTTTTTGTTTTTTTTTTCTGTATTTTAGCCTCAACATGCTTAATATCTCAAATCCTAAGATATCTCAAAGCATTTTCCAAGTCCCCTTGAGTTCGTGACACCAAGGTTGGCCTTTGTCATTTAGGATATCACATTCAAAGTTCCCCTACCATATTGAACACGAAATAGAAGTTAAGGAAATTGTCAATGACCTTGATGCATTAGTTGATCAGTTGTTCTTAACACAATTGAAATGGTTGTGCACCGGTTTTGTAGTTACTTTTTACAATTCATTACAATTGAAAGATGTAATAAAAAGAAACTCTACAGCTGTGATACTCCTATATCATGTTCTTTATGCTCCAGTCTAATGACCCAACACCAGCTCTCAGGGCATTGAACTTCTCCGCATACTATTGACTGATTTTACATGTTTTATACTTTACATTAAAGCATAAAAATAAAATACATTTACACATAACCATAGAAATTCAAACCCTGGAAGATCAATTTGCTAAGGCTCATTGCCTTCATGTTATTACCAGACAGATTTTTTGTTGGTGGGAATTTTATTTAATCAATACATTCTCTGAATCAGAATTTCTCTTTGGAATAAGCCCAGGTGTATAAGAAAGACTTACAAACAATTAAATGTCTGAGGTTAAATAGGGTAAATTAGGCCTTGTCTCTCCTTTACTAATCCTTTCCCTGCAGTCGATTTAAAGTCTGAACTTCCAATTCTTGTCAACTTGACAACCAGACTTAGCGGATTCTTGTTCACTTGTTACCTAACATCTACCACACAAAACTTTCAAAAAAGAAAGGGACTTAATCTTAAATAGAGCACTGCTCATTACGTCTGATGGCTGGACTTACATATTTTTATAACCTCTTGGTATATCATTTGAGAACTCTCTTTTTCCTGATCCTACACATTCTTTATTACCGATACTAAAATATCTAACAACTGGATATAAAATTTCAAGGTATACTTTAAACGTCTTGAAAAGACTGGCTCTCACTTACTGACTTAGCAGGGCTATATACTGCACTATCATCATAGCCATCCGTGATTGGAAGCAAATTGTAAGGGGGGAGGGGGTAAGCTTCAATTTTCAATGCATATATATGTCTATCTTAATTCTTTGCAAAAAAAAAAGTGGGGGGGGGGGGGACTTTTATTAAAGTTTGTAAAATTTTTATTGAAATATGAAAAACAAAATTTGACTTGCAGATGCATAAAAGGATCTACCATTTTTGCTCTGAAATTCAGGTGTTTGATAAGTATTTTTTTGTTTCTAATGAGTAGCCAAAGGTTTGTTCCGGGTGAAGAAAGATTAATCTGCCTAATTCCTAATCAAGGACAGGTGATTGTGTTTTAATCTCCTTGACAAGTCTGGGTGTAGCTGGCTCGTGTACCCTAGACAATCAATGCCTGCACATCCAGAGACACAGATCTGTCCTCAACAAGGAAGAGTTTAGTAAGTATGCCCTGGTTTTGTAACGTCTATTTTTATCTCTGTTAAAGTCCCAGTAACTTATTAACTTATTTTAAGTGTCCTTCTACATCTCCTTGGAGTCTTTGAAATCCCCTTGTTTTTACACAATCTAATCTACTTCCTTGGCAAACTATGCATTTAAAAACTGTGTACGTAAAATACATGTAATCACTGAGTGTCAATGACATATCAGATCAATACCAGTGTTTACGAGTCTGACACAAACACACGAGTTTGTGTATGGGATGAGGAGGATAGAAGGGAATGTACACATGTACAATGATCCAAGGGCATTCTCAGGTTTGATGAACATTGCTTTCACATTGACTAATTTGTACATACTATCTGAATATATTCTTTGCCTGACCAAAACGTATTCAAAATTTACTTTAAAAAAATATTGAGTAGTCACTGACCACTGGGGCATACTTAATACTGAAATTACACTACATCCACTGAACTTTGCTCAATATAGTCCAATAAATGAGAGTCATAAGGGTTGCTTATACAATAACAAAAATCTGAATCAATTCCCAGGTATTTGGATTCAGTTAATCCTGTAACTCTACATCTGGAAATCCAACTTATACTCACAGCTCACTTTCTAAGGATGAAATTCCTCAAAATCACATTCAGTCTTGAATATGTTAAACATTTCAGTCAACCAAGATGAATTAAATCTACCCTACCTCTACTGGATTCTTATCTTTATAAAATCCTTACAAAACATACATTGCTGGATACAGCAAATGCCCTTTCCATTATTCCTCATGTCTGTCTAAGCCATTTCTTATTTGTATGTTCTACTGTCTAAAGATTAAAAAGGCCAACTAACAATTAAGACTCCAGCTTCCCCATCATAACTTTTCCTATGCAGTATTAAGGTAATCGGCTATCACTTGCATATAGAGTTTACATATCCCACTAACTTGATACTCCTGATCAGCTTATTCCTCCGTTTCTTTGACTACAGAACATTCCATCTGCCTGTTCAATACATAGGATTCATGCTAGGTGTGACTGGACAACAGGGAATGCTTACTCCTCCTAGGCATCTGATCCCACCCTTGAAGTTTCCCGGGTCTATGTTTTATGTCCCTTACACAGATCTATGTTTTGTACATGATGTATCTTTTAAGTCGATCACGGTTCATTATCTTCACCTTTTTTCATTAATAAATCCACAGAGTAAAAGGATGTAAACCTGGGATGGCAAGGCTTTTTTTGGAAATCACAATTTCTTTACGGTCTATTCTAAGCTCCCTATGTGGTCAAAACATGAATAACACATTAGCAAAGCATGCTTTTAGTATAATCAACATGATCAGTAACCACGGTAACTCACCAATACTCGAATTCCCTCTTGCACTAGTTTCTCTGTTTTATAAGTTGGTTCACAAACTCTAACTACATCTTTAACTCTCCTCTTCTTCAGTTCCTGTAATATAAATGTTACATTAATTTATATATTACATACAAAATCTGATCTTCAGTCTTTACAACTATACATGCATAACAGGCACATGAAAAAGACTGCTATCTTGATCATATTTCACTTCCTTAGAGATGATTAGATGCAAGCAACTCCACTTCCTTACAAGCTTTAACGATATCAATTTACAAGTATAATATATTGATGCCTAAAATCAATTTCACAAATAACAACCTTGCTGTCCTTCTGTATTTTTGATTAAGCCAGTGACTCGTTCCTGTAAGCTTAAATTTACAGCTAAAAGAATTCTCACGAGATTTTCTTTAGGGAAAACATACATGAGGCATACTGAAATAATGAATATTGCTTTGAACCATATTTTTGTACCTAGATATCTTGCAACTAATGTACAATTGACAATGTATACCAATGTGACTTGAAAATGAAGACAAACCTCAATAAACTTGTCCATTGTTGCGTCAGTCGGGCGATCCATGATCAAGAAACGCATGTTCTTGAACTCGATTTCAGCGGGTTCTGGGCGCCGGGCCTTCATGGCGGTCATTTACAAATGAGATTTTACTCCAAATCGAAAAATAAATAAAAGCTGTTCAAGTGCAGCTGACAGTGCTATATAACTTTACATGCAAGAAATCTTGTGTCCAAGTCACTCGAAAACCACACAGATGTTCTGTATGGATGTGCGAGATTTAGGCAACTCCCATAATGTTCATGAATTTTTTTTTCTAGATGAAAGACAAATGGGTGGAATCCAAAGTCCCCACAGTAGCTTGCTCAATTACCCCATCAGTGTTTGACAAAACAAAAGTGATCCACAAAATAGTAAAATGATGGGCTGAAGCACCGAGAATTTGGCAGCCACTGAACGATTCCTAATCCTCCTATGAATTATACGTGTTGAGCCTGGCAATAGTCGCCACTGTTTGTGACAAACTCCATATATGTGAGACCAAATTCACTTTGGAACTGCAAGACAGAAAGAAAAAGCATTTATATATACTGAACATGAAATTTGTAAATGTACAAAGTTATTTCTCTTTGTCTTCTAACATGTTTAATCTACCAAAACTATTGTTTTGCATGTAGTCAAAGGTCTCTGTTCAGATGTAAACTCATTTATTTTTATTTCAGTATTTGAGGACAGACAGACACCACCTATGTTACAGTCTAACTCATCTTCTTAACCTTGGAGAATGTTTTAACAACATAATAACAGGGTTTATAAAAATCCTGCTGCTCTGTAATCTGTGTCATTACTAGTGAAGTAGGTGACACCCTAGTGCTAGATCCCCATTCAGGCTGTCTCTGTAATAGGCCCAGGTCTCTCACGCAGTGCAAGACTCGGATTTCACATACACTCCTTATCACTCTCCTTTGTCGACCACCTTGTATTTTACGTGTTCCCACACACTCAGTCTACACTAGACACCCTCTTATCTGTCTACAATAGCCCTGTCTTAGTCTGGCTGCTTTATTGCTTCATACCAGACTTAATTCAGTGATGGCTCTACGATGACAAGGCAGAAATATGGAATGTACCAAAGCTCCCTAATTATATTTTACTGCAAACACCAAGCTTTCTGCTGAATAATGTTTTATCTATAGAAGATTTTCATTTTTTTAAAAATTAAATTGCATGAAACACACTTCAAAAACAAGTGGCATGATTATAGCATGAAAAGTTCAAAGTAAAAGTGACCTTTCTGCACTCAGTTCAAACATTTGAATGTTACGAAAATAATAACAAGAGGCCCATGGGCCTTATAGGTCACCTGAGCGTCATGCAACAACTTTACAACGAACGACTTTGGTTCATGTTTTAAACTAGACGTCATGGCATTCACAATTTTGAAAGACGCACCATTGCTAATCATAACTAAACACTTAGCATGTTTAGTTTGGTTACTTAATACCCATAGACAGAGTAGGGGAACAAAAAAATGCATTTCGACTAATCAGTAATATTCAGCAATAATCACTATAGTGCCACTACCACACACGAACCCCTGACCCTTGGTCCACACATTTCACAAATCTGGAAAAGGCACCCTTGCTTATCAAAAATATTTGATTGATACAAAGAAGATTTCAATCAATTAATTCATTTTCAGTATATAATTAGAGCCCCCCCCCCTCCTTGTATGGTACCCCTGATCCAGGGGCCTTGAAATTCACAATTCAGGAAGAATGGCCCTTGCTCATCAAAGCTATATATAGGTAGTTCATCTGGTTAATACCCAGGAGCAGAGAAGATTTTCAAACAATTTCTGCATTTTCTCTATATAACTAATAGAGCCCTGCCCTAACCACAGAATCCCTGACCCTGCGGGCATAAAATTCACAAAGGTTTTCTTCCACATCATAACTATGTACTTAGTTAGTTTATCTAATACCCAGGAACAGAGAAGAAGATTTTTAAAGAAATAATGTATTTTCACTATATAATCAATTGAGCCCCGCCCTAACACCAGAACCCCTGACCCTGGGGCCATAAAAATTCACAATTTTGGAAGAAGCATTCTTGCTCATCATAACTATATACTTAGTTACTTTATTTAAGAGGCAGTCCACCGAAAAACTAGGCAGTATTGTATTAATAGGCGGCACATCGAATGTGAGGAATATTTGATATTTTATGAAAAACAATATCAATGTAGTCCAAAAAGAATAATGTAATTGAAGATTTATTTAAAAATTGCTTATTCATTAAAATATCCGTGTGTTTTGTGTTTTTGACTTCCCCTATATAAACCATTGAAAGTAGGTCAGAAACAAAGAACTGTAATTTCCAATACAATTTTAACAGGACTATAATTCACACTGAAATAAATCTTGAAATATTTCATCTTTTTGTTAAACAAATAAAATCATTGGGAAAAACACTTTTAATAGAAGTTTTCTGGCAAAATATATAGACGTTTTTATGAAAATTTGCGATGCAAGAGTTATCTCCCGTGGCATCAGTAAATCTGCTAAACACATTTTAATCGGAATCCTAGTGAAATATTTAGAATCGATACACTAAAGAAAATTATTAAACACAAAATAAATAATTTATTTTCAAAATATAATTCATTTTCGCCTCCAAACATAATATTTAGATTAAAATTGGCTATAAGATTCAGGTTAAATCCACGTTTCCATTGATGTATCAGTGACGTCATAATATTGCGTCACAATGAAATAGTTACAAATTTTCCAGACAAGTTTGTAAATTCTTTGCGTAAAGTGTAAAGAAAAATATTTTTTTAAAAATGATTTCTCTTTTTCTGTTAAATACTCTTCAGAGTGCATTATACTAAATGTTAAATAATATTTTAATATCAAAATGTATTTTACACAGTACATGTACACGGGCGGCGTCTCGGCAAGATGACGTTTTGATAAGTAATTTTATACATGACCGAGAACTAATTTTTTAAAATTGATTTACCAGGATATACGTTAAAATAATTAATGAAGTTTTTAAAATGATTCAGAACATTTCTTATAAATTTGGGAATCAATGATGAATGTTTTAGATTTACGCAACATTTAATTCAACGAAGTTCGTAGATGTAAAAACTAAAACTTAAATTAAATACATTTATCTATGCAATGAAATCAAAATAAATGATCTACAGTACGATTAAAAATGAAAAAAAACCTGAAAAATAAGTTATAAAAATATTACTGCTGAACTCCCGACTATAATTTGGCACTATAACGGAAGGTGGTTTAGTGAAACATTTTTTTTTTAAATTTTATTTCTTAATTTTTATTCGGCGATTGAAACAATCACACGCTCATCTTTAATATGGAGTATAAACCTGTGACTATGTTGACCAATACTAAAATGTTTTCACGTTCATGTCACCATTTTAAAAAAAATAATTATGCCATGACCCCATACCCCCCCCCCCCCTTCCGCGCTTCTTGCTTGCGATTTATCGGCTCTTGAATACTTATAATTTACATGAAAGAACTTATTTTTTTATTTATATAAAATCAAATTTTGTAAAAGATGAAAAGGCTTTACAGATGACAGGTAAGAAAAAACTTGGATAAAGTAGAGACTGTACACATAAAAATATTTCTTGCATTTAGGCAATTTTAATTTCGCTACTGATAGAATTTACTGTTTAATTCCTGAGACAAATAAAAAAGAAATTTTACTTGGAAATGAGATGAATAATGAAGCTAGAAAGTTGTCTGCTCTGGTTGTTGCATAATGCATGCAAAAATTATTTTTTTTTAAAATCCCTAGTTTCGATTAAGAAATCAATCAGATTAGATGTTTTACATGTAATCTTCATGTAAGTAAAAAGACATTGGTAATTTAAATAATATATACATTTGAATCTATGGTTACACTCATTTAAAAACAGTAAACTGACTGAAAAGAAATAACAGACTAGCATTTTTTTCTGAGAAATTAACATGAAGAGCCAAATTTAGGAATTTTTTCAAAATTTACGGGACGATTGAAATAAAAATGTCGAAAATAATGCAAAATTAATAAATTTTTCAAACTAAAGGCACCTGCCACCTATATAATATGTTAAAAAATAAATCAAGTAATTTCTTAATCATGTTACAACAAAAGAGCCAAATTTGACTTTACTATCTTAGTATTTTCTTCTTTATACAATTCCGGTCGGGATCGGTTTCATTTGTGAAAACTATAAAAAATAAGTAAATTTGACTTCTTTTATTTCTTTCAAAATACCTTTTCCCAATAATTTTATTGAATGACCCAAAAGTTTGTACTTTGTATTCATAAAAGCATAAGTAAAGAAATGTGTCCTTGTATTGTATTGGGTTTTATAACGTAATTAAAATTGGATACTGAATTTATAAACTTTTACTTGTTAAACTCAAATTTGGACCAGATAATTTTTTCTAAAGAAGTATAAATTGAAGTCTTATTCATTCATAAAATAAAAGATAAAAGTCTATTCTATAAATAATATTCATCGGCACATCCACCTCTGGAGTATCTGTTACATATAAAACAAAATAAAAATGTAGTATTTTTTTTACCCTCATGTTGACCTTTTTGCACTTAAAATTAAGCATTTACCAAAACTAGGACTAGAGGAGCACTATAAAATTTCTTGATGTTGTCATGTTGAAACACTTGCTTTAATAAGTCTACATGCAAAAAATAATTAAAATCCATGACATGCGATGTGCCGCCCATTGCCTGGTTTTTCGGTGGATAGCCTCTTAATACTCATGAGCAGAGAAGACTTTCAGAGAATTAATGTATTTTCACTATATAATCAATAAAGCCCCACCCTAACACCAGAACCCCTGATCCTGGGGCCATGAAATTCACAATTTTGGAAGAAGCATTCTTGATCATCATAACTGTATACTTAGTTAATTCATTGAATACCCAGCAGCAGAGAAGAAGATTTTCAAACAAATTCTGCATTTTCTCCATATAATCAATAGAGCCCCACCCTAACACCAGAACCCCTGACCCTGGGGCTATAAAATTCAAAATTTTGGAAGAGGCATTCTTGCTCATTATAACTATATACTTAGTAAGGTTGTTGAATACCTAGCAGCAGAGAAGAAGATTTTCAAACAAATTCTGCATTTTCTCCATATAATCAATAGAGCCCCACCCTAACACCAGAACCCCTGACCCTGGGGCCATGAAATTCACAATTTTGAAAAAGGCATTGTTCCTCATCATAACTATGCACTTAGTTAGTTTATTTAATAACCAGGAGCAGAGAAGAAGATTTTTAAAGAAATTCTGCATTTTCTCCATATAATCAATAGAGCCCCATCCTAACACCAGAACCCCTGACCCTGGGGCCATGAAATTCACAATTTTGAAAAAGGCATTGTTCCTCATCATAACTATGCACTTAGTTAGTTTATTTAATACCAAGGAGCAGAGAAGAAGATTTTTAAAGAAATAATGCATTTTCACTATATAATCAATAGAGCCCCGCACTAGCACTAGAACCCCTGACCCTGGGGCCATGAATTTCACAATTTTAGTAGAGGACTCAATGGTCATTACATTCATGCTAACAGTTTGACTGCTTGATATCCAGGAGTAAAGAAGAAGATTTTTAAAGATTGCACTAATTTTAGTGGTTTTGGCCCCACTCCTCAGGCCCCAGGGGGGCAGGGACCATGAAATTCACAATTTTTGTTCCCCTTCACCCATGGATGCTGTATACCAAATTTGGTTGAAATTGGTTCAGTGGTTGCAGAGAAGAAGCTAAAAATGTTCAAAACTCAGGATGTTTACATTACTGTTTCATAACTTCACTTGCTACAGATAAAGTAATAGATGGATGGTTAATTAGAATTTTGGAGTTTATGATTCTAGACCTACACTGCCTACCTCAGTCTGACAAATGTCTGTGGCTCTAGACCTATGCTGTCTTCCTAGTTTGAGTGCTGCAGTCAGTCAGTAGAGATGGACATAGGACAAATGTTTGTGGTTCTAGACCTATACTACCTACCTCAGTCTGAGTGCTGCAGTCGGTCAGTACAGATGGACATGGGACAAATGTTTGTGGTTCTAGACCTATACTACCTACCTCAGTCTGAGTGCTGCAGTCGGTCAGTACAGATAGGACATGGGACAAATGTTTGTGGTTCTAGACCTATGCTGTCTTCCTAGTTTGAGTGCTGCAGTCAGTCAGTAGAGATGGACTTAGGACAAATGTTTGTGGTTCTAGACCTATACTACCTACCTCAGTCTGAGTGCTGCAGTCAGTCAGTAGAGATGGACATAGGACAAATGTTTGTGGTTTTAGACCTATACTACCTACCTCAGTCTGAGTGCTGCAGTCAGTCAGTAGAGATGGACATAGGACAAATGTTTGTGGTTCTAGACCTATACTACCTACCTCAGTCTGAGTGCTGCAGTCGGTCAGTAGAGATGGACATAGGACAAATGTTTGTGGTTTTAGACCTATACTACCTACCTCAGTCTGAGTGCTGCAGTCAGTCAGTAGAGATGGACTTAGGACAAATGTTTGTGGTTCTAGACCTATACTACCTACCTCAGTCTGAGTGCTGCAGTCAGTCAGTAGAGATGGACTTAGGACAAATGTTTGTGGTTCTAGACCTACGCTGTCTTCCTCAGTTTGAGTGCTGCAGTCGGTCAGAAGAGATGGACATAGGACAAATGTTTGTGATTCTAGACCTATGCTGTCTACCTCAGTCAGTCAGTACAGATGGACATAGGACAAATGTTTGTGATTCTAGACCTATGCTGTCTACCTCAGTTTGAGTGCTGCAGTCAGTCAGTAGAGATGGACTTAGGACAAATGTTTGTGGTTTTAGACCTATACTACCTACCTCAGTCTGAGTGCTGCAGTCGGTCAGTAGAGATGGACATAGGACAAATGGTCTCACCCAGCTGCCCCTCACTTGTTCCAGTCCTCGTGGGTCTCTCATCAACTGAAAACACACAAATATTTCCTTGAAAACATTTCCCACTTCCCAAGATTCAGGCAGAGTGTCTTCTTCAATGAATACAATAGCTGCTTGTTTAAGTACACAGCTTGTTTATCTAGATCTAATTTGGCCAAAACAAGGAAGTACTGCACATAGCAAAAAATAAAATAATTTGAAAGCTGTGAACAGTGCTGAAACACAATTATACTATAATCATAAAACCAGACTATAAATATTGCATGCTTTTATTAGTAGTCAATCCAAAATAAAATATGCTTTTATTACAGAACTTTTCACACTACAAATAAAGTGAAAATTCGAGAACAGATTGGCACATCATAACTTCTCCAGATTAAAACCAAAACAGAGAGAGATATGCAGTGAGCCTCTCCCTAGTCTCTGGGAACATTACCACCCAATTCTACACAACCAGCTGATAACTAACTGAAACTACAACATTCAGCAACTCATTCTGCTTTGACCATTGGAAAAATCTGTTGTCATTCAAAATTAGTCTAAAACTTCCTAATCTTAGGTAAAAAAACAGACAAAGTTAAAAACTTTATTGCAAAAACATACTTTCTTATTTAACGCAGGTGTGACATTTAGGACTATATTTAGCCTTAATGATGTGTTCATTTAATCTATTTTCAGACTACTTCCAAATTTTTACAACCTTTATGAATGACAAGGCATGCACAATTATGACAATTTAACATGAAGAGGCATCTGAATATTTTAAATTCTAATTCCAAATGCCTTAAGTTAAACAGTGCATTTTAAGTATAGTTTCCCTGAAAACATGGTTTATGTGTTCATCTGATTTGCTTCACATTGAAATTTCACCGATTGACTAAGCATTTTTACCTTTATTTTTTAGTTTCTGTGCACTAATGTCCACTGAATATTCAGGTCATGTCAAACAAACAACAAATTACTCATTTGAACAAGTGCCTACTGTCTCATGACCTCAATGAACAAGTCAAAACATCGCACAAACTGTTTTTATAACAAGATGTCACTCACAAACCTCTTCACAACTCAGGCTAATCACTCAGCCATCATGTATGTAATAGCCCAGAAAGCTACTAGCTGACACATCTGAATACTAAATACACATCTATTTACATCAACCTACTTCTACTAACTAACTAGCCAAGCATGGAACACTGTACACTCCCTCTAGTCCCTGTGTAAGTCAGTTAACCTTGATATTTGAAGTAAAAACAAAATACACTACACTGACAGCTCAACAGAGTGTTATTATTTTGCTGCTAACTTCCTTCTTGTCAGTGGGGTAACTGTTAATGAAAATCCCATTTATACATGTTCACCGTAAATCCTGACTCACATTTACGCCCTGTAAATCAAGACTCTCCTACAGACTTCTCACCTGAAAGAGAATCCCAATCAAATCTCACTCTGCAGCTTTGCATGTACAATAACCCAGCACAATATCACCCTATGTCTGTGCAAACAATAGAATTGAAGCTCCAACCAATGGCAGATGTAAACAATTATGAAGAAGGAATGCAGATTTGTTACCCTGCTCACAAACAACAAATATCATGTTTATAGTGCATTGTCAGTCACAATAAGGAATACTGGGAGAAGTCACACTTGTGGCCCACATCCAGCTGATATAATACATGTAACAGCTCTCAGTCCAACAGAGCTCCTAACATATAATAAATTACATCTCCAATCATATCACATCAAAACACAACACTCCTTAATATTCAACAATACTTACATATAGCCGTATTCAGAATTATTATTTGTCTCTATCTAATTTACACTGCAGCAAGTTTTCCCAGACCACCACCTGACTGATTTAAATCACCACTACACAGCCTTTTAATCTTTTCGGTCTCTACAGGTCTGGTATTTAAACTCTGCATACTTAGAATTTTCAATACAATGAACTTTCAAATCATGAATGAAGCGTGTGCTACTTCGCTATCCTGCTTATAACGCTTCTAGTGAAGGGTCACTCACAAACACGTAGGTGTATTTATCTTACTCTCAACATCGGAGACTCATTTAAGTTGTATTTTGTCTTTCATCTGATCCAGAAGATACATGTATAACAGATTGTAAGAAGTGTATCCTTTAGTGTTGTCAAATCGGTTGAAACTCAGAATCGATTAATCGGTAACAACACCGACTGATCACACAATAAAATGTAACCCTTTGTATAAAATAGGCATTAGATTTTATAAAAATTAGAATTTTATTGTTAAATAATGTAAGTAAAGGTATTGTACTGAATTCTAAAAACAGTATATATGCAGTTTGATTAACGATTTCAGTAATACAGATTTTTGCATGATTAGGAATTACTTGGTCTGGGAAAAGTAAGCATTGACAGATCAGGTTTTAATTTACATGATCATCTAAAATGTATATGGAATTAATTTTTTAAACTGTTATAAGACATTTAATATTGCAAATTCCTTGTGATTCCGCATGAAGTGACAGGTTAATTGCCCCAAATACTAGTACTGAAAATTAATATATTTTATTTAAACAAGTAGTTTAGTTTCTTCAGTTTAGAAATACAAATATCATTATCTTTTGATTTATTTTAAACAGATTTTAAGTACATGTATTTTAAAATAGTAAAGGACAACTCTTGAAAGATATATATTTTGATAACAAGAGCCTGTTCTTGAAATAAAAGTGAGAAAACTGTAAGAAAGATATGTGCTGAAATATACCGATTAATCGATTTTTAAAATCTCCAATCGATTGTCTAAAATCGACAGCTTTCCGACCGATCATCGATTATAAATCGATCATCGTGACAACACTAGTATCCTTCTATCTTAACAGCCACACTAAATGTCATCATATTTACTGAATAATAACCATCAGAAAAGGCAGCCAATTCAGCAGGACTTTCCTTAATAGCACTTAGAACAATGTAACACCACTGGGATTTCATACTTAAATGTTCTGAAACCTCTCTATTGTCAAACTGGATTTTATCTTATACTTTATCAGGACATTTATTCCAAATATCCTAACTATTAATAGCAAAAGGAAATCCATTCAGTTTCACTACTGGGAAAGTCAATCTTCATGAACTGCCTCTACCATTACCAGAATTGGGTTCATTTAATGAATAATACTTGATCTAATTCTCAACAGCTTTGACCAATTGTCCAGAATATGTTATGTGATATTTATATGAACTGCAACTTTAGAAATAACTGTACAGTAAATTATATCAAATCATTGCACCATTTATATTCTATGTAAATGTGCTAGTGGGACACACAGTATACAGCTGGCAAAGTCTGAAGTAGCGAGAGTAATTAATTCACATGATCTTTCACAAACTCTCTCCCTAGACCTACTTAACTTCCTTATGCCTTATGGTGACAGTTTGGTTAACCATGACTACCAGTCTTCATCACAGCCATCTCAGAACATCTCAGTCCACACATACCGGTACATAACACACAGTCACAGGTACTGTGTAGATGTAAGTCATCAGTAGGACACAGTCATGTATAAACAGCATGTCTCTTTCTTCTTTTTTGGTCAAAAATTTTAATAAGATTTACATTTATTGTTCCTATTGAATTAGATGTTTTAATCAGCTGACAATTGAGAATGTCACAATCAAGCTTTGCTTGAGAAAACGGACACACCCAATCTGAAAACAAACCATTCCAATATATATCATCCCTATATGTACACCTAGACAGCTATCAATGTTCCGCATTGTTTACCTTCAATGAGAAGAGCTGTGACCTTCGTGATATTTGACTTTGTACAAGAGAGTACCAGGTGAAATGAAATACACCCTCATCACAAGGTGGGCAGCTGAAGGAATCAGGAGAACTGGGTCGGACTTGTTTTAAGTGCATCACGAGCATCAAACAAGAAAACATTAGATAATCAAGTTTCACAGGTAAACATCACCCCATCATTTTACACTGACCCTGTTCTTTATTATTAGAATGTTTCTGGTCATCCACAGAAATTTATTTAACCTCTGATAAAAATATTCGCACTTTCATTGGAAAATTTGGAAATATCATGGACATTTGGAGAGATGAGCAAATATCAAACTAAAGGGGGCTCTGAATCCTCATTGCATTCTTGAACAATCCATATGTCCACTGTCAAACACATGCAGACATTGGCAGGATTGAGGACAAATGCTGACCTGATCAAATCAGGATGAAGAAAAAATAAAAGTGGGGATAAATAATCGGGAAATTATTTTTATCATGGCCAAATAAAATCCACGTTGCTTTTAAGTTTCTGGGAGAAAATTGAAAATTCAGAGTGAAAGTAATTGTGAGTATGTCATGAAAAGTAATTTATTTTTAAGCCTGTATAAACACAGAGAATGCTGTAAAAATAAGGTCAAATACTACGCACACAAAATACAGAGTATCACTATGATATCCTCTCATATTATGTCTTGATGATATGAGATCCTGAACTCTGGCATATTTCTATAGGGGATTCACTTCCCTGTCATTATAGCTAAATTGAATTGTAATCAAGATATGCCTGTCAACTCTTCAACTCATTCATTGTACATATTGTATAAACAGAGAGAACTGAAAACACATCACTTATCTGACACCGACTCCACTTACTAATTAAAAATACATGTACAGGCAGTTGTGATTTTCAGTTTTTTTTTATTTGAAAGGAGACCATTCTATTTTCATCAAAGTCAAAGTTAAACTACCTTCAATCTAGATTGTCAAGTGCAATGTTCAGGTCCGGCACAATGTCTTGATTAAGCTATATAGCTTGATTTAGCTATATAGCTTTATTAAGCTATTCGGAATAGCTTAATTAAGCTATTTTATCAAAAAAAAATTTCAAATGTGTTATTTTTTCAGCATGTGCAAAAAGTCGCACCTTGGTGCAGTGGAAATATTAAACTTTGAACTCTTCTGAATACAATGCATGTAAAAATCACTCACCAAATTGTGTCTCCTTGAGAGACTTTGTACTCAAATTTTTCAAAGTTTGGGGGCTATTGATGAGTGACCACACAGTTATTTCTTGAATGAAATTATAAAGGAGGTCAGTTTTGGCCAACAGGATAATTGATTGGTAACAGTTCAACACAATGAGAAGCAATCATACTTATCCACGCCTCACCGCACTCAATAGGACACTTTCCCCTAGTACAGTTACTCAAACAATGGAAAATCATCTTTTGCTTAAAAGTATTCAACAACAGCAATGTTAGAACTTTCTAGGTTTTCTAGGTGATTTAGGTTGTTTTTTTGATAGCCCAAAGTACATATATGGATAGTCAAATACTTGCGACTTTTTGTTTATTTCTCACTAAAAACGTTTTTGTTAAAAACTGCATATAAATAGCTTTATTAAGCTATTTTAAATAGCTTAATAAAGCTATATAGCTTTTTAAAGCTATATAGCTTAATCAAGACATTGTGCTGGACCTGATGTTGGAACATGATATCTATCAACAATTTAAGATGTTAATAAAATGAGTTAAATCTGACCCTATCTTAGGCCTTACTCTAAAGCTTACAGTTATACATGTCATGAGGTGATTACATGTGTGATGAAATAAAATATTACAGAAAAGAAAAGCTGAAAGAGAGTCATAGTAAAGAATGCAGGACCTGGAGGATGGGGGGGGGGGGGTTAAAGGGAGATAACTTTCATTGTACATAATATTATTCACCCATTATAACATGGTTGAGATAATATTAAGCTAACAGACAGTATATTGTCAAGTATTATTATCTTCTTTATTTTTAAAAGCTCTATTTCCTTTTCGCCGGGAAAATTTCATACATCAAACAATGCAGTCCTTTCTTTTGTAAATGAAATTCACTGCCAATCATGGAGAATATTACACAAGTTTGTCTTTGTTTGCGTCAGTTATACATGAAGAAAATTACTAAATATATAAATTTAATACAATATTTCTTACCGGTCACTAAATCAGTAAGTATATAGACTTTCAAAACAAGAGCAAAGATGTGTTAAAAACCAAAATCGTGTCCCAATATTGGAATGTGAACTCACTGAACCTTGTGAAACAGATTTATTTCCTCTCCCGAACAATATTAGTAATTCTATAATTTAAATATAATAAAATCGTACATACCAGTACGTTGTTACACATTGAATGTACCAGTGGCTGTGCCTGCCTTTTCTGTAACGACCAGATTCAAGGATTGTTTTGCGAGACACCGCAAGTGACGACTTTTTTCACCTCAATGTGCAACACCAACATGGCGGCTTATGCGTGACGTCACATATATTTATGGGGCGCCGAAAAGGGGGAAACAGTCGTTATAAAACACAATTCTCCTGTATGGCACAAGGCTCTAGATCTAATTACTTGTTATGCCAAGCTTATATCCAAATATAAAAGTATATACATAATTTTTAAGAAAATATTGGATACTAAATTTTTGAAAAAAGAGGCCCATTGACCTCAAAGCTCACCTGAATTACTATGACCAAGATATTCCTATCAGACTTTGTAATATTAGGGGCCCACCCAACCCTTGTAATATTAGAACCCCTACCCAACCCTATCAGACTTTGTAATATTGGGGCCCCCATCCAACCACAAGGCTTCGCAATTTGAATACACTTGAATCTATACTACCTTGGGATGATTTAATGTAAATATTACTATATTTTGCTGTTCTTGAAAATTTAGAATTTTGAATTAAGATTTTTCCTCTGTAAAACTTTGGCAGCCTAGTTGCCCCACCTTTCCCCCGGGAGTCATGATTTATACAAAATTTAAGTCTATCAACTGAAGTCTTATTATGGCTAACTTGGTTCTTGAGAAGAATAACTTAATTTGAATAGACAGTACCATCCAATAGACCGTTTCACGGTAACTGCGGTACTGCTGTTTTGCAGGGCAAAATGATATAGTTTGGTGAAATATGATGTAAAAGTAATTGTCAAAGATAAGTCATTTCATTATCTGTCAACAAAAACTGCCCTGTAAAAGTGTAGTACCGCGGTTACCTTGAAGGGGCTAATTTTCACCATTAAATTATCTCCCCTTGAAAGAGGGGTCCTTCATTTCAACAAATTTGAATCTCCTTTACCCAAGGATAACTTGGTGCCAAGATCAGTTGAAAATGGCGCACTCAATGGTTTTGGAGAAGAAAATGAAAATGCGAAAAGTTAACACTAACAACAACAACACTGACATTAAGGGACAAATTTTGATCAGAAAATCTCATTTAAGCCTTTAACTCACGTGTGCTTATAAACATTACAACCATGTAAAAGCCTACAACTTTGTAATTATAATTGTTCAAATGAAGTATTTCATCTAGTCGAGATGCGAAAACCCACTGTATACAGGGTTATTTTCGCCCCATATCATTTGAAATCACCCTTTCACATTTGGAAACAAGTTTGCCCCATTTTAAATTCGCCCAGAAAGATTTTTGTTTACGATATTATACCGTTTACTTAGAATTCGCCATTTTAAATTCACCCACTTCTGACGAGGGTGAAAAGGGCCAAAATAAAATTATATACATGTATCTAAAATCAAAAGGGGATTACAGTGTTTATATTGTATAAGTCAACAAAGTCATGACACACCCATCCAAACCCACCAAATAACCTGACTATAATAGTTAGTTATTTCACAAAACTCAACATTTACTGTGTTTTCAGTCTCTGCATGCATTCATCCCCTTCAGACTCATGCAGAGGGAGTGTACATAAATAACATGATAGCTAGAAAGCAGTGGCTGTCCCCCATACTGACTGGTGACTATATTATACATCCCTGATACATACTCCTAATTAAATGAACATTGCTAATGAAAGCAGAATAGAAAGTCTTAAGATTTTTAACATCCACAGATTCTTTTTCTACATTTTGACTATTTCTTATTATCATGGACCTACATGTAAATGTATAAACAAAGATATAAAGTAAAAGGTCCTTGTACTGATTATAACATGCCATTAAAATGAATTTCAACTTTTTCTTCATTATAAATTTACCTTATGTGTGTTAAAAAAATAAACTTCCTTAGGAATATCTCTATTTTTTTTTTTTTACCTTGAGTTGTTTTGTAAGGAATTATAACTCCACCAAATTCCATTAAAAGCCCTTTGAGCGTTAAAAGTAATTGTATATCTAGGATGAGGATTGTCAGAAATAATTTACAAAACATTTCCCACTCTTTATTTTTTTCTTCAGAGTCTTGTTCTAAATACAGAAAATAGATGCAAACATTGCTAAATTACATTTCAGAACAGTCAGACATTTTGAATCGAATTAGTAAAAAAAAAGTCTTTAAATAAGCCAAAGCCTGATTTTTACATCTGTGATATGAATTTCATACAGTTGATTTAAAGATTTGAAATAAGTCTCAAAATTTAGGCTACAGAGAAAAACTGCTATTTATACATGTTTTACACAACTAATACATTGAGGTAACAATCCAGCCAATGAGGATTTATTCCACAATAAAACACACTTATAACAAAGTGCTGGAGATGGTCGATTTTAATTTGTTATATCCATTTTAGTTCACAATATATCTTACAGCCACAGGGTGTAAGGAATACTTTGATGTAAATGTAAATTTTTTTTGTTTTGTTTTGCTGCACATTGCAATTTTGTGTTCTTTTAACTGATGAAAAAGATTTATCTTCTAAATTAAAAGATTGCAAACATACTATTTTTGACAGTACAGTCTGCAATATTTTACCTTAAGGTTTAAAGGCAATATCAGAGAAAATGCAAAGTTGTGGAGTTCACATACAGGTATATATATATATATATATAATTGTACAATTCACTGGATCAAGAGATCTGCATATCAATAATAACAATGAACAAAACAAGTCTCAATTCACGCAGTCTTTGGACCCAACTCATCTATAAATAAAATCACTACAGTTTGTCTCTTTTAAAATAATTATTCAGTAATCAAATTTCAAATTTCAGTGAAATACATGTAGAAGTCTGATATCCATGACACAAATACTTAACTGATATCTCATGAGTTTGTTCTTCCATCAATATCATATAAAGATCATACACTCAAAAAGAAAATGCTAGGGGAGTAAACCTGACCTATTCAATATGCAAATTATCAAGAAAGTCCAAATAAGTTATTCTTACAATTGTAATGTAACACCAATTACAAAAATAATGAGTATCAAAGTGAAGAAACATCAGATTCTACTTCTAAATGCACATAGATACACTTTTAAACAAAAATATATATGAAGAAGAATTATAAGAATGTAGAATGTTGGTAAACCATACATGTACATATATATGTGTAATCTGTTAAAAATATGGAAAGAGTCAAAGAGATTTAAAAGATTGACAAGAGACAGCCAAACAAAACACAGCTGGATGCAGCCATGTTTTAATGGCCACTACATCAATGGATAACGTAACAAAAAGCAATATGAGTTCATGAAATGAATAATACATGTACACACATAACCTTTTTCACATAACATCTAAATTATGTTTAAATTATCTTTCATTTCATAACACACAAAACAGAACATTCAGAAGAAATTTTTTGCACTTTAAGATCTATGACGTAGATTTTTATCACAATTCATCATGAGGATCTTTCACCCCTTGAGGGGGGTCTGAGGGTTTGATAAAGATCCCCTCTGCTGCCTGCCAGTAGTTCATTTCCGAGGGTGAGGGATACCCACTGACCTCTCTCTGTCCATGAATTGGTCGACCAAAGGTGTCCCCAGCAACATGTAGGTAACTAAAAAATATTGTATACATTTGACCTCATTCTATCATGCGTATCAGTAAAAACTGGTTAACAGTACACTTTTCTCAGAAACAAAACAATATAAATGTATGTGCATGTTATGATTACTATTCTTCTGAAAGTGTTCTTAAACAAGCAAAACTGGTCTGTACTGAGTACAACTTCACGTAACTCTGCAGTAAAATGTTATGTTTAAATGAGCATTGTGACTTCAAAAGATAAGGGCCTTTTTCTCATGACAACAGTCATATCATACAACTTGAAGTAAAAGATGTAATAATAGAAGTTGTGTACTTTCTGAACAACCTCATAAATGTAAATAAATAGAGAAATATACTGTAAATGAATCAACTATCATCAAGCACAATATTTTAGTTATGAAAACAGTACTCGGAATAAAGTATACTCGAAGATAAAATCTCTCACTTACTTTTCTGTGACTACATTTTTAATTCTTATTTTTTCGTTTCTACTCCAGTATTTTCCTGAACAGGTAACAACCCAGTGATCCCCTGTCAAATAGAAAACCATCATTTTACAACATGTACAAATGCCTCTGGGCAAAGTGAGATGGGATATACAGAAAATGATTTAAACGGAAGGCCCTATTTAATTAAGATTTTCTATGGGCACTTCTGTTGTTATAATTGCTATCAACTACTGCAGGTATTAAAAAATTGTTGCTGAAGAGTGAAAAATTATAATTTAAATAAAAATAGTCTTAAATTTTTGACAACATATTAAAAACATTTCCAACTCAGCATGCCTTAAATCTGGACTTGAGGATTTTGTTCTAGTATTGAGATTTGTTTTTCAAAATCATGAAAAAAAAAATCAATTTCACAGTATTGACTAAAATTTTATAAAACAAGATCCTTTGTTGTATTTTTAATCAAAATTAATTGTGTAAAAATTTGAAGCATACAGGCTGATTATTTCCCCCCAATAAATATTTCTTGGTTATTGTCTCATTTTAAGAAATTGCAGCAAACAGACTTAATCTTTTTCCCGTGATTATTTTTGGGCCATAGCCTCATTTTGGGAGATAACTACCTTCATCCCCTTCTCCTTCTTCCCCAAAAGCACTGACTTCCAGGTTCCTTGACAGAGGAGACTGGAAATGATGGCTGTGAAGATTCCTCCGCGTCGTTACGTGAAGAAGTCGAACGGTCTGTCCACACTTAATCGGATTTCTGAAAAACATAAATTCTTGACATGTGATTTAATGTTTCATAAATACTTCAAAAAAGAAAGACTCTTGTTCATGAGACTCATGATTTACATATGCATGTATATTAATTATTATGTCAGTATTCTTCTTTTAATGGTCTTACCCTCTTGTGCATTCTGTTCCAGTTTTGGCCCTGATTTGCCAGTAGCTGTTATTGTCATCTGTAGAGTCAACTGCTGTCACAGACTGAAATCAAACAGGGATATATTACTCCATACAAAAAATCTCAATAATGACAACATACAAACTTTTCTATTAAGAAATTATAAAAATATTACAGACCTGCTATAAACCTTTCCAGTGCATATCTTGCAATGTGATAAGAAAACTTTTTTGAAATGATTTTTTTTCTTTGCAAACTACTTATATATACTTGTATCTGCAGTATGCAAATTCCTTGGAGTTTAAAAAAAAAAGTTTTTAAACATGTTAAAGGATGCCATTTATTTTCAACTAATTCAAAATTGGATATGGCCCTTCATCTGAACAAAATTGAATCCTGTACTTAATTAAAGATAGTTTGTTTCTAGTTTGGTTGATTATGGTCCAGTGGATTTTGAGAAGAAGTTGAAAATGTAAAAGTATACAGAAAGACGAATACCTATCAAAATGTGATCAGAGAAGCTAACTTGAACCCTCGCCTCAGGTGAGCTATAAACAATTCTTTTTTATGATGGAAAGGCAAGACATGATTAAACAGAGGGTGATTCAGATCTAAAAAGAGGTAGCATTGCATGCACTGTTTTACACATGGATTTAAGAAGATATATTTGTAAATATTGTCTTAAATAACCATTACAGTAATTAAACTCATATATATTGCAATTAAGTAGTCAAAAAAGTTTGACATAAATTTTACAAATATACTTATATAAATTTTTCATGCTTATAACTTTGATCAGCTGCTTACTTAAAGCCTTTTGAAGAAAACATGGCTTTGTAAAAAAAATGGTAGATTGATGAATAAATGCAGTACACTGGAGATCGTGTAAAAAAGCAGTAGACTTTTGCCTAAATCGGTAGAGTTAATATGTATGCGTGTAAGCACAGAAGAAATGTCCAAAAAGCATAAGGTTAAGCAGGTCTGGTATTATGTTATCAAATTATTAAAAATCAGGTGCGAAATAAACCTGCTGTCCACTTCCTGATCCATACTTCACATCATGTGAATGTAACCGGACCCCGTGGTAGTTGTTTTTCAGCTTCAAGGTAGATCCACATGTAACATACTCATAATCAAATCGCCCTACATAAAGATAAAATCAGATGTAGGTCCAAAAGCAGGGTATCTTCTATAGAATACCACTGGATATTAGGCAATTAAATCAATAAACATGATAAAGTGAAAAACCTATTTAAACAGGTCCAGGAAAATCACTATATTTAGCTATATAGCTTAATTTACCCATATAGCTTTATTTACCTATATAATATAGCTTTATTTAGCTATTTTGGAATAAGCTTCTGTTTTATGAAAAGCAGACAAAAAGTCGCATGTAAATTATGGATGATATTTTTTTTAAAAGTTTTGATAAAAATAACTTAGGGCATAGATAGTAAAAACATTGCCTCTTTTTAAACACTTTTTAACCAAAAAATGCATCTCTATTGTTTGGATAGCTGGAAGTGCGATGAGGCATGACTAAGTGTGATTGCCTTGCATTGTGCTCAGTTATTACCAATCAATTATCTTGTTGATCAAAACTGCTTTTCTTTGTTAAAGTAGGTGCTTACTCACAGATTAACTGTTATACATGGCCCTAAAACTTTTAGATCTTTGATTGCAATTGCACAAAAGGAGAAACATTTTTATAAGTGGATTTTTGATGAATTGTTTTCAGTACATTTCAAAGTTGAAAAGTAATATTGCCTCATTATGCAACTTTTCATAAAATAGATACTTATTTCAAAATAGCTAAATAAAGCTATATTATATAGGTAAATAAAGCTATATAGGTAGATTTAGCTATATAGCTAAATATAGTGATTTTCCTGGACCTGTTAAACATACATGTAAATCATTTATTATCAGTTCATGAATCAAAGTTGAGCAATCCATTTGTATAATTAATGAATAAATTCAGCAAAGTAGTGTTTGATTTTCTTACTAACACTTCAAAAGCAAACTGAAATGGGAGTATAGGGTGAACGTGTGTTTTCAAAACATACTTATTTTCAATGGGGAAAATATAATATACCGAGGTTTAAAAAAATCATTTTCCATGCGAAAAGGTAGGAAATAGACTTAAAACATTGCATACCCGATGTTTTATCAATCAAAATTGTCATGAAAAGGAAAATAAACGCCTTTTTCATAGCATTCCAAACCCCAACACACGAGTAGAACTCCATTTTAACCGGAAATCATTGGCGTTATCTTCAAATCACGGCAAAAATCGAAAGAGTTTCCGATTAGATATAGCTTTTATTTACCTTCTTCACAAAAGAGTTCTCACCGGCAACGTGATCAATTTTCATTGGTTACTGATTAAAATATACTTTCACTTTCAGTTTCAGAATGGCTCTTGCATGTCAACAAAACAGTTACTGTAAAGAGGTGAGCTCAATGCACGCTTATCAAACAATTTTGTCTCAGAATAACTCTAGACTAATGTAATTGGACCATTTTTTTTTAATATGAACCCCGGACTGTCTTTGAGGTAGATGCAAGGGTTTGTTTGCAAACATTAAATCAGCCACTGATTGAATCGGTGAAGAATATTAAACCAGAGTGGAATTCAACTGTTTGCAGAATATGATTTAACAACATAACTGTAACAGGAAAGGATTAAATGTATGGCTGGACTGTGAATCGAACATGGGACCCTGCATCATGAGTGTCAGAAGCTCTAACCACTGAGTTACCTTTTGATTGAATATATCTTTGCAGGCCAATATACAAAATGGCAGCCCAAACCATTACATTCCTCCCTCCTTAAATGGTCTTCACCCTCGGAGACACAACCCAAGTTTTATGAATCCCTGGTAGGAATTACACCTACAAATCGATGGGTGGTCTGAATATTCTCTTCAGAGAAGTGGACAGGCTTTTGCCTACATGGATGTAGATGTAGTGGATGTAGACGAAAGCCTGTCCAGTTCTCTAAAGAGGATAGGTGGTCAACAGCATCAAATCTGCAACATGACAGTGTTTTCCTTTTATTTCAGAGGAAAGGGTTAGAGATCAGTTGTAACAGGCTAAGGTATGAGGTTTATGAACAAAATCTCTGTGGACCTTACAACAAATTGTTATTTCAAAGTGGCATTTTTGTCAATTGAAGAGGTCAATTTGGCCGGTTGTCGCTTCTTAGGGAAAACACCGCAGAAGAGTAGAAAATGTATGCATAGCTTGACCAGGAATCAAATCCTGGACCCCTGCATCACTAGTCAAATGCTCTGTTAACTGAGTCTGATATCCATGGCTCAAACTATTACATACAGTCCCTGAAATGTTCTACTTTCCCACCTGAACGACGAACGAACGCTGAACGAATGTTGAACGAACGCAGAGCGAACGGTGAGTGAACGATGTGCGAACGGTGAACGCAACTTGGTGAACTATGTGTGAATGGTGAGTGAACGCAGAACGCGAACGGAGCGGGAACGCGAGCACAAAGTGAACGGTGAACGAACGGTGAACGAACGGTGAACGCAAGATGAACGATTTATTCGGAATGCCTTCGGTCTTTTCCTTGTATTGAAATTATTCTTTTATTCTAAAATTCAAATGTCAAAAATAAATATAAATACACAATAGATAAACAAAAGAGAAATAAATAGATAAATAAATAAGTAAAATGAATAATAAAAAAAATTCTACACATATGTATGTTTAAATCGATACTTTAATAACATGATTTTAATCGCCGTCAAACGTGAATTTGTTACCGCGTGTAGTTAAAAAAAAATTGATCTTATATTATAGTAAATAATTATGTTTATTCTTTTAACTAATAAAATAATGTGGACTTTTGAAGATAAAACTACTACTGAGATAAACAATAGATAAATAGATAAATAAATAAATAAAAACATTTTTTTTCTGCACATACTTATGTTTAAATCGATATTTTAATAACATGATTTTAATCGTCGTCAAACGTAATCTACTTATATAGTAAATAATTATGCTTATTCTTTTCACTAATAAAATAATGTGGACTTCTGAAGATAAAACAACTACTTATAAAATGAATTAATTACATTGTACGGGGTTGAAACAACCGTACATATATTTCCATGCCAAAGCGATTCTGAGTAAAATAACGGATTTTTTTTTAAATTCACAATTATCTGTTGACATTGACTGTTATCATACTGCATAAAAATTCTCATTTTATTTAAATTCTACTGCAAAATATTCTATATTTATGTGCCTTTTTATTCTTTTATGACGATTATTTTAGCTAACTTCTTCATGTATCTGTAGACATTTCCCGGCCGTGATTATACTCGGTCAGTATGTTAGAAAGAGGCATTCAAATTATTTGTAATACATGTGTAGATTAAATTTTCAAAACTAAATAAGTAATGTGTTGTCATAGTTTTTATTAAACAGAGAAATGTACGAGAGAGAGAGAGAGAGAGAGAGAGAGAGAGAGAGAGTAAGAGAGAGAGATAACCCCCTCGATTCTCAGATATATGTTGTATCAAATAAAAATTCTAATTATTTTTCCTAAATATTCCAAGCAATAAAGGTAATTTTTTTTTTTAGATTAACAAATCCATTTGACAGTAATCATTGGCTTTTATTTTCCATCATCAAGTTCACACAGTTCACAGGAAGTCCGTGCTACATTTGTAGTAGCGTGCTTGTGCTGTCAATCAAAATAATTCGACACAGTGGAGGTGTGGAAATCGCGTTTCACCGAACATGCCGAAGGCAAAGAGTCAATTAGTATTCCAAGAATTTTTCGTGTTTTTCCCAATCATTTCTAGATCTGATTTTTGCATTCCTGCAGAAAAAAAAATAATTCGAATATATACTTGGAAGGATTAAGTTTTAAATTGAATGTGAAACATATTCCCTGCCAATTTAAAATACTACTGTCGGCACAAGTTTGTACTAAAATTCTATTGTTTAATGACTGTTTGATGTTGGTTTTAAGACTGATTTTCTTGTGTTACAATACAAATTAAATATTAATTAAAATATACTGAAAAAAACTCAGTAAGAATTTTAATTCGGGAGAAAAGGCACCGGGGGAGGGGGGTCTTAATTATACTAAATAGTAAAAAACATATTTTTAAACATATGTTTAGGTACGGTGAAGGAAGGAATTTTTCTTCTCTAATAATAGACTATTTTAAACAGTTGGTCTTTTCTAAAATTTAAAACCACACCATCAATTTAATTAGCTCTAAAGATATTTAATTAACTGAATATTTGCAGTACTGTTAATAATTTTCAAACCTACAGGTAGTTTAAATACGTGTAGAAATATTTTTTTTTTATGTATTCTTGTCCTGTAAAAGACTTGGATTAATTTTTATACATCCATTAATAATTTGTCCTCTTTAAAATTACATCAAATTGATGCCGTGCGTGAAGCATTTGTACATTGCCCTTTTTTGAATTTAATATTTTAGCATCGTTCTACATACATGTAGGTACTTAATGTATTAATTATTTTCCAGGGAAAATTCATGAAATAAGTAACAGCTGAGTTATAATAATAGAAATATAAATATCATAGATAATTTTTGCAATGAAATAATTATTCTTCAAACACGATATTTAAGTTATTTAATTAAAAAACATGTAAATCCTTACCATCAAAAAGATAGGTCCTTTCACTTCGGAGTTCCGAATGACAATGAAGACTGAACGATAAGTGAACGGTGAACGCAAAGTAAACGAAACGAAGAGCGAACGGTGAACGCGAGCGCACGGTGAATGGTGAACGCAATACTGTGAACGAAGAGCGAACGGTGAACACACGCTGAACGAACGGTGAGCGAACGGAAAAATGGGAAAGTAGAACGTTTCAGGGACTGTAACATATGCCATTCAGTGGTTCAGCAAAACACCATTAAGACAATGAAAGTACATGTATATGGAACAACCTTGCATCAGGTGCTGCACAATCTCTTTAGCAAGCTTTATCAGATTGGGCACAGCCTGCTAAATAGTTGCTCATCCTCCTGTTGGTTGTCAGCTGTCCACATCAGAAAATAAGTCTAAAATGGTTTTTCTTTTTTTATTCAAATCCAATTTTTTTTTAGAAAAATAAAGCAATTGCTCATTTTGCATGGGCCTCAAATGGGGGGATTCCTCATGCAATCATAACAGTATGGTAATTTTCCATGTGAAATTTCTGATGAACTTCTTAAACAAACCTCTAGCTGTCTGTAATTACTGAATTACTTGCTTGATGAATCAAAAAAAGTATTTTTTGTGTCTACATGGTCCAGTTGAAAACAAATTCCATATTGTCTAGTGGTTTTAATATTGAGAAATTAACTTTCAACTGCTCTTTAGATTTCCATGAATATCCCATTAAAATAGATTTCCATGAATATCCCATTAAAATAACCTCCTTAAACGGTGGGCATATCTTGCTGTAATATTCATTTTTCTACATTTAAATTTGAAAGTCTCTATTTTTAATTTTCTTTTAGGTTGAAGTTGCAAATTCCATGTAACTCTTTATGTTCAGTGTGCATATCTATGATGAATTAAATATATTTCATCAATGTTTCTGTATGAAAGATGTACAGTACAGTTAGTTCCATTATTACTTGCCTATTTGTTCTGTTACATTAAAGATAGGCCACGGTACTTTTACCCATCAACGTAATTCACAAAACCTGCTTTATAAAACATTTTTGCGAAAACCCGACTAAAATCGGTACCGCCGTTTCAAAGATAATCAATGTTGAACGTCTGCATTTGCACCTGTGAAAACGATCAAAAATCCTTGACAATGTCACTTCCGGTTTAAATGCAATCAAGTTCAATGACGTCACAAGTGTGTCTCGCTTCCCTCAAGTGAGAGGTGAATAAATGACAGAAAACGCTGTTTCGGATAATTCTGATAGTCCATTAGAGAAAGAATCGCTAGAAATTTCTTGTGGATCGTCAAGTTCTGATGAGGATTCATTGCTGTGCAATAATATAAAAATTTGAGAGTAGAACCCTTTCGTTTTGAACCCTACACTAGATCTAACGATCACAAACGATGTGGAACCCCAGGAAGCAAATCGTTTGAATACTATTTACGTTCATACTATTGATTGGTATGTGAGTAAAACGATAGAAAATATTCTCAAGTAGCATTTTAAATCATTATTGTAAAAAATATATTGAATAAAAACACAATTCGACACATAACCTATTTCACACACCCCCCCCCCCCCCCAAAGGCCTAAAAAGCTAACAACATGAATAATGTTAGTCCCTACTGATTTTAATTTTGCGTTCATTTTTTTCATTTGTTGTGGTCTAATTAGTTTAATAAATATTTTTTTCATTGTCTTTCTTATGATTTGCCATGTTTTTTTTTAACAAATGACTCCAGTCCCTCCGTAAAAATTTATGCATGACTTTTTAAAATTAATTTAGAACAAAGTCGCGTTAATTCGGTAGTTGCAGTTGAATAAATTTTAAAAGATAAAAAAAATTGTATGTTTTACAATTTTGTAAAAAGAAAAAAAAAATTTTTATATTCATATCAAAATAAATTAGGAATTAAATTTGTTAAGCTCTAAAAAAAAAAAAAAAAAAAAAAAAAAAACAGGCTACGTATATATACGAGAGATCTAGACTTGATGCAACACAATCAATTCAAAGTCAGATGTTAAATTCGACTTTCAGAGTATACTAAAATTGATAAAATATGTACATGTATAATCTGTTTTTATGTGCCACCTTATTCACGTGTTTGTACGTTGTTTCATGCAATATATTATTCAATATTGAACAAGTTAAGGGGCCCGGATGACATTCTACCGGTACCTTACAGATGTCCAATCTAAACATTACGGTAAATAGAAGACAGTTGATACACAGTTACATGCATGTAAATTTTAATAAACAATTAAATTCATATTCAGTGTCAAGGAGAACAAGACAATTTAAGTAAAGATGGTGTGAAATGGGCCTTACTCCTGAAATCCAAACAATATAATTTGAACAATATTTATTCAGTGTAAACTGAGTATAGATTGGGCAACAGGCTAAGCCTATAGATACCCTCTCTATAACAGGTCAAGGTTACAATACAATGAACAGAGTGGATATTTACACGGTAGCTTGTGACTGTAAGCAAAAGTTTGAATTATTTGTGATAGACAGATCATTATGCATAATGCGCACAATCGGTAATCTTGGGCTTACTCCGCTACACTCCAGTCAAACACAGGTATACGAGCCATCCAAGGTGTTACTGTGTACGCCATACAACCCCCCACCCCCCAATAGAATTCATAAAGTCACAAATTAATGATGATTTTATGAAGAAAAAAAACGTAGTTATTTTTTTTTTTTTAATCCTATTTAATTTTTCATTTTATATTTATGACAGGGTGGGTAAATCTTAAAATAAAAATGTCGAAATTTCTTTCATTCCTGATTGAAAAAAAAATCATATGCCGTAAACAGACAGGTATAGAAAGGAACTTCATTTGTGGGAAATGGCTTTTTAAAGGTTATTTTACAGAGATAAAAAAGGAAGTCAACAGGCAATATTATTAAGAGTTCACAAGCGTAAATATACATGTAAGCAGTGATTAAATACAATCGCAGTGTAAATTGAGATACACTCTAGGTCTACGTCAACACTAAGAAACGGGGTGCACAACTTCCAAATATCAAGTTATCATGATCCTCTACAAATGCCATCTATGATTGAGAAAGTATACGGAACTAATGAGGTGTGAAGAAAATCTACATGCACCCTGCACTTAACTGATGATGTGAACTTCAAAACAATGATCCGGCACTTCATTACAATGTAATTGATCAAATATATGAGCGATGTTTTTTAGAGGGGGGGGGGGGGGAGTGCTGCTTGTACCAGCCTTTTTAAAGTTATGGTCGAACTAAAAAAGAATTTTTTAGTAAATTAAATGTGTAAAAACAAAAATGGAGAAGCAAAATCGAAACGAAAAAAAAAAATAATTAATTTTAAAAAATTTAGAGAGAATAAAGAAAAAAATCTGAATTAATTATTGAAAGGCTTCCCTTTTCGTAGTGATAAAAAACTTGCGCATCCAAAAAAAAAATGGGGGGTGTTGGATGAGGAGGAGGGGGGGGGGTAATCAAACCATTTAATTTCAATATTTATACATGTAGTCCGGAACTATATTGTTTTTGCCAGAGATGAAATTATGCGTAGCAATCAGAAAATAAAACTAGCGTACTGCCTGCATGCGTTAAAGGCGTTTGATTTTAAAATTTTACATGAACTAATGCTTGTTCGCTCTTCATTTTAGACTATACAATATGCTGCATGTCACACTTGTGACGTCACACACGTCACTTCCGGTAAACAGCTAATTTCAGTGCGAGCTCACAGGTGTAAACTAAGCTATTTTTAGTAATATCTCCAATCAGCAAGAGAGATGGTAGGTGAGCTGTATATCATTTTACTCGTATTTATAATGACTATCGAACTATGTTAAAATGTAAAACCTGCCAAGCCTTTCTTTAAATGTTGATGGCATTATCTTAGAATGATTGATAACCATCTAAATTTGTATGTTTCTCTTCACAGGTATTTCAAGAAACACAAAATTCAGAAACTTTTTAAATTGATGATTAAAGGAAATTTAATCCCTTTTTAGTTTCAGACAAAGGTGAAGAGTTGCACACCTGCAGAATTACCGGGTAAAAGTAAGAAGGAAAAGCTGAAGGGGTTCGAGGTGATTCTAGAAGATACCATACTGTTCCCAGAGGGGGGTGGACAGGTACAGACCAAGCTGAAGTCAGTCATATACGAGCCAATTTATTGATTTAAAATTGTAAAATAAATCTCATTCACACCTTTGTTCAGAGGACCAATTGACATCCTTAAAATTAAGAATTTTTTAAAGTTAATATATGTTTGTTCTTTTTCAGCCAGATGACAGAGGCACAGTAAGTAGAATTTCATTTGAACTCTCTTGGTTCATCTGTGTTGAGGCATTAAATATAAAATTATTTGCAGAGGGTTTAGCCTGGTGTATACAATTCTGATAATGTTTGTACGTAATTGTGTGGTGTGTTCAAGGATGTACAGTGTGTTAATGGTTATTTTCACTTTATTATGGGAAGATGTAAATCGTTCTACATTCTCAATATCTTAATATGATAATTATCTCACTAATGTCAGCAATTACATAGAGTACTGTAGAGGTAGTAAATGATGGAACTCATTCACAAAATACATTGAGGTGCCAGCACATTATGTAATTAATACATGTACTGTTACGTGTTTAATCCCCTCGTTTTAGATCAATGACGTGGAGGTTTTACGCATCACAAGACGAGGAGCAGATGCTGTCAATTTCGTCACTAAGGAGATACAGGCTGGTACAGAAGTATGTCTCAAAGTGGACTGGAAGAGGAGGTTTGACCACATGCAGCAACATACAGGTTACTCATACATATCATTATTTGGTGTCTGTTCAATCATTGGACATAGTTGTTGATCCACAATATTTAGATGACCAAGCTCAACTTATTGGTAAAATACATACCCTTCTCAGATATATGCATGTATTAAAATGTTGTTACACATCTTAAACATTTTTTAAACACATTTTTCAATTTATAAGTATAAAAAGTTATCGTAGGAAATTTTTGAACAATTTTCAGGACAGCACTTGATAACAGCCATAGCAGAAAGCATGTATGGATGTCCCACCACATCATGGTGAGAAGTAATTTGAATAAAAAAAATTCTAGATTTAATCACTAGTAATTTTTAAGATTTGATTGAGGATATAATTATCCAGTCAAGCAATCAAGTACAATTTATACCTTTGTAAGAAAGTGAAGCTGAAAAGCCGTATTTCACCTCAGTTTAAAAAAAGATTGCCATCTGAAGTGGTTGTAATTAAGCTGAGTTCAAAGTTCATTGAGTTGTTGATAAAAATATGTAATTCATAAGAAACTAATAAGGTGTGAGGTTCATATATTTTATTATTAAGGTGTCTCGGAGAAAACATATCGTCAATCGAGTTAGACATTCCGTCCCTGACTGACCAGCAGGTGGCAGACCTGGAGGACACAGTGAATGAGAAGATACTGGCCAGTATCCCAGTCACACCACACCTCTACCACGACAAGGAGGACCCAGAACTCCAACAGGTAAATCTTAAGTGGTACCTCTACCACAACAAGGAGGACCCAGAACTCCAACAGGTAAATCTTAAGGTGGTACCTCTACCATGATAAAGAGGACCCAGAACTCTAACAGGTTAATCTAAAACTGGTACGTCTACCACAACAAGGAGGACCCAGAACTCCAACAGGTAAATCTTAAAGTGATTCCTCTACCACATCAAGGAGGACCCAGAACTCCAACAGGTAAATCTTAAAGTGGTACCTCTTCCACAACAAGGAGGACTAGAACTCCAGAAGGTAAATCTTAAAGTGGTACCTCTACCACCATAAGGAGGACCCAGAACTCCAACAGGTAAATCTTAAGGTGATACCTCTACCACATCAAGGTGGACCCAGCACTCCAACAGGTAAATCTAAAGTGGTACCTCTTACACGCCAAGCAGGATCCAGAACTCCAACAGGTAAATCTTAAAGTGGTATCTCTACCACGACAAGGAAGACCCATAACTCCAACAGGTAAATCTTAGGTGGTACCTCTACCACAATAAGGAGGACCCAGATCTCCAACAGGTGAATCATAAAGTGGTACCCTCTACCACCACAAGGAGGATCCAGAACTCCAACAGTAAATCTTAAAGTGGTACCCTCTACCATGACAAGCAGGATGAAGAACTCCAACAGGTAAATCTTAAAGTGGAACCTCTATCACCACAAGGAGGACCCAGAACTCCAACAGGTAAACCTTAAAGTGGTACCTCTACCACGACAAGGAGGATCCAGAACTCCAACAGGTAAATCTTAAAGTGGAACCTCTACCACCACAAGGAGGACCCAGAACTCCAACAGGTAAGTCTTAAAGTGGTACCCTCTACCATGACAAGGAGGACCCAGAACTCCAGAGGGTAAATCCTAAAGTGGTACCTCTACCACGACAAGGAGGATACAGAACTCCAACAGGTAAATCATGAAGTGGTACCCTCTACCACGACAAGGAGGATCCAGAACTCCAACAGGTAAATCTTAAAGTGGTACCCTCTAACATGACAAGGAGGACCCAGAACTCCAACAGGTAAATCTTAAAATGGTACTTCTACCACCACAAGGAGGACCCAGAACTCCAACAGGTTAATCTTAAAGTGGTATCTCTACCACGACAAGGAAGACCCATAACTCCAACAGGTAAATCTTAAGGTGGTACCTCTACCATGACAAGGAGGACGCAGAACTCCAACAGGTAAATCTTAAAACTGGTACCTCTATTACAACAAGGAGGACCCAGATCTCCAACAGGTAAATCTTAAAGTGGTACCTCTACCACCACAACGAGGACCCGGAACTCCAACAGGTAAATCTTAAAGTGGTACCTCTACCATAACAAGGAGGACCCAGAACTCCAATGGGTAATTCTTTAATGGGTACCTCTACCACCACAAGTAGGACCCAGAACTCCAACAGGTAAATCTTAAAGTGGTACCCTCTACCATGACAAGCAGGATTCAGAACTCCAACAGGTAAATCTTAAAGTGGAACCTCTACCACCACAAGGAGGACCCAGAACTCCAACAGGTAAATCATAAAGTGGTACCTCTACCACGACAAGGAGGACCCAGAACTCCAACAGGTAAATCTTAAAGTGGTACCTCTACCACATCAAGGAGGACCCAGAACTCCAACAGGTAAATCTTAAAGTGGTACCTCTACCACCACAAGGAGGATCCAGAACTCCAAAATGTAAATCATAAAGTGGTTTTCATTGTCAAACTGCTTAAAAGACAAAGGTTGGTATATACCTATCAATTTTACAGCTACTTTCAATTTAAAAAATTTGTAATACAATGCACTAAAATAGTATTATATTTTCTTTATAATTTACTGATTTTTTTTATATAAAATTGATACATGCATCTTGACTAAAGTTGATTTTAATCAAATAAGGTAACCATAAAGAATTATACACATTAAAATGTAATAATATCCTGTTTGTTTTATCAGTTCCGTTGTCGGGGGCTCCCAGATGATCACGTTGGCCCTGTTCGTGTCCTACATGTAGACGGAATCGACTCGACACTCTGCTGCGGAACGCATGTCTCCAACCTCTCTCATCTTCAGGTTAGTTCCAAGACCACCGGTTCCTATAGGCAGACTTATAGACAATCAGGTCAGTTCCTAGACCTCTGGTCCTTATAGGCCACTTATAGACATTCAGGTCAGTTCCTAGACCTCTGGTCCTTATAGGCCACTTATAGACATTCAGGTCAGTTCCTGGACCTTCAGTCCTTAAAGGCAGACTTATAGACATTCAGGTCAGTTCCTAGACCTCTGGTCCTTATAGGCCACTTATAGACATTCAGGTCAGTTCCTGGACATTCTGGTCCTAATAATCAGACTTATAGACATTCAGGTCAGTTCCTAGACCTCTGGTCCTTATAGGCCACTTATAGACATTCAGGTCAGTTCCTGGACCTTTGATCCTTATAGGCAGACTTATAGACATTCAAGTCAGTTCCTTGACATTCTGGTCCTAATAATCAGACTTATAGACATTCAGGTCGGTTCCTGGACATTTTAGTCCTTTTAGGCAGACTTATAAGCATTCAGGTTAGTTTGTAGACCTCTGGTGCTTATAGGCAGACTTATAGACACTCAGTTCAGTTCCTGGACATTCTGGTCCTAAAACTTATAGACATTCAGGTCAGTTCCTGGACATTCTGGTCCTTATAGACTTATAGACATTCAGGTCAATTCCTGGACATTCTAGTCCTAATAATCAGACATATAGATATTTAGGTCAGTTCCTGGATCCCGGGTCCTTATAGACAGACTTATAACATTCAGGTCAGTTTCTGGACATTCTAGTCCTTATAGGCAGACTTATAGACACTCAGGTCAGTTCCTGGACATTCTGGTCTTAAAACTTATAGACATTCAGGTCAGTTCCTGGACCTCTGGTCCTTATAGACTTAGACATATTGGGTCAATTCCTGGACATTCTGGCCCTTAGAATCAGACTTATAGACATTCAAGTCAGTTCCTGGATCTCTTGACCTTAGAGACAGACTTATAGGCATTCAAGTCATTCCTAGAAATGGCTTATGATTTATGACAACTTGATACAATTGTGTCTTCCTTGTAAACCCAATTTTCAACAATATTGAATCCTTTTTATGTAACCATTTTATTTCAGTCTATCAAATTGTTGTGGGTAGAAAAGGCAAAGAAGAAAGACAGAACAAATCTAATGTTTGTGGCTGGAGGTCGAGTTCTTCAATATTTAGGTCGCTGTGTCAAAGTTGAAAGGTCACTGACAACATTACTCAAGTAAGCACATTAATGTTTATTTTCTTTGTACATGATATAATACCTGTGTACTAGATCAGAATTAGTCCTTTTAAGGTCACCTGAGTAAACTCAGGTGACCTATTGCTATCCGTTTTCGTCCGTCGTCGTGCGTCGTCCGTTAACATTTGAACATTTTCAGCTTCTTCTCTGCAACCACTGAACCAATTTCAACCAAATTTGGCACAAAGCATCTATGGGTGAAGGGGAACAAAAATTTTGAATTTCATGATCCCTGCCCCCCTGGGGCCTGAGGGGTGGGGCCAAAACCACTAAAATTAATGCAATCTTTAAAAATCTTCTTCTTTACTCCTGGACATCAAGCAGGCAAACTGTTTGCATGATTGTAATAAGCTTTGAGTCCTCTACCAAAATTGTGAAATTCATGGCCCCAGGGTCAGGAGTTCTAGTGCTAGGGCGGGGCTAAATAAGTATATAGTGAAAATGCATTATTTCTTTGAAAATCTTCTTCTCTGCTTCTGGGTATTAAATAAACTAACTAAGTGCATAGTTATGATGAGAAAGAGTGCCTCTACCAAAATTGTGAATTTTATGGCCCCAGGGTCAGGGGTTCTAGTGTTACACACAAGATTATATAGTGAAAATGCTTTATTTCTTTGAAAATCATCTTCTCTGCTCCTGGGTATTAAATAAACTAAACTAGTGTATAAATATGATGAGCAAGAGTGCCTCTACCAAAATTGTGAATTTAATGGCCCCAGGGTCGGGGGTTCTAGTGTTAGGGCGGGGCACACATAGATTATATAGTGAAAATGCATTATTTCTTTGAAAATCTTCTTCTCTGCTTCTGGGTATTAAATAAACTAAATAAGTGCATAGTTATGATGAGAAAGAGTGCCTCTACCAAAATTGTGATTTTTATGGCCCCAGGGTCAGGGTTTCTGGTGTTAGGGCAGGACTCTATAGATTATATAGTGAAAATACATGAATTCTTTGAAAATCTTTTTCTCTGCTCCTCAGTATTAAATAAACTAAATTAGTGCATAAATATGATGAGCAAGAGTTCACACAAATTGTGAATTTTATGGCCCCAGGGTCAGGGGTTCTAGTGTTACGGGGCAGCGCAGATTATATAGTGAAAATGCTTTATTACTTTGAAAATCATCTTCTCTGCTCCTGGGTATTAAATAAACTAACTAAGTGCATAAATATGATGAGCAAGAATGCCTCTACCAAAATTGTGAATTTTATGGCCCCAGGGTCAGGGGTTCTGGTGTAAGGGGGGGGCTCTATAGATTATATAGTGAAAATACATGAATTCTTTGAAAATCTTTTTCTCTGCTCCTCAGTATTAAATAAACTAAATTAGTGCATAAATATGATGAGCAAGAATGCCTCTACCAAAATTGTGAATTTTATGGCCCCAGGGTCAGGGGTTCTAGTGTTAGGGCGGGGCTCTATAAATTATATAGTGAAAATGCTTTATTACTTTGAAAATCATCTTCTCTGCTCCTGGGTATTAAATAAACTAAATTAGTGCATAAATATGATGAGCAAGAATGCCTCTACCAAAAATGTGAATTTTATGGCCCCAGGGTCAGGGATTCTGGTGTTAGGGCAGGGCTCTATTGATTATATAGTGAAAATACATGAATTATTTGAAAATCTTTTTCTCTGCTCCTGGGTATTAAATAAACTAACTAAGTACATAGTTATGATAAGCAAGAATGCGTCTACCAAAATTGTGAATTTTATGGCCCCAGGACCAGGGGTTCTGGTCTTAGGGCGGGGCTCTATAATGATTATGCAGTGAAAAATTACATTAAATCTTTGAAAAAATTTTTCTCTGGGTACGAAGCAGATGAATTACCTTAATATAGTTATGATGAGCAAGGGTACTAATCATCCGGAACTGTGAATTTCAAGGCTTTAGGGTCAGGGGTACCAAAGGGGGGGGGGGGCTGTATTTATGTACTAAAAATGAATGAATTGTTTGAAATCTGCTCCTTTTCAAAATTTGTCCAGTGTGTGGATCTAGGCCTAAGGATCAGGGGTACATGTGGTAAGGGCACTATTAATTACCGGTATTGCTGAATATTTTTGATAAGTTGAAATGCATTTTTTGTTCCCCTACCCTACTTATGGGTATTAAGTAACCGAGCTAAGCAACTGCTGAGTGTATTGTTATGATTATCAATGTTTCAAAATTGTGAATGCCATGCATCTGGCTTAAAACATGAATCAAATTCAATAACTGGAAAGTTGTTGCATAATGCTCAGGTGACCTATAAGGCCCATGGGCCTCTTGTTGTTTCTTGATAATCATTTCATTACGGGATGTTACTTTCATTAAAATAATATTGGAACAGATTGGCAAATACATGTACCTGTATACAAAGGTAATTGTAGTGACTGATTATAAGACATAAACTAACTATCGTGTTACCTTGTTTTAGGGGCCCGCTGGAGGATCACTATGAACTGACAGATAAAGCTGTGAAAGGATTTAAAACAACCCAGAAGGTAGTTATCTTTTAATGTCAGAAGATGAATACAATAAAATTCCTGTGCTTTATCAAAACAATTACATATGACATGATTTACCTGTATTATTTGATTATTAGACTAGGCACCAGTTTATAATATTGTGTAAAGTTTATAATCACACTCTAAAATCCCCAAAAAATGAAATTTTGGAATCTACAAAAATTACCTTTTTTGAGCATTTGATCATTCATGCATTTATCATAAACATCCAATGGAAGTTGCTTCAAGATTGAAAGTTGTGAATGCTCACACCTAATGTTGCAGGGGTCATTACAAATATTATCCTTAGATATCTTACCGGTAACTATTACAGTAAAACTAGTTTAGAGTGAACACAGATATTGCAAATTCATGGATATAGCGAAGCTATCTTGGATACCCAACTATATAAATTTAAAGAAACTTTGTAGGGATATAATAAATTATGGATATAGCAAAGTTATTTCATGAATCTAAGTGACTTCTTTATAACCGAGTTCTACACTATCTGCACTGTATCTGCACTTTAAATGTCTGTTATTTTACAGTATGTCACATCACTTTTGCGAGACCTTGCTGTCTTTGAGGGACAGAAGTTTAAAACAGACAGCAGCCCTTTCCTTAGTCTCCACAGGTTAGTCAGTCATGCCTCTGGCTTTATCATCTACTCTGAAATAATACTGTATAGTGACTGGCAGGGCTCGACATTAACGCTTGTCCGGTACCAATGAAAAAAAAATTCAGACAAGTGAATATTGCTGGGCACTTGTCCGATTGGACAAGTGATTTTTCTATGTAAAGAAGTCTTCAAATAATAATAATCATAAAAAACAACTTTTGTAAAATTTATCGAATAAAAATGGAAGCAGTACATAAACCTGAATTTCGATCCCGATATGAATCGCTATGTAAGTTCACACTTGATCGGGATCGATGTTCACTAATTGCAGCCATACTATTGCATGGCGTGGATCTTATGACGTTTGTGAGTTTAAAATATATTTGATTGATTTTACAGATTCACTTGCGAACATTTATGCTGTTGTCAGGACAGGAAATCTAGATAAAATTTTGTTTTATATGTGTTTGTCTTATTTATCAATAACAACACTTATAAATCAAGCACATTTAATTTTTTGATTGTTTTCAAGTTGACATAACAAGACATTCATTGAAAAATTTTCGGACAAGTGAAGTTGAAGTTCGGACAAGTAAATATCTTGGTCACTTGTCCGAATGGACAAGTAGGAAAAAAAGTTAATGTCTAGCCCTGACTGGTGATTTCATAACTGATTTGGGAGAAAAAGTTCAGTTGCAGGAGTTTAAAATGTGCCTTTGTTATCATATTACACTGAAAATGATTTTTTTGATTTGCCAGGAAAGAAGGAGACCTGGAGTTTATGAACATCATTGTGCAGCAAGTGAATAATTCTGTGAGTAGCTTGGTAAATATTAAGGAGGCATTGGGTGGTTTCTTGAGAATTCATTATTGTAGAAGTATTCCTGGCACACACATCAAAGTAGACTTGTGTTTTCTATATGTGTATTTAAATATGTGAAACAAATATTTAAAATAATCTAATGTGAAATAGAATTGAAAAGAAAACCTGATGACAGACACAGTGATATTCTTGGAAATTCACACGCATATCAGGCACTTGACTTTTCACTTGGCAAAATTTACTCTCAGTCGTAAATATCAATTATTTATTACACTTAACTTTTTAAAGAGCTATCAAAGAGAAAATAGTTGGAAAAATAATTAATATGTGTCCCTTACCTGAGATCTGTTCAACAGAGGGAGCGCTCATGAGCATTATTACTGGAGGAATAAGAAACTTTGGAGAGCGCTGTTGAACGTTCACTCTGTTGAACAGGCCTTGGGTATATTGTATTGTTATGTATTGTAACTGACCTTGATAATTACATGTACCACAGAACAAGATCTGCTTCCTAACAGTGGGTGATGAAAAAGGGGCGGGTCTGTTTTTGTTGTCTGGACCAGAAGACTTTATCAAGGATATGGGACCAAAGTAAGTTTCCATAGTCATGCCCTGGGAAAAAGTTTTGATTCCAGACTCAGTTGATCAAAGTTCAAGGGGAGTAAACGTGAAATCAAGAAGGAATACTTTGCACTGCAGTGCCCTTGTAACATTTACTTCAATCCATATCCAGTGCGTTATGAACATTATAGCTATAAATCTTTAAACAATCAATTTATTTTACTTGAATTAGAAAGATTTTAGACTGAAACAAATAAATGTACTGTAATCTCCATTTCATGTTTCAGAGTTGCAGAAATTCTGAATGGGAAAGGTTCCATTAACAGGGGAAACTATCAAGGAAAAGCTAATAAGCTTTCTCAAAAAGGGAAAGCTGATAAGCTGATCCAAGAATACCTGTCATCAAAGGACAATACAGAGAAATGTGCTGACAATAATATACAGGAAAAAAAAGAACCTTAAGAACATCTGTGATTTTGCCATTAATTTTACATACACCTGTGAATTTTTTTTCTATTTTCCCTTCTGTGAGATGTCAAATTAAAAGCAGTAAACAGTACCTACTATTGTTAACTATGGTCTATTCCAGTGGAAATTAATAGGTATTAGTATCTCATTTAATCAGGGTTGCCATGATAGTAACTGCAGTGTCTGCATATCAGTACTTGTTTGCTGCAAGTATTGGAGAATACATGGATGTACAGTGAATCTTATTCAATCCAGATGCTGCGAAAATCAGTATCTTGTCTAATATACGGAAAGGAAAAAGAAACGCATGACAACATAATATGCAAAAATATTTTGACTATGCTATGTGGCCAAAAAGTATGAAAATTGGTCAGATGTTTATTTTGGTTATTTTGCACAAAAATCGCTGGTCCAAACTTCTCAACCATGAAATGTATCATGTTGGGAAAGTGATAAAAAGCCAAAAACACGTGCATATTGATGATTACAGTTTTTGTAGTGCCAAACGATGCATGAGATTTATAGACATTGTTTTTGCACATTTTCAGTCAGTATAAATTTCTTGCAATCATGGTACGGCTGACGGAAGTTACATTGGGTCTAGTGATTGAATTGCAGAAGTGAATAAAAAGGCAACAACATGTTGCTGTGCAGTTTGTTTTTAACTTTTCAACAAACAAAAAAAAAAATTTTCGGTTGTCAGAGAGAAACATTAAAGTTTCCAACCAACTATGACGGTGACGTTGGCGGGTAACAAACTAACAACGTCACATCATGATAAGGCTTTTCATCATGCCACCTCGGTTATCGTCAAGGCATTATCAATGAAACCGATATTTATACAGCAGACAATCATACTCATAATTTTTTCCCAAAAACTGACAGAAACTCTGCTTTAATTTGCTCCGCGAGCTTGGCAACTTTACGTCGATTTTACTTGCACACGCGCACGTACGCGTTGTATGCGTTATGTTTGTTCCACTGGGAAAATTTAGCTAGTGTTTGACGAGACTTTCTAACAACATTAATTCACGTGTACCAAACCAGCTGGATTCTGTAAATTCTATCCTAAATCGAAAATTTGTGGGATTCATTGGGCGGGGGATTTGTTAGCTTTAGAATGTTACAGCTACTTTCAACCATTAAAACTACCGTCGGAAGGGTTGCATAATAACCCTAGGAGAAAGATAATAATGCTCTGATGAACTCAGTGCACAGGAGAATCGAGGAAGATGATAATTTTTATTTTAATTTTTGGAGGGGGTATCGACATATCAATTTCAATAACTCAGGAATTAACAGTCAAAGTCACACGAGATTTTGGTAACTTGTTGATTAAAGATGAAGTAAAATGTGTGATAACAATATTGGAAAAAATATTCGAAATAATAGTTTACTATGCGTTTTTTTTTCCTTTCAGTATAGATTGTCAATCAGAAAAGCAAACATCTTTTTAACATCCACTTCAGAGTACTTGTATGAACAATCAGGGTTTTTTTTTTACAATATAGTTTTGCAAATGGTAAGGTAAGTAAATTTACAATTTCCATTGTCTTTTTTATTCTTTTTGAAAAAGCAGCTGTCGATGATATCAAAAAGCTTGAACTTTAATTTATTGTGGGGAATAGTTGTATACGAAAGTCGAAAAATTGTGTGAGTTTTTATGTTTTTGATTGTGGTAAAATTTTGTAATTTCAAATTTTCCAAAAATTCCTTGGAATTTGTAAGTATCCACATCTGAAATATTTAAGAAATAAGATATCATTTTTTAGAGTTTCATTGATCAAATTCTATAACGCACGAAGGGCGTTATAGTAGATTTGATCACGTGTCGACTTCATGGCATACCCCAATGAAACTCTAAAAAAAAATTATAATTTATATTGTACGTTTTTATTCTTGTTACAAAGAAATACAGGCATTATTCCGACTTTGATTTTGAACTGCAACATAAAGTATCTACGACGTGATAAGACATCACCAGGCACGTAGTATCAGGGGGGGGGGGGGGGGGGCTGACCCCCCACTTTTTCTCCCGACATTACCTTTACTATAGAAAATGTATACTGAAAGGAAGGTGCCCCCCCCCCCCCCACATTTCAGCACAGTGTAGTGTTATAAAGAAAATTTACCACAAAAAGTTTGAATTGAAAGATAGTTGGTCTAAAAAAAAGTTAGCCACTCCCCCCCCCCCCCCCCCCCACGAAATAGGATTTTCGACTTTGGGCAACTTTTAATATTTGGCTTTTTGTTTTTTTTTTGTTCTTGTCAACTTTTTCAGGTAAGTAAAAAAAAATTTTCTCAGGTTGGCCCCCCCACTTTCAAAAACGATGCTACGTGCCTGATCACAGTCTGAACTTTCCAAATTGCACGTGCAGTTTTCTTTCCATACGCAAGAATGTCTGATCATGTGACCAACTGCATGTCATTGAAAAATATTTACATTCAGTGTAATCTTTATGAAATCCATTAGAAATCCACGACGTTCAATTAAGCAAATTTTTGGCTGTCTTCGGTCCTATAACACACCTGGCCGTGCCGACAAATTGAATCACAGCGCGGTATTCAATTTGCCGACACGGCCAGGTGTGTTATAGGACCGAAGACAGCCAAAAATATGAATTCAATGCTTATATTTACATTCTCTAATTTTCCTTCTTCATAATTGCTTATTTCGTTAACATTTAATGTGAATTTAGCGCCTTTCAAAACTAACGTGGTTAATAGACGTAAGAGCCGTTTGTGACGTCAGATTACGTTAAGTGATTGCAAAGTTAAATTACACAAACAAACATTGCGATTGAAAAAGTGACAAATTAATTCTCAGCGCACATTACGTTAATTTCTACGTTAATTTTTCAGGGTTGTAGTTTTTCATTAAATTGAAATAAAACATTTTACATTTTGGTGTTTCTAGAGTACTGAAAATGCATGTAGTTCCTACTGTGTATTCTAACGCGCGGTGACAAGGTTTCGCGTGTGTTATAGAAATTTGAACGTTGTGAATTTCTAATGGATTTGATAAGGAAAATTATACTGAATGTAAATATTTTTCTATAACACACGTGAAACCTTGTCACAGCGCGGTAGAATACACAGAAGGAACTACATGCATTTTCAGTATTTAGGAATACCAAAATGTATATTGTTTTGACTCAATTTCATTTTTAAAAAAGCTACCCTTTTAAAATTAACATAAAATACAGCAAATGTGCTTTGAAAACTAATTTGTCATTTTTTTTTCTCGCAATGTTTATATTATTTGCGTTATTTAACTTTTCAACGTCACAAACGGCTTTCCAACGTCACGAACGGCTATTACGTTTATTAAGCACACCAATACCGAAAGGCTCTAAATTCACATTAAACATGAAGGAAATAAACAATAATGATAAAGAAAAATTAAAGAATGTAAATATAGAATGTAAATAACGCGCGGTATTCAATTTGTCGGCACGGCCAGGTGTGTTATAGGACCGAAGACATCCCAAAATATGAATTCAATGCTTAATTGAATTTCAATTTTATTAGCATTGTTATATAAGGAAAGACATCAGCAAATGTAAATATAATGTTATAACTACAACACTTCTCGAATACAGGTATATTGTTGCAGAGTACTCCTGAAGTTTCTCCTTCACTCATCGTCGCAAACCACGACCAAAATGTACGCTCCTCTCCCATCTGGCCGTGGTTGAACGAGGAGAGAATTCTTCGTAGCTCGATCATTAAAATATTGACCAATGCGAGTAAAGCATAGTCGGATGTTGAACTTTATCGCGACCTTTCAATATCCAATCTCAGTATAGGAAATATTTCTTGTATACTGTTGACGTCACTTGTTGATTTCGATTGCGATGACCTCTGACTGAATATGACGTCACAATAGAGAGGCGTAAATATTCAAGATTACGACTCTTTTGTGATCAAGCAGCCACGGGCAGGAGAGAGCTATATACGCGGACTCCGGACCGTGGCTTGAGACGATGTTCTTCACTATATAAGTACTGTTAATATTTTAGCGAAGAATAAAGAAAGTGGCTTGATATTGTAATTTAGAGGAACTGGAATTTATTTCTACAAATGCTAATCCAAACTTATTCCCATAGCTTTCTTTCTAATAGGAAAATCTTCAAAATCATGTGTCAGTTTTGAATATTTTTAATATTTCCAACAACCAAAGGAATTTGAATGATCGTATCTATATTGAATTTCGAAGCTTCATTAAAATCCTTACAAACAGATACATAGCGGGTTCCAGGAAAATTGTTCTTTAATTAAAGAATGAACTTTACAAACGAAGACAATGTTGTTACCCGCTTTGTCAACAAGGACCATTACGTATATACTTATCATGTGATCCATCTAATTTTTTTTTCTGAATTATTGAACACAGAAATTATTTGGTTTTCATTTTAAATACATCTGAATGATACATTTAGTACAGTCTGACAACGTGTCAAGGTCTTCGATCCATCTCGATCTGACCCATCGTCTTGCGTAATCTTCCACAGAATCCATATAATACTTGTATTTATGAATTTCAGTAATCACGGTGATGAAGAAGCTAGAGGAAATTTTAAAACAATTTGGGGGAAAATAAATACCCTTGTTTTCTATTCTAAAAGATTTGTTAACACCTGACAATAGCAGGATTTGATTATAGGGCAATAAAAGCGTTTGTGTAGTAGTTGTGCAATGGGGATCCATCTTTTTCATATATACTGAATCGATAGAAAAGAGTTTGATTGTGTGGGAAATAATACCTGCCTAAATTATAAGGACTTTCCACATGTAGTTGTGGAAAGGACCCCCCTCCCCCCGATATTCCACAAGTACCTGTGTACAGTATTTAACGTGCTTTATTTTAATTTAGAGACCTATCTATTTTTAAAGATAACAGTTTGATTTTTTTTTTCAAAAGGAGTTTTGTGAAAAAGTGCCCAATATTTTGTCCCAAATGTCAATAAGTGCGAAATTCCGAAAATATAATAAAATGATTTTATAGTTAATGTATATTTAATTTTTGATTTATATATACAGAAATTTAATTTATACGTCATTCATTTGTGTAAATCAACATGATTTCTAATTTAATGCGTTAATAAACATGATGTAACTATCTAATAAGGGTCTGCCAACTTTTATTTTAATTTATATTGCCCAATATCACAATTTGCATAAAATCATAAACAATTTATGAGCTTTTTTACATTTTGACTACTTTCATTCACAGACTCTTACTGACTTACATACAGTCTCATTCTTTAGATCATGATAAATAATAACAAAATGGTTTGAAAAAATCAATAGTTCATATATCTTATTACAACTAAATACTTAAAACATATACATGTATTTAATTATAGATTTGTATTGACAAATCGATTTATTAAAAAGAAACAGTATAAAACATTTTTATAATAAGCTCGTTGAAATATGTTTTTCCACAATTAAAGACCATTCTTTTTCAAATTTATCTATGCGGAGATTTTTGATAGCTATACATTTTTCAATATTATGTTTCAATAATTTAGGTCTGTCATCTTTATCAAAAATAGCAAGGAAATGGATTAGTGTAAGTTTTTAAACTTGTTTCCGAATCCATTCTGATTTTGGTACTTCTTGCCTGCTACGTAATTGTCATTTTTCAAATAAAATATGGTTTGAACTAATTTATCAAAATTCACTTTGAAAAATAATTTATAAATGCTAAATTTCTATCTTTTTTAATTTTATTAAAATGATAGATCTCTGTAAATATTAATTAATTTTTATTCCAAATATATTTTGAAAACAAAGTCTTCCTCATATGACAATAACATTGCTTAAAAATGTCACCGGTCGGTTGAGAGACTTCGAGCCAAATGGTAGTTTATGCTTCTAATCTAGGCAAGACAAGCTTCTCAGGCTCTGGCAGCAAGATCATCACGAGTAATGATGTTTTTAAATATTTGATTGCAAAAAAAATATACCGAAATAGTTAAATATTTATGTGTAGTATTGTTATAATAAAATCCATATTAATTCTTAAAATTCGATGAAAATGCGACCAATACATAACCATCTCTCTCTCTCTCAGTGTGTGTGTTTTGAAAAAGGTGTGATTCATGACAGTGTCATTCGCACCTGTCCGCATGCGCAGTTTGCGTCCACTTCATTCACTTCCGCTTTATTTCCGTTTTACCTGTATGGTTTGAAAATAATGTAGAAAATTAAAAATTATTAATCATATACCAAAGCAAATGTGAATAGACCTCAGGACCAAGAAGGGTAAGTTGTGAACAATGTTTTTTGAGAAAATTTGAGAAGAAAATGTTGTTATAAAACAACGGCAAATCCAGGTAATCAACACATTCCGATTCCGCCTTGCATGTTGTAAACAAAAATAATTTGGAAGGTTGTTAATCATGTTATTCATGCACGTAAAATTGTTTCCTGTATTTGGCTTTAAAACAAAGTTAGTGATTTGATAGAACACTGATTATAAGTACGATATCATAAATATGATTGTTTCATTGAGGCAAATCGGTTAAATTTTTTTTTCTGATGTTTCTTTTCAACATCATAACTATAATATTAAGCATATCAAATAAGGAATAAATTGTTACATCTTCAAACTTTATCCTATTGAATTATTATTGAACACATGTCGAATGTTGATCTTTTAAGGTTTAAGAATATCTTCTCCTAACCCGTGAAGGATAAGGCCAGGTAAAATTAATCTTTAGATTCTCATCCTAATTTGCTAAAAAATTGGGGCGGGTGGGCGGATTTTATTTTTATTTTTTATAATTGTTAATTTATATATAGGCGAAAGTATCAACAAAACAATGGACGGTACACATTTTTTTTTTCATTACCTTAATGCAAATATGAATAGATTTAATTCTTTTCATATTCTTTTAAATATTTAAAGAAAAGTTTTGCTTTAAAAATTAAATATTTATTGTTAATTAACAAATTATCAAGTACACATTATACGGCACACCTTGAACAAAATGAGGTAGGGATACCAATAAATTGTGTATGCGTGACTTTTTATTTTGCAAAATCTATAAAAATGTTCTAATAATTATTCTACTGAAAAATCTAGGCCTTCTCTTAAGTCTGTCTACGATGTTGTAGATTTTTTTATTACAAAGCAAAGTCACACAGCTGGAGATCGTTATATATAACTTGACCAGGTGTCATTTTCCTCGTCTATTTTTACTTAGTTACAATCTCTCTACATACTTGCTCCTGCCAGTGATGGCATCTATATGTGTTTATGCTATTTTTTCTTCTCTGCCTTCTCTATACTGAAAAATTATCTTTTCCTTACACATTTAAACTGCTTTTATTGCCGATTTTTCTCCATTCTTCACATGGCGTTTTTGCTATAAATAGTGACACGCGACGGGAGATAACTCTTAAACTTTGAACCAAATTCTTACTGAATAAAAATACATGAAAATACCCAAAAATCAAAATAAAAAAATCGGGGCGGGACATTTTGAGAGGGGCGGGCGGGGATGAGAATCTAAAGATTAATTTTATATGGCCTAACTGTTAACTTTTTTTATTTCATTTAAAGTCTCGATCCAGCTTGAAAATAAATTCATTTTTAGAGAATTTAAATTTCTTTGTTCAGCCTTATAGATGAAAATGTTTATTAGTGTAGCAATGAAGAGAAATTAAATTCTGCCTGGACCACTCAGGAATCAAACCCGCGACCCCATAGTCAGGTGCTGTACTGGCTGAGGTACCCTGGCCCAAACCACTGCATTCCTCCCTCCTTAAATGGCCTGATTTTGTTTTTAATATGATTTTCCAGATTTCTGAACTTTAAAACAGGAAGCACTTTCTTCAAATATGTGAATTGGCATGTTGTCACAGGATTTTCCTTATTTTTGCACTTCATTATTAATTGGTTAATTGATTACAAATAAATTTTAAGAAAACATATCCTTTACTGCTGTGCTTTTGTAAAGTCATTGTTCTCTGTTCTTTTGTAGACCTCATAAAATAGCTGTCGTCATGTCGCAGTACTTGTCACCGCGGGGCTATGCCTCGGAGTCGGAGACGGGCAGTATGTATGAGCTGCGACAGTACCCGTCTTATTACTCCTCCCAGGCCTCCATCACCCCATACGGCAGCCACAAAAGTCTGCTGTCCATGTACACCCCCTCACAGGCCTCTACATTCCTCCCCATCGTACAGAAAGCCCCCAACCCAGAGAAGAGACCAGATGACCATTTCGGAATCGCTATGCTGTCCGTTTTCATCAATCCAATTTTTGGAATCATCGCAATCTTTCTTTCACGTAAGATTATTAACAACAAGATGAGTTTCAGAGTTGTCGAAAAACCTGGGTCCTGTCAGCAATTAATAAAAATTTGTCTAGACCAATATCTTACTATAAGTCCAAATGGTCCAAATGACCATTTGAAATAATCAGACTTGATGTGATTTTTAAAGTATCAGGATTGGGGTGCACAATTAAAGGTCGGAAAATAATAAAAAATAAATCATGCTATTTATGTCTTTGATTAAAGACTGTCTATCCTAATAAAAGAAACCTGAGATCAGAGGCTGTTGAAAATAATTAAGAGCATTTCATATTGGTGTAGTTGATTATTTTACTTTGGTGTAGTTCAGTGTTTACTTACTTTCTCAGTTTACAAATTATTAAGGCACATGTATCTGGTCTGACAAAATTTTGTCCCATGGAACATTTAACACGTCTGACAGTCATTTAAAAATTTTGACAACTCTAGCTGGTATCTTGTATAAATGGAACATTAGGAAGCTGATATGTTTAAGTTCTCAGGCGCGTAGCCAGCATGGAAATGAAGTGTACGCAGAAAACGGTCGGGGGTCTGGGGGCCGCCTTGAGGGGGCCCAGGGGAAAAAATAACTCCCGGATTTTACGAAATGTTTCAGTCATTTTCTCGCAAAAGAAATCACGATAATATCACTTTTCTCGAGCAAACACTTAGCTAAGTTATACTGCTTCCATTGATACTTCGGGAAGAGAACGATAATTTATCAAATTAATTTACGCATATATTGGTATTGGAAAAAAGTTTCCAAGTGTATCAAGATAAAACAGAGTAGCAATTTCAATATCGTTTTATCATTGCATGGAGTTTAAATATTTCAAAATATAAACGGGGGTGTTGTTGTCTTTTTGTTACCATCATATTTGTTAACTGAAACGATTCGAGAATGCTTCAATTATATAATTCTTTAAATTGTTAACATCAGTAAAAGAAGCCATATTATTATTTATTTTGTTCACCATGATTTAGATTGTTTAACGACATTCAACGACATTTATTCATTACCACTACGGAAATTAAAAATCTTGAATATATATAGTCTTCCAAGACATTTGTAACTTTTTTTTATGTCGATCAAAGTCCCTTAGATCGCTTCCCTTCATCAAATATTTCTCCGGATAATCAGGATTACGCGGATTAACAGTTGAAAATTTTGGTTCAACAATATTTTTTCCTCAAGAATGTTGAAAGATGTTTTTGGAATTGATTTTAAAAAGGACTAAATTTGAATGTAAAGACATGCTGAATAAAATTTGAATCGAAACAATAAGACGCAAAATAATTTGAAACACTTTTTTTATTTTTTCCCCGAATAAATTTCTCTCTTTCATTTTTTCCTTCTTTTTTTTATCCCTCTTTCTTTTCCTTTCTTTCTTTTTTTTTTTTTTGAAAATGATGTGTACGCACTTGCGTACTTGCGTATAGGCAGCTACGCGCCTGGTTCTGATGAACACCACAGGTTGTAAAAAGGTCAAAGGCCAAGGTCTCTTCCTATATATAATCTGTCACAATGCCTGTCAGATCTCACTGAAACTTCATGAGAAAAAAATTAAAATCTAGTATAATTAGACTGAATTTAATCTTTGAATTCATTTTTTAGCTCACTTGAGCCTTCGGCTCAAGTGAGCTTTTCTGATCACATTTTGTCCGTCGTCCGTCCGTCTGTCCGTCCGTCTGTAAACTTTTCACATTTTTGACTTCTTCTCAAGAACCAATGGGTCAATTTTAACCAAACTTGGTACAAAGCATCCTTGGGTGAAGGGGAGTTTAAATTGTTAAATTGAAGGGCCAAGTCCCCTTACAAGGGGAGATAATCAAGAAAAGACAAAAATAGGGTGGGGTCACTAAAAAATCTTCTTCTCAAGAACCACTGGGCCAGGAAAGCTGAAACTTATGTGGGAGCATCCTTGGGTAGTACAGATATTAAATTCTTAAAATCATGACCCCCGGGGTAGGGCGGGGCCACAATAGGGAATCCAAGTTTTACATAGAAATATATAGAACAAATCTTTAAAAATCTTCTTCTCAAGAACCACTGGGCCAGGAAAGCTGAAACTTATGTGGAAGCATCCTTTGGTAGTGTAGATATTAAATTGTTAAAATCATGACACCCGGGGGTAGGGCGGGGCCACAATAGGGAATCCAAGTTTTACATAGAAAAATATAGAACAAATCTTTAAAAATCTTCTTCTCAAGAACCACTGGGCCAGGAAAGCTGAAACTTATGTGGGAGCATCCTTGGGTAGTAGAGATATTAAATTCTTAAAATCATGACCCCCGGGGGTAGGGCGGGGCCACAATACGGAATCCAAGTTTTACATAGAAATATATAGAACAAATCTTTAAAAATCTTCTTTTCAAGAACCACTGGGCCAGGAAAGCTGAAACTTATGTGGGAGCATCCTTGGGTAGTGTAGATATTTTTAAAGTATAGTGACCCCCGGGGGTAGGGCGGGGCCACAATAGGGAATCCAAGTTTTACATAGAAATATATAGAACAAATCTTTAAAAATCTTCTTCTGAAGAACCACTGGGCCTCAAAAGATGAAACTCATATGGCAGCATCCTTGGGTAGTGTAGATATTAAATTGTTAAAACCATGACCCCCAGGGTTTGAACAGGGCCACAACAGGGAATCCAAGTTTTACATAGAAATATATAGAACAAATCTTTAAAAATTTTCTTCTCAAGAACTACTGGGCCAGTAAAACTGAAACTTATATGGAAGCATCCTTGGGTAGTGTAGATATTAAATTGTTAAAATCATGACCCCTGGGGGTAGGGTGGGGCCACAACAGGGAATTCCAAGTTTTACATAGAAAAATATAGAACAAATCTTTAAAAATCTTCTTCTCAAGAAACACTGGGCCAGGAAACAAGCTGAAACTTATGTGGAAGCATCCTTGGGTAGTGTAGATTCTAAAGTTTTAAAATAAAAAAGGGAAGGGGGTTGTTATATATGATAGGTATAGCAAGAGGGGGAATCTGAAAAAAATTAAAGATCTGCATCACCCAAGTTACTCAGGTGAGCGATGTGGCCCATGGGCCTCTCGTTATTAATATGCATGTGCTCCTTTAACAAAATCGATTTTGGTATACATGTAATTAAATTTTTTTTCCATTTAGAAATGTCCAAAGACTACTTCAACAGGTGTAAATACATAAAGGCATCAAAGTACGGATCGTACGCAAAAGGCACGGCCATGGGCGGAATCATCGTTATGGTTATTACCCTTCTCCTAATTATAGCACAAGTCCTGCACTACCAAATGAAATTCTATTATTAGGAGCTACCAGAGTTCTACACTCATCCTAGATTTCTGCTGACCGTCTATTTATACTTCAGTACATTAAATTTACTAGTCCAGATGAACATATTTGGAGATACTTTGATTTCATAATTAAGAGACTCAAATATGTACGCTGTAGAACATATCTATATGTACTTTTAGAATATTAACTTTAAAATGTTACCAGGTTGAAAATGATGTTTCTTTACACAAAAAATATATACAACCGTCAACACATGACATGGTATGTAATTAACAGTTTAAAAATGATATTGAAGACTGAATCAGAGCATTATGTAAATGTTACAAAGGTTCATATAATTTAGCTTCTCATTTAGTAAATGGTTCAGGGACAAATAATTTATATGCCTTACATTTTAACTTACTGTTATGCAAACAAGCAATTTTATACAATTCAAAGGACCTTATTCTTTTTCACAGAGATGCATTTTTCTTTTGGTTCATTTATGGATGTTTTTTTTTTTGTAAATTCATTTGTTTCATCATGTTTATACCATTTTTATTACACTCATATGTAAATGTATGCATAAAAGTCATGCTTTTATACCCAATGTGTATATATACCAGGTGACTATGATTTGATAGATTGTAATCATTGCATTTTGCTTATAATGCTAGCCAACAGATTTTTAAACTTTGTACCATTATAGGCTTTTAGAAAAAAAAAATAGATTTTATTTTCTTTTAAACAACACAGAGTAAAAAATCCTTAAACTTGAAAAAAAAATTGTTAAGTAGGATTTTCAAATATCTTATTAATTTTTTACGTTTAGATTTTTTTGTTTTATCCTATTCCCTTTTGTAATCCTATCTTTATATATATTAATTAAGCCCTCTTATTCCAATGACCAAACAAAAAAATATTAACAAAAGTGCTGTAAATTGGGACAATATATATATATAAAAGTAAAAAAAAAAAAACCAAACTGCATTATAATAGATTTATTAATTAGATACAATGTTAAATACTAAAACTAAAATCATTTCACTGTTCCAAAAATTGCACAACTTTAATTAATTTGATATGCATAACAGATTTTAATCTTGTTTTCATGCACACAAATCATAAGAGTTATGTGTGAGTAATAGATCTTTTTTATTTCTACAAATTAAATACTTTGGTTTACAGATATTAAATGTTCTGTCACTAGCTGTCCCATTTGTTCAGTAGCTGATGCACAACAGTGCTTCAATGTGATTCAGATGAAAAATAAGGGAGACAACTTTCCATTTTATTTCTATGTATAAAATGTGCCATTGTTTATGACATTAAATTATGTATATATGTATGCATGGATAAATTCAAAGTGCAAAAGTAATTCATACATTATATAATATTACATTTATGTATGTAATCCTGTATCAAGATTATATATCTTTGTACAAATCATTTTATAACAAATAAATGATAAAAATGAAATTACAAACCTTTTATTGAATTCATTTCATACTTCCCATGAGTAGATTAATTGTCATAAATATATAATTACATTCCTTAATTATATAAAAGTTTTTTATTCTGTATAATGATCACAATTTTTTGTGAAAATGTTCTCATTAACTTGCCCATTTAATAGGTTCCTGAGGAAGTGACTAGATTCTGTTTAAATCATGACCCCCAGGGGTAATCTTAATTGGGGCACAATAAGGGTTGGAAGTTTTACATGACGGTGTATAAAAAAAAAAAATACACTGTATTCAAATCTTGATCCCAAAGTATAAGGTGAGGCCACAATAAGGGATCAAATTTTAATGTTAAATGATATAATTCTGAAAAAAACCTTCCTCTAAGAAGCGTCACCTGTGTGGGGCAGTGGTTAGAATATCTACTCTAGAGTCGCGAAGTAATCCCTCTGTTGGAGGTGGAGACCGGTACTTCAGATGAGAGCATATAAACTGCGGTCCCGTGTCACAGTAGATGCTGCCACGAAAAAGATCCCATGAGATTCCTGCTTGAAGGCCCTGAATGCCGAGTATAGTTCAAAATTTGCAGTTTTCACATATCTAAAAACATGAGTGAAAAAATAAATTATTAAAACAATGAAATACAGAATTAAATGTGTAAAAGATGATATTAACCATATACTTTTGAATATAGCTTTCATGAACTTTTAGAATTGAGAAATGTCTTTTCTCAGAGCGGGCGATTGACATCGCCTTGTATGCTTCCATTCTTTCTATTTTCAGTAATCATGGTAGCTGCAGATCTGTAGAGTAATGGCTTTGTATATTTGTCTTTGACCATAAGGCTACAGATCCCGTAATGCAAAATAAGTGCAATTTATGGCACAATATTTTTTGCGCACTTTTGGGGAGAATTTCTCCACTTTCTAGCATTGGTCAATCAACTAGTACTACAGCAAAACTCGCTTAGTACGAACACGGATATTGCGAATTTACGGATATAGCGAAGTCATCTTGGATCCCCAGATATATAAATTTAGTGACTTTCCTATTCGGTTATAACGAATTACGGATATAGCGAAGTAATTTCACAGGTCCCAGTGACTTTGTTATAACCGAGTTTTACTGTACAGTACCTTTCACTCCCTAATTCTAGACACATTCTGTAGACAATATGTATATTGTATCCACCTCCCAACCGTTTATACTGTTAATTGTCTCTACAGGCAGTAAACTCGCTTGAAGTGAATTTTCAGCATTCTAATATAATTTTATTCAAACGAGTTTATCACATGTAGAGACGACTATAAAGGGTTGGGAGATGGATAAAATATATAGATTAGTTAAATAATGTGCCTAGCATTAGGGAGTGAAAGATAGTTAATTGACCGATGTTGGAAAGCGGAGAAATTCTCCTCAAAAAGTGCGCAAAAAATATTGCGCTGTAATTTGCACCTTTTTTGCATTATGGAATCTGTAGCGTTATGGTCAAAGACAAATATATAAAACCATAACGCTACAGATCTGCAGCTATAACAATGGCAACTCCATTCATTGAAATAAAAAACTGATATACAAAATAATGTATCTTCGTTTAGTCTACTTTTGTGCCAAGTTATATTGAAATCAGATCAAAACTATAGAAATAACATTTTGAAAGTAGTTTACATTAATTTCTATTTTTAGTAACTATGGCAACAAGGTTCGTTTAAATGAAAAACCCAATTCAGGGAATATTGTAGTTAATTAGTATAGTCTACCTTTGTGCAAAGTTATATTGAAATCAAACCAGAACTGTAGGAGGTCAGGAGCTAGCATTTTGAAAGTATTTCATTGAAATACTTATTTTTAGTAACCATGGCAACACCCTTCCTCGATATCAAAAATCGATACACAGAAATATATCTATCTTAGTGTAGTCTACTTGTGTGCCAAGTTATATTGAATTCAAACCAAAACTGTTTAAGGAGTAAGCTCCGAGTAGCATTTTGAAAAATTGTTGACAGACAGACAGACGGACAGATGACGGAACCTTTCTACTTGTGTGCTAAAACAAGAGGCCCATTATGCATCCCAATTGATAATAATTTTGACATTTTGAAATCTACACTACCCCAGGATCCTTCCATGTGCACATAAAGCTTTTCTGGCCTGTGAGAAGAAGATTTTCAGAGATTTTTCCTATATATTTCTATGTAAAACTTTAATTCCCAATTGTGGCCCCGCCCTTCACCCGGGGTCATGATTTCAACAATATAGAATCTACACTACCCCAGAATGCTTCCTCATAAGTTTCAGTTTTTCTGGCCCTGTGGTTCTTGAGAAGAAGATTTTCAAAGATTTTTCCTATATATTTCTATGTAAAACTTTGATTCCCCATTGTGACCCCGCCCTTCCCCTGGGGGTCATGATTTGAACAATTTAGAATCTACACTATACCAGGATGCTTCCACATAAGTTTCAGCTTTTCTGGCCCAGTGGTTCTTGAGAAGAAGATTTTCAAAGATTTTTCCTATATATTTCTATGTAAAACTTTGATTCCCTATTGTGGCCCCGCCCTTCCCCCGAGGGTCATGATTTGAACAATTTAAAATCTACACTACCCTAGAATGCTTCCACATAAGTTTCAGCTTTTCTGGCCCAGTGGTTCTTGAGAAGAAGATTTTTTAATGACCCCATCCTAATTTTGTCTTTTCTTGATTATCTCCCCTTGTAAGAGGAATTGGCCCTTTATTTTAACAATTTAAATTCCCCTTCACCCAAGGATGCTTTGTACCAAGTTTGGTCAAAATTGGCCAAGTGGTTCTTGAGAAGAAGTCGAAAATGTGAAAAGTTTACAGACGGACAGCTGCATAAGCTCTTTGTGGTCTCACTTGAGCCTTTGGCTCAGGTGAGCTAAAAATATACATGTATTATTTGATAAATATATATGTGTAATAATATCTTTTCAAGATAAGTTACACTGACTCAGATGGTCACGCCTTTTCATGCTTTTGATTGCGAAATCACGAATTAATCGGGCTCGAGATCTTGTTTTGCAGCCGCTAGGTGGTGCTTTGTTTATCTTCGCAGTCGAAACAGTAACACGCCCAAAGTTCTGAGGAATTTTGTTTTTATATGAAGAATATTCTTTAATTTGACGGATATCTTTCGTAATTTGGTAATGTATAACTTTTATTTTTTAGCTGTGTTTATTTTACGACGTCTATCATTGACAGTTCTTGTCCACTGCTTGTCTATTTTTAGAAATTTGTTTTCATTTTGTAAGTTGTTGTAAACATGGTAAATGGAGTTTTCAGAGTAGATAAGAAGATATCATCAAAGAATTTTGAAAAACACACATTTTCATTCAAATTGACAAACATCTCTAACTACGCCATGGGCCTACTTATTAGTTATATCGCGATTGAATGCCTCGCTTCGGAAAAACGAGAAACCGGTTAATAGAGTAGGGGTCTATTAAGTTTTTTAAAGGACCTTTCTGACCATGCTGACAAAAATGAATTTTGCTCCATAAATTCTGCCTGATATGTGTTTTTTTCAATTAATGAGCCAATTTTAGATCAATCCTTCTATTAATCCCTGTTGAGATTCTGCTGGGCTAGATATTTGGACTGCGACGGCATCAGTCCAAATATGTAGCCCAGCAGAATCTCAACAGGGATTATCCCTCTATCTCATTACTACAAGAACGAATTAAGGGGGCCGACTATAGTTTCCATTGCGCAATATTTCGCGCATCATAGTAAAATGAATCGTATTTACTGTTTTAATGCAACTTTTTTTGCTTAATTATTAAAATTAAACAAAATTAAGAAATTATAGTATTAAAAATGTAATTACAATTTGATATAACTGATTTTTTAACCGATTTTACAATTGATAGGTAGGTTGATGTCGTTGCAGTGTGTTTTTGACGTTATGATAATCTGTGGCTCTTAAAGAAAGGGATAATAAAAATATTATTAAGGAAAAAGTAATAAACATACGCTCTTGAAATTCAAAACATAGAAATTTGAGAATATCTCCAATATTTTTATCATGTTTTCATGTGAATCCATCATGTACGTCATATTTTGTAATGCTCTATAAAAATTGTAAAATTTGCTAATTTTTTGCATTTTGAGATGCCCCCTCTGGTAACAAGACGGTAGAATTTTGTGTATCTTACATATATTGTATAATATAGTATTACTCATCAAATATTATAGTTTGAACAAAATGTCTATTGTAGTATTTGTATAATTTGCTTTAAAGTGCTAAAACTTGGCATTTTCCTATATAATCCTATAGTAAATGTACCTATATTTTGAGACGGTCCCTCAAAAATACCTGGACAATAGATTTCCCCCAAACTTTGCATGTACACTGAAGTTAATGTAAGTTATATATGGTATAAAAATGAAGAGTTTCGCTATTGTAGTTTTCACACAAAAAAACTATAGTCGGCCCCCTTAAACAGATCAGAAATAAATGAAAAAAAAATATTTCAATTATCATTACTGAATTCATAAAAAATGAATTTCTACATCGATTCCGTATATCATGACAATTGAACTGTTTTGATGGTATTCATAATGCTAGCAGTAGGGTACAAGTAAATGGTAATTAATGTGGAAGAAATATATGGAGATAACGAACAGTATTCATGATCACATGTCCATAAAACAATACAAAATAGAAGCAGAGCAAACAAGGACCTCCAAACATCAGAGGTGCATGAGATCAGATGCCATGGAGAAGTGAGCATCCCACGCCGACCAGTCACACCCGCTGTGTGCTTCTTGTCATGATCCAATACTTGTATATGTGCTTCTCAAAATATATATGCTTTCAAATTCTGGTCACTATAGCTTTTTTAATATCAAAAAAAGGTAAAATTCTTAAATACTGTAGGAGTCTTTCATGTAGACACATGCATGATTTAACATTTATTGAAGATGAACTTTTGTAATTTGTAACTCAAATTTTTCTTATTTCTGAAAGAAGTGAGAGATATGATAATTGTCTGGATTGAGTGCTAAAGTATTATTCTTTTGAAAGAGTAATGTAAAACACACAACAGTGTCATCTGCAAAGTCTTGTATGGGATCCTACCTGCCCAGAGAAGTCATTAGTTTATAAAGGAGAGGGGGCTATTAGAGTACAGAGCTCTAACATGTCTCAGATCTGAAAATTGGTGAAAGTTTGATACAATGTAGTAAGCTTTTTCGTAAAAAAAAGTGGACAGAGAATATATTTAACTAGATGAAATCTGTATTCCCATTCATTATTATTTTATGCTTGAGTAACAAGAATCATGTAGTAATTTCTTTGACCCCCACTGTGTGACTTGGTCTAATTCTGCCCAAAGGAAGATTAAAAATTTTTATAGAGCTAGTCTTCAGGTGTGCATTTCTTTGAAGCCATCATTTTTTGTGTACCACATATGGTCTAGTCAAGATAACATTGAACTTGTTTTGAATTGATTTACTGTAGTTAGACTTAGTTATAAAGGCACTACTATTTTAGAAATGCATGGGTCTTTGATTAAGCCCTTTGATAGAAAGTTGAAATTGATTATAGTTTAAGTAAATAAATGCATAATACACAAGATAACTAATTAAATCAGACTTCTTAGATCTGTGCCGTATTCACTCTGTATAAGAAGTTATGGTTATGCATGTATCATTGTGTTTCTGTATATTTTGTAGAAACCCTGAGTCATGGCAGGCTGTTGTAATACTATAGATATGGTTATATCATTGTCTTTGTGTATTTTGTAGAAACCCTGAGACATGGCCGGTTGTTGTAATACTATAGCAAGAGGACTGCTGATTCTCTTCAACATCATCTTCTGGGTAACTGACTTATTACAAATAATAACACCAATATAGTAAAAAATATCACCAACTTAGTAAAAAATATCAACACCAACTTAAAAACAAATATCAACTCCAACAAAGTTAATAACACAAATTTACTACATTCAAAAAACAAATTTCAACACCAACCAAAATATCACTGATTGGGTAACAAATATCAAAACCAACTATTAACAACTATTAAGTAACCAGCTTCAACACTTTTGACTAAAATCAGGTCAATATGACTTGTTTAATGAAATTGAAGGAAGAAGTAAAAATAATTTCTTGATAATAAATCTACTTTTGATATATAGGGATAGACTAACCTTTAGCTGTTGAATTTGCAATTACATTATAAATATAAATATTACAAAATAGTGAGTGTTTTTATTATTTTTTTAAGCTTTCTGGAGCTGCACTGCTGGGTTTGGGAATTTGGTTCAAAGTTGACAAGAACGTTAACTCTTATTTCGATGTTGTGGACGTGGATACGGAGGATCCGTATTTTGATTATGCGGTGTACGTCCTGATCGGGTTTGGAGCGTTTATTTTCCTCGTGGGATTTTGTGGATGTTGTGGGGCCATCAGAGAAAGCAAATGTCTGCTAGGATTTGTAAGTCGCTTTCAAATAATTCATCAACTAGTGCTAAGCTCTGCTATCTTTTAGTTAGCTTCTGTAAATTATTTTCAAATCCTTTTTATTTCATTCATCCGTTGGCATAATTCTTTTTCAGAATATAAGAAGTTATTGAATGAAATTAAGTGAATTAAATGAAAGTAGGAAAAAAGTAGAAAAATAATGTTATACTCTTGTACTATGTATGTTTTATTATTTTCGCATAAACAGATTAAAACTAGAACAGGTTAGATTCATTATAGGAATCATGTTGCTGTATATTTCACAATTACCTTTAAAATGTGTGTAACCTGTACTTGTAAACAAGCAAGAGTCTTCTCAAGTATTGGGTATAGCAATTTCTTCCTTAATCAGTATGTAAAGTCAACAGAAATATGAGAATAATCAAGTCAAAACAGCAATGTCAACATCTTATAATACCAGTTAATTTAAACACAATTTGAAGATCCTCAAATATGAAAACTTATTCATTTGCTTTTTGGACATGTGATTCAACATGCTTTTATTGATAGGTTGGTACTTAATGTCGTTTCTATGTTTACTACAGCATTTCTTAGTCAGTGCTGCATTAATAGATACCATGTTGCGACAAGGAAAAATGCCGTATTTATCGTTCCTCAAATTAATTATGCTCTTATCAGTCTAAGCACTGTATTTAAAATTAACCAGAAAGGTCAGAAAACCAGCAAAGAAAGGTTTTAATTTAGATTGTAATTTTTCAAGATTTCTGTTGCTTGGCAACATTGTAACATTTGTTTGAGTAGAAACCATTTAACTGTTGTATTTGTAACTATGGCAACACATTGGGATTATTGCTATCTTTTAGAAGGGTGTGGTTTTTATATGTTGTAGAAGTTATGCCAATATGTAAGCAGTTTGACATCACACAGTATTCTATTTCAGAGAACAGATAAGCCAGATATCATAGAATCAGATTTAATGAAACAGATACTCAGTACTTAACTATATTGGTTTTATATGTCATAAAAACTGTTAATAAAAATAGATATTATCTACATAAGTAAAGTCAAAATAAATCAATCTACTTAGGCATTGATTTTTTCAGCAACTGGTTCCTGTTTTTTTTTTTAATGATGGTCAGATTAAAATGCTTAGTTGTACATATATCAGTGTTGGGTGCTGAATGTAGCTGATCATTTTATAGATCTACATCATTCTATTAATTGTCTGTGGCTGCTTCCGAGTTCAACATCGAGTCCTAAATTGTAATGCTATACTCTAATAAAGATATGAAATATTTTGTCATTAATAGATGTATAGATATAGGATCTCTCAAGGCTCAGGGATAAAAAAAAAACAAAACACAAACTTGTTAAATAAAAATTATATCCAGCTACAAATCAGGGGAGATTCTTTTTATCCCTTGTTTTATACATCGCAATTTTTTACACAGTTTCTATTGAGGAATCTACTCAATTTATTCCACAAACCCCATTGGTCATCACAGACTTGGGATATGATAAAAATATCCAGTGAGTAATATCAAAGGGATGAAGGGGTGAAGATTGGATAAAGATATACAGTGTATATGTAAGGGTTGATCGGAAAGTATTAAATTGTCACAACTACTAAATGTAATCTCCGTAAAATCCACCCATTTTTCTGAAAGCTATGGATCGACTTAAACTATAAAAATTACGAATAATTCACCATTTTCAGTATGATCGAGTATATTTAATATTTTGCTTAGCTTTTAAACACCCTGACTATAATCACTTTGTACACTGTACCTGTGTTTCTACAGAGTGCCAGAAGAATTTTATTGTTTCCTCTGACAGTTTAATTAATTTTTTTTACAGTATGTTTTCTTTTTGATCCTCATCATTGGAGGAGAAGTTGCAGCTGGTGCCCTAGGCTTCATTTATAAAGACAAGGTAAGACTTATATATGGCTTACAGGATTCAGAGGTAGATTTATTTAAAGGCATCTTATGTTGGATACAGTGAAATCTGACTTTACAACAAGTACTGGTAGATATAGACTTTATGTCAGAATGAACATGTGTAAAAACATGGAAAAGCGTAAAATGAAATAAGGGTCAGGAGCTTGCCTTTATGGGTTTTCTGATCGAAATTTGTCTGTTGTTATACGCCCGTCTTAAGACGGGACGTATTATGTTATAGGCTTCGTGTCCGTCCGTCTGTCCGTCTGTCTGTTAGCTTTTTCGTTACTGGCTCATAACTTTAATACTATTAGGCCTAGGATTATCAAACTTTGTCATCTGATGCATCTTGGGTAGGAGGTGTGTCGCACACAAAAAGTAGGTCGCTCTGACCTTTTATTAAGAAGTTATAGCCAAATATGGAAAAATCCTTTACGGCCCATAACTAGAAAACTATAAGACTAACAATCATCAAACTTGGCCAGTTTATGCATCTTAGGTAGGTCACTGTGACCTTTAATTTAAGTGAAATTAAAAAAAAAATGTCTTTTTACTATTCATTTAAGCATCCCAAATAATGTAAGAGAATTGCTCTCTTCTTATTAAAAAAGTGTTAAATCAAGAAAATACTTATTTTTTTAAGCATATACTTGACAGCAATCTATAACAAATATAATGTATGTTCGAGAAATCCTACCTCTCCCTTGAGTGTAATTATCAAGCACTGGTCAAGAAGAATTTTGATAACAGAAAATTGCATGTCAAATTAGAGAGAAATTAATGAGTTTTGAGTGTGAGGATCTAACTGATAGAACATCAGTGTTATCTACATCCCTTGGGTATTGGGCAGACGGGTAAGCCTGTTGGATTAAAAATAGCTCTTGTTGGCTAGCCTAAGTTTTAAAATGAATTTGATGAAAAGTAATTAAAACTAATTTGATATTGCATAATAGACTAATCTGATATTATATAATATTATTAATTTAAAAACTAATTTTAAGGGGTGGGGTGGAATCAGCATTTCCATATGAATTACATATTAAAACCTGTCGGACATTAAATCTCAACCAAAAAATATCGTTGAATATTTTATATGTTTAGAAAAAAATTTATGGTAGATAGTGCAGACCCATTCATCTCTTGGTAGTCATGAGTAGACAAGCATCCAGTTAAAGATTAATTAATGAGTTCAGTGTAGGAAGGCTAGCTGATCAAGCGGCTTATCTGTATCCTTTGGGGATTAGACAAAAGAAGTGCTGGTCAGTTTATAGCATATGTCATTTGATGGCCAGGCCTTTTCTTTTCAAAATTAATTTGGTGTAGATTAAGATGTTAAGACTAATTTGATATTGTTTAATATGATGGGCATTTGACAAGGTCTAAAGGCCGGTTTACACTATGCATCTTGACACATGCATCTTGGATGCATCTTGGATGCATGTGTCAAGATTCACAGTGTAAAAGCCCCTTGTGTCAAATTAAATGGGTGTTGCATCTTGAACGATGGAATAGAACTTGTTCTATTCCATGCTTCAAGATGCATGGAACTGACCAATGAAAAGAAAGGTCAGAATTAATATTGAATCATAAGTCTTATTTTTTCCATATAGTTTCAAAAATAGCTTCCCAAGATACACAAAAACAGAAAATACTGATTAAAACTACAATTAGAAAAACTTATTTGATTATTATAATATAGAGGAGTTTTTGTTTTGGAATAAATATGAATTATATCTTCCAAGAATTATCATAAAAAGGAAATTAAGAATAATTTGTTCAGCTAAAATAAATCTAGAATTGAAATTTGAAGGTATTGTTATTTTTTTAAGTAGAGAAAATTTCATCTTTCCAAAGTATTCTAAAGATGCATGCATCAAGACACATAGTGTAAATAAGAAGATGCATGAGGCAAAATTGAAGCATGAGTTTAGATGCATGTGTCAAGATGCATAGTGTAAACCGGCCAAACACAACCAGCATAGAAATCTATTAATGATGTAATATTTATTATAATTAATGCCTAGATAACAGGAAATGGATAAATATTTGAAGGAATGGAAAAATCATGGAAATCTTGGAATCAAGGTTGACGTGATTTTCTTGCACACTAAAATGTTCAAGAAAATTGTATTTCTTTTGACGGGCGTATCATGCTGTGGCGCGGCACTTCATTTGCATTGCCGTCATTGTCATAAACTTTTCACATTTCCATCTTCTTCTCCAGAACAACTGGACCATTTTCAACCAAACTTGTCACAGAGTATCCTTAGGTAAAGGGGATTCAAGTATTCAAATGAAGGGCTATATCCTCTTCTAAGGGGAGATAATTATAAATTTATGAAAAATTAATGGCATCTTTTAAAAATCTTCTTCTCAAGAAAATAGCCAGAAAATATGAAACTAATGTGGAATCATCCTCAGGTAGCATAAATTCAAGTTTGTTCAAATTGTGAGCTTTGGGGATATGGTGGGGCCACTTTGGACAATCAAATTTTACATAGAAATATTTAAAAGAAAATCATCTTTGTTAGCCAAGGGTTTCTGATCATGCTGATACACTACTCTCATCAGCCTTTGGCATATGGTGTTTAAAAAAGGTGGGATTTTTTTCTCAAGTTGTGATTGGAGTGGATCAACATTGATTGACCAGTCATGAATTGTTTTTTGTAAATGACAATATCTGCATTCGGGACATATTTTGACTCTTTACTCTCAGAAATGAAAAACGCAAGTAAACAATGATCACATGCTATTCTATGAATAGATATGGTGTCATCCAAAATTTAAAGATATGTGCAAAATATGAATTAGAATCTATATTGAAGATGTAGATTTGCACATTAAATAACAAATGAAAAATCAATACCGTCTCGTTAATTATGCTTGAAAAACTTTCATGATTTAAATATGTGATGTATTTCTGTTGATGACACAATTTGTGCATACCTGTTCAAAATTCGAGATCACTTGACGAAAACTATCCTGTTTTTTCACAGCACTGTATGCCAAGGGATGAGGAGAGTATCATATCAGAAACCCTTGGCTAGTGAAGAAGAGGAAAAATCTGTAGACTTTCTTCTTCTCAAGAACAGCAAAGCCATGATTGGTCATATTTATATGGTAGCATTCTCAGATGGTGTAGATTCAAAATTGTTCAAATCATGACCCGTGCGGCCACAATGAACAATCACAGTTTTACAAAACGAGAATACGTGTATAGGAAAAATCTTTAAAAATCTTCCCTTGAGATCAGCAAATTAAGCTATGATTGGTCTTATTTATATAGAAACATCCTCATATAGTGTAGATTTAAATCATGACCCTCATACATGCCAACTTTTGAAAATTCCCATGCATAGTTGCCAACCTCCAGTATGTAAAAATCTGGTCATGACCAGATTTGGAAAGTAAAAAATCTGGTCATAACGCATAACGACATTCACGACATATTTACCATGATTAAATTTTATACTTATATATACAAAGTATTTGTGTATTAAGAATTCTTTAATTTATTGAAAAAGGCTTTAATTTACAATGACAAAAAATTCATACATACATAATTTGATTAATAAATCTACGTTAAAAAAGAGAACTGAAGGTTTCATATTTCAGTATTGACCTGAAGTAAGTGTTTTGTTTTTTTTAAAGCCTTTTCAGTTTCTGCTAAATTTGAAAGTATATTTCAGTTTTGAAATTATTTTTCCTCTCTCTTAAGTTAAATAATTAACTACTGCAATATGTATTTAATGTGAAGTTAGGCCTACACTGTCTTCGATCACTTTATTTTATCTAGAATCCATTTTTTTCCAAGATTCCTTGATATGTACATAAATATTGTTTCTCTTTTTCTTGGTTCAATCAGACAACATGTGTTTGGTTCAATTTGTTCCTGCTGGCCCTGATAACGATCTAGTTCTATCGGAAGCCATTTTAATTGACTTCAAACATTGATTTGTCAAAACAACACCCAGTTAATTGTTTACACCTGTACTGATAATTAATCCATCGGCATTGTTTACGTAGATCTAAGCTTGGGTTGTAACTGGAAGTTAAAAGTGCAACCTAATTTACGAACCAAATCCGGAAATCGGGAGATTTTCAGGTTGCTCGGCAAAAATCGGGTGAAAAGCATGACCCGCCGGGTCATAAAAAATAATCGGGTTACGGGTTGAAAAATCGGGTGTGACCCGACGAAATCGGGTGAGTTGGCAACTATGTTCCCATGGGGGATTTAGCGCGTGACGACAATTTTCAAAGCTTTAAATTCGCGACATTTTGTAATGAAATTAAATGATTATGAAATGATCTTTTTTTTATTTATAATATTGATATCACTTATCAATACAACTTAAGGAGGCTCATTACACCACTTTTTGATGACGTACTACACAAAAAAATAAACCTCCATTGTGTCGACCAGTTTGCTCAGGGGACGAGTTGTATAGGTACCTCTATAATATGACCCTGACCTTTAAAACGCTTTAAAAATAGATGAAACATGCGGTGTTGTAAACAGTGAAAACAAAGTAGCGGATTCATTATGCATAAACCAAGAAGAATTGCTTTTAGGCAGAAACAGAAGAAAGCAACAGTCAAATCTTCGCCAAACAAGTAATGTCAATTTCATAGCTGTGCATGCAGTGAACTCTATCAATCACAGACATGTGTGTATGGAGGAAATTCGAGTTAAAATCTACAACCTTGTTGAAATTAAAATTTTATTTGATTGCGCTATTTACTGTGTTGGTGTTAATTTATATATTTGTTTTATTGATTTAAATGTATAATCTGGCAATTTAAAGCTTTATTCTGAATTTTAGATGTAATGTCAAACGTTCCATAGTGTTTTGAGTCTTGGCTAATTAGGAAAGATAACTCTTGAAAGTGGACTTTTTATACCGAATATTTTTTAAATTGGATTTTTCATTTCGTTTAAACTTTCTTCATTCAATTTGACACATGTAAGTCATTGAAATACATCCCTTGTCTCTTCAGAACACATTTTTTAAATGTTTTATGCATAGATTAAAAACATAATGACATTAATTGTTTTCTAGGAGAAAATTATTTTTTCTAATAAATTTATTATTAGGTATTATGAGGTATTTTCACTGTGTGTACTTGTCTTAAGAAAATGCCCATCATTTGACACTGAAAGTTCTGAAATTCTGTGAATAATAAACCTGAAATAAAACATTTAACTAAAATAAACAAAAACTAAAAAATTCTATAAAAAATATTTATGATATTAATACCCCCATCTGGATATTTGACATCGACATTATAAGTGGTGCTGTATTGAAATCTAAAATAAACTGTGGATGTAATGAGCCACCTTAAGGATTAATTTAACACAAAAAATGATGTTTTAATTTCTTTCCAAAATTGAAATATTTTTTCTAAAATAGGTGCCTCTCTCACTAAAGAAGGGGTATTTAGTTACATATGTAAACAACATAATTTTTCTACCAGGACACATATTTTATTTAGTGAAAAATTGAAAATTGTACAACTTTTAAATCATTTTTTTTCAAAGGCTAAAAAATATATGAGGTTTTGATACTGTAAAGTCCTGTTTCTGGAAACATTTTTGACACATTTTATTTATATTTCTATTAATTGGAAATTCTAATAAGATACTAAATTTACAGAAATTTACACCACCTATCCAAAAGAGTATTTTTTTTTACAGTCATGAAATTTGTCAGGTTTGATGGTGCCATGTGGGTATTTCCTTAAGTCATGCACATACCTAACATACAATATTACTATTGGGAGAAGGGAGGGAAAAGAAATTCTAATTGACATACACTTGATTGTTTCATCTTAATTTTTTCATAATATTTTAACTGCCAAACTTTACAATATTTTTCATTATAGGTAGATAAAATCAACAGCCATGCTTTGTAGTTTTCTACTTTCGTTTTCAAAAAAAAAAAAAAAAAAAAAAAAAACGATCTCTTTGGATTACAATTTTATGGTTTGACTAGTGTTTTATTGTCTTTAATTTAGGTTTTTAATAAAAGAACTAACAATTACCACGTTAATCTATGTGTTTCACCTTGCATACCCCTTAAAACTGACAAGATAATCCCGAATTGCCCCAAGCTATAAGCTACTTGTACCTGGACAACTGCGTGCGTTCATGCGTGAAGTGATTTCCTGTGATTTAACACCTGGTTAAATAAACAATGAAACTTTTCTGTGTGCATTGAATAAACAAGTCTGACATTGTTATCCCGATTGTCAAAATTCAGCGGTAGGAAACTTTTAAAATCGGAAATTTTGGTGATTTTTTTTTTCAAATCGGGAAATTGGGGCAATTTTTCTCTCAAGATCGGGAAAGCGGGATGAAAGGGTAAAATCGGGAGGATCCCGCCTAAATCGGGAAAGTTGGCATGTATGGACCCTGGGGGTAGGATGGGACCATAATGAAACTTCAAACTTTAGGAAAAAATCTCAGTCAAAGAAATATATAAGCATCTTTAGTAAGTGTAGATTCAATTATGTTCAGATCATTCACCCTGCCTCCCTTTTAGGGGTAGATCTTAACCACTTATGCATTAAAACTTTTCAAAGATGAACTGATTTTTGTTTTTTCCTAGCCACAGTGCTCGGGTGAGTGATGTGGCCCATGGGCCTCTTGTTCAGGTGTTATTTTACTCTATTACAGTTGCATGTACATGAGAACTTGAAAAATTGTTGTATTGAAGAAAAAAATATTTAAAATAATTGAAATGTTACAAGAAAATGCTATATCTTCCAAAAATTGGCCATAATAGTCATTACTTAAAGGTTTGAAAATCCTGTTGCAAGCTACACTTCCCTAAGCAAGTTAACATAGCATGAGGTCATAATCAAATTATCATAGCATTTGAGGTAAATGTGATCCTAGAATATACAGAACAAAATTATGTCTCGGTTATTGGGTTAATGGCGTGATGTTTACTGGTAGATAAATGATCAATATCTGTCAGGAGAAGTTTACCTCTGAATATATATTTATACGTAAAAGTAAATCTTACCTATCAAATCTGTGCATGTATACTAGTATTTATTTTTCCATATAAACCTTTTTAATTTTTTTTTTGGGGGGGGGGGGTTCATTTTCAAAAAACATGTAAAATTACATTTTTAAAAGAAAGAGTAGCTCTCCCCTGCTTTTTTTCAGCATTGTTCAGTAGTAAAGTTCTCATTACTTCATATCCTCAGAGTTTAATGATTCAGAATGCCAGAGTAGCAGTAGATGTGTCATTGAAGCTTGTTCTATATGTAAAACTGAAAAACACCAAAGAGGTTCTTAATTTTTTTGTGAACTTAGTTTTCACAAGGAATGCACCATTTGTCACGATCAAGCTGTAGGCAGTAATTATTACCTATGTAACGTACAACTTCAAACCTAAATGATAGGTTGTAACCTTTATCATGATATTGATTTAATATAGTAGGCAAATCTTGATTAAAATTCAAATGCTTCCTAGGCACCTAGAGAGAATCTCGATTACTACTCTACCAAAGCTGAAACACAAGAAGAGGTCATATTTCAGTCCATTGTTAATTACACAGGCTTGTCACGTTTTACATGAATTGTGACGCAGTATATAGATGGATATTGACTTATGATCTTATTTTTAATTCTGCAAGGCTCTATACAAAATTGGAAATTCCGCTTACTAGATGTTTAGGTACACACATTGATTTTCTGAACATCTGGGGCCAGGATTTAAATTCATTTGAAGTTTTGCTTTTTGTAGCCCTACCACATTCCTCTACTTCCTTTATGAAAGGTTGGGGTGGGGATGGGGTTGGTGGATGGTTGCCTTTAATACAAACTTGAATGCCAGACTTAATTAAGTTTTTAAAGGAAAATTTAAAAAAAGGGGGGGGGGGGGGGTAAAGATAGATTGTGGTAAGATATGACACATCATAATTCATTAGCACAGCATTTAAATAACTTTTACAATGTACATGTAAATGTATTAATGCTTTTGCATGTCTCAAAAGTGTTTCAATCATTTCATGCACTTGATTAATTGCCAGTTCCTGTTTTGGTAAAATTGTTCCTAAGTTGTTTTTAAAACCTACAGAAAATATGTCTATCTTCAGGTGGAAACAAAAGTTAATGATCTTCTTATGGAAACCATGGCCAAGTACAGAATCAGCAAGAACATCAGGACTTCCTGGGACTTTGTACAGATTGAGGTAAGTACAAAGCCAGTAAACATAAGGAATTCCTGGGACTTTGTACAGATTGATGTAAGTACAAAGCCAGTAAACATAAGGAATTCCTGGGACTTTATACAGATTGAGGTAAGTACAAAATCAGCAAGAACATCAGGACTTCCTGGGACTTTGTACAGATTGAGGTAAGTACAAAACCAGTAAACATCAGGAATTCCTGGGACTTTGTTCAGATTGAGATAAGTACAAAGCCAGTAAACAAAAGGAATTCCTTGGACTTTGTTCAGATTGAGGTAAGTACAAAACCAGTAAAGATAAGGAATTCCTGGGACTTTGTACAGATTGAGGTAAGTACAAAATCAGTATACACAAGGAATTCCTGGGACTTTGTACAAATGGAGGTAAGTACAAAACCAGTAAACATAAGGAATTCCTGGGACTTTGTTCAGATTGAGATAAGTACAAAACCAGTGAACAAAAGGAATTCCATGGACTTTGTTCAGATTGAGGTAAGTACAACTGTACAAAACCAGTAAACATAAGGAATTCCTGGGACTTTGTACAGATTGAGGTAAGTACAAAATCAGCAAGAACATAAGGAATTCCTGGGACTTTGTACAAATTGAGGTAAGTACAAAATCAGCAAGAACATCAGGACTTCCTGGGACTTTGTACAGATTGAGGTAAGTACAAAACCAGTAAACATAAGGAATTCCTGGGACTTTGTTCAGATTGAGGTAAGTACAAAACCAGTAAACATCAGGAATTCCTGGGACTTTGTACAGATTGAGGTAAGTACAAAACCAGTAAACATCAGGAATTCCTGGGACTTTGTTCAGATTGAGGTAAGTACAAAATCAGTAAACATAAGGAATTCCTGGGACTTTGTTCAGATTGAGGTAAGTACAAAATCAGTAAACATAAGGAATTCCTGGGACTTTGTTCAGATTGAGGTAAGTACAAAACCAGTAAACATAAGGAATTCCTGGGACTTTGTACAGATTAAGGTAAGTACAAAACCAGTAAACATATGGAATTCCTGGCACAGATTGAGGTAAGTACAAAACCGGTAAACATAAGGAATTCCTGGGATTTTGTACAGATTGAGGTATAATTTACTGTGTGTCCCATCATACCATATTAAATGATCATCAATCACTGCTACTTAATAGTATTGATATTCAACCTCTAATTTCATTCTCTATGATTAATTTCAGCTGGATTGTTGTGGATCAAATTCATATGAAGACTGGGACAAATTCAACATAACATATAATGCAGTGGTAAATATTTAATTAAACATCTTAGTGGTGAGGTCAACACCAGTAACTGGAATATTTATAATGCTGAAGTTAATAATTAAATGTTAGTTCAAGTACTGTAGTAAATAAATGAAAGATTATTAATAAAAAATGCTGGAGTAAACAAAAACAACAACAACAAAATACATGTACATATTACTTGTAATGCTAAGGTGGACAGTTAAGATATTCATGACATCTAATAGCTCAGAAATACCCAAATAAGTCTGTAAAATTACTTACAATGTTCTTATGTAAATCATTTAATTTTAAACTCTTAATACCATAATGCTCAACATGCACAGAAGTAAACTGTTCTTACAATGTGTATATTTATCTTGTTTAGAGGAAAGATTTTCCTGCGTCATGCTGTGTATTGGTGGACAAAGAAACAGCCATTGATAACCTGGACAGTGCAATGCCAAAAAATGCCACATTCTGTTTTAATCAAACAACTGGTTATTATCACGACAAAGCAAGTATAAACTACACATTTTATTCTTTGTGGTTTGCATATTGGGAGAGGGGAAAAAATGCTTTTTTAAATAAAAGGAGGTATTATCATGCAATGATTTACATAAAAAGAGATAAATTTTGTTATGTTCAAAACTTCAGTTTACTTCAATTTAATCTGATCTACTTTTTTATTTTTATGAAATTCTAAGACCTTGAAATAAAAAAAAAATTCATTTTCACATTAATTTAATGTATAAAATGTTTATTTCAGGGATGTGTCACAGGCTTGAAGGATCTTATATCTAAGTACAACTGGATTATATTTGGAGTGGCAATCGGAATAGCTGCTTTAGAGGTATTTATCACAAACCCACTTATGTGATTCAAGATTGATACATCTACAGCTGGTTGGGCAACAAAAAAGTCCTTTCGTGTAGAAATACAGAACATAGGAAGGTCAAGAAATCTTCTCAAGGATACATGATTGAAAACTGTCTTCATTATACATCGCAGAGTCAATTCAGGAAATGGTTCAAAAGGGCTTTTCTGATTAATATTTGTCAGTTTTTGTCTAGTCTATAACGTTCTAATTGATACACTTTGGAAGTTCATACTTCACACAAATGTCACATGTCTTGAAGGTCTGAAGGTCTGCCTTGATGTTGACCTTATGTCTTAATGGCAAGTTCAAGGTCATTTTGTAAAAAAAAATGCAAAAATTATTATTTTTTAATTGATATTTATTGGCTGTTTATATTTCACTCAACGATTACTTATCACTAGAGGATGTGTTATTTATTTTGAATAAAGGTCATTAAGGACAATTTCAAATTTACATTTACAAAATTGTGAATGGGCATTTTAAAAAGATTTCAGTACCAGGGAATATTATTCACCTACACACAATTAAGAGTACATGTTGTTTAATGAAGTCGTATTTGTAAATTGGAGAACTTAGTATACTCCGAGTAGAATAATGACACACTGACATAATACACAGAGTGAAGAACTCCGATTTTGTCTCTTTCAGGTGGTTGGAATTATTTTTGCCATCTGTGTTTGTCGAGAGATCAATAAGGACTGAGAGATTTCCGAACACCAAACCATCGTAGTATAATCATGTCCACCATTCATCACCACACAGCAGCTTTAGAAGAGCAAGGATCTGGGTATAATCTTATAAGTATTCCACACCATAGTATTGGGAGAAGCTTTAATGGTTTCACAGCCTACAAAACATTGTACTGTAGTAGGTTTTTATTTATTTAACAATGATATTGACTAATCTTATAATCTATGAGTAAATGCATTTTCTGTACTTTTTTGGTTTGAAATATGTACATGGACATGGAAAAGGCTTTTTGCAGTGATTTTAAATGTACTTAGATACTGGAGAACTTAATATGAGTTCTTTTAAGCACTCCATAAATTGAATAATTTATACTGAAAAATGTAATGCAGGCTTTTCTCCATGTTTGATATTTATAAACTTATTTTGTAAACAAACGAATGCAGTTTAAAGGTTTACTGAACATTTAATAATTTTATTCAAAGTTGTGAGATATTAGTTCATGTATTGAACGAACAGTTCATGTATTTGATATTATGTTCTTTCTTTACTCGTTTGAAATCCTTGAAAAAGTATACTGCAGTGATTTTCAAAATAGTGTACATTATCTTGTTAAAACAGGTTTAGGAACAAAGTATGTTTAGCTCACAGTCTAATAGAGGAAGTTCTGAAGTTAGTCCTGATATATAAGTACACTTGTCCTCATAGTCTTTTACATTAGCGTGTTAGCTTGCACTGAAGACATGTGTTAACAATGACTTAACATCTTATATATAGCAATATACATAACTGCACTGAATGGACATGTATATACATGTAAATGAACTGTTTTGAAAATCACTGATGTTTCAAAAGGAAATATACTTCTCTACTTATAATCTGTGTTAGTAGACTGGTGTAGATAGTTTTTTGTCTCGCCTGCGACGAATGTCGCGAAGCGAGACATAGCGACCATAGATTCCGTCGTCGTCGTCGTCGGCGTCCAACTTTTGGTTAACCCAAATGTCAAAGTTTTATAAACTGCAATAACTTTCTCAAATTTTATTCAGTCTTCTTGAAATTTGGACACAATATTCAGTATGGATAAAAATTTATATCCCAAGTATGATTTTGAAAAAAAAAATTCAAAATTTTTTCCTTAAGTTGGACTTATCATGATAATTTATGGTGAAGACCTATATAGCAACTATAAGTTATAGGGATATGATAAAGTATGGATACATCATGGGTAACTGCAGAATTAGGTCATTAACCATGAGTGACTTTGGTTAAATTTTTGGTAGTCCATATCTCAGAAATCAGGTTATAAGTAACCAACAACATCAGTACCAGAATTAGGTCATTTTGACCTACATTTTTCCGCATGAGTGACTTTGCATAAATTTATGGTGGAGGTCCATATCTCAGCAACTATAACTTATAGTGGCATGATAATTTGTCAGTGGATACATCATGGGTAACCACAAACGCCTGTACCAGACTTAGGTCATCTTGACCTACATTTTTCCGCATGAGTGACTTTGCATAAATTTAAGGAAATATACTTCTCTAACCAACAATATCAGTACCATAATTAGGTAATCTTCATAATCTGTGTTAGTAGACTGGTGTAGATAGTTTTAAAAACATCAATAATTTGTGAATTTACAGGGTATATGTATATATATATAAATGCCAATATAATTGCCAAGGGATTAGATATTGCCCTGTTCCATTTCAAAGTTATTCCCCATGGACGTTATTTCGGTGGATTTTCCTCTGAACAACCGCTTTATGAAGAACAACCTTTGCAATTATTATTTGAAATTACAAATTAAAGAATTTGTTAACAAATATTTATTTCTAAGGACAGCAGTGTTATCTACATCTGTGTGCCCAGTATAAATTTAACTTGGCTGAATAATGAAGGAATCAGGGTATGGTTACTTTCAATATGCAAGCAATGGAGATATAACTCTTGCCAAAGTGCTTCAATGGAAAATTATCTATAGCCGTTTAGTGTAGATATTAGTGCCTTTATAGAAAGTGTCATGTTTACACAGTAATTTTAGTCATCTGCATTTATAGTTATTTTTATACAAAATCTTTAAATTCTACCAGAATTTCACCCCAAATTTTCAGATCAGGAAATATATCTATAAGAACATCATGCGGTTATAAAAATTGAATGAATCAAATTTATGTCTGCGATTTTATTTTGACCAAAGAATTAAATACTATTTATATTGTGTGCTTGCAGAGCTTTAGAATGTTATTTTACTTATTAATACACTTGTAAATATATTAGTGAAGTTTTTATTGTAAAATATGCTGGAAAAGCTTTATATTTGCTGGACATTAAAGCAGATTGATGGGATATTGTAGGTTGGACATTTTGGTGATAATTGATGGACATTTTATGTGAAAATCTCAGACATGTTAGCAAAGTTTTTTAAGTACATTTAAGCAGATGAATATTTACAATTACATGTACCTCTTTTGTTCATCTGACTTAGTATGTCAACCCCTTTTCAGAAATGGGAAAAATCCAATAAAACTGTTGAGTTTTTATAGGTATATAGCTATTTTTTTCTTCTTTATAATATCCACCAAAGTTGTAGCTAAAATGTCCATTCAGACCTGTAGAAAATCAGCTTAAATGTCCAGTGCCCAGCTCTGTTGTGTTTATTATTTGTGTATATGTCAATATAAATTAGAAAAGTCAGGTTGTTTGTAAATTTTTATATATATACATACATTCTCATATGTTTTTGAGTATTAAATATATTTTATTGAATATTATTACTTATAGATTTGGATCAAAATATTAATTTGTTACAATTTGTTCTCTTTCATATGAAAATAGAGTAAAAATAAGTATTTATACCTCATTATGATATTTGATACCTTTTCTGCAAGGGAATTATTTCAAAGATGCATTTTGAAATACACCTACCTATGTCTATTTGACTCTGTACTTTTCTATTCAGAGGTGATAAAAAAAAGAATATTTACATTTATTGAAAGGATTTAGATTTGTGGAATTAATTATTGTATCCAAATTTGTATCAAGTTTTTATAAAAGTTAAAACCTGATTATGAAGAAGACATTGTTTATATAGTGTGTGCTTATTTAAAATGAAGTCGTATTCCTCCATACTGTTACATAATAATAATATCAGCACGCTTTGGCAAATTGGGGCTATAGCATTTTGGTTGGCTTTCAAGGTTTGTTATGTATGAAACTTAATGCCTAGGCTTTTGTAAAATCACAAATGTCACATTTCTATAAATGAATGATTTCTTTTATAAATTACAATGTACGGTATGTATGAAAGGGTTTCCTTGCTTTTTAACCAAAAAATTACATTTTAATGCCTTAGACCGAGTAAAAAAATTTGAGAAATGTGATTTTTTTTTTGAGTATGACTAGATATTTAACCTAACAGATAGGAAGATGGTCACAATGAATTGTTTAAGAAGCCTTAATAAAAAAACAGATTTATGTTTTTTATAACAAACAGTCAGAGTAACACTGGATAAATCATGTGCAGCCACTGACAAATGATTTTAGCTTTGTCATCTGTAACACGTGTATACCCAAAGAAATACTGTGCCAGTACCTGACACAAGGGCATTTTTTGCTTCTCTTTACATGCATCCTGGTTTACTTCTGTACATGTAAGAGAATATTTTCCTGGTACTTGTCTATAAATATAACAATCATACAGAATCTGCTGGGCAGGATTAAAGGAAAGATTAAAAGACTTGGTCCTTCATGTGACATGCTCTGTAAATAGTTCAGTTATTTAGATTATGGTCAGGATATTATGTATAAAAATAAAGTTCTCTTCACATACCACATCTAATACTAAGGAATAAAGAAAGTATTATTGTAATTTTTTTTTCTCAACCTAGTCACAGTATTTCAGATAAAATGAAATTCAAATTTGCTGATGCAAATCAAATCTAAAATGTACCTGAAGAAATTTCATTCCATGATTTACTTAAACATGTGTCTACCTCTTTCCCTCTTTAATTTCAGAAGTGTGATCAATTTTATATTTATTAGATTTCCTTGGGTATATTTTGTAAACTAGTCTTGGAGATGTATATGTTATGAGCCCGCTATGTGTCTTTGAAGATCCAGTTTGTTTCCATTTTTGAAATGAAATAGACTTGGTTCTGAGATGCAAAACAGAATAGTGTGGAGTGTACCTATTTTATTTGTGTAGTATAGTTAATAAACTTCATTTGGATATCTACGTGTACTCAGTTCGGCTAAATGAAAACAGACCATCCTCACTTGGACAAAGAGAAATGGAATTGTGTTATTTAGGCTTGATTGTATCAAGCTTTTATTTAATTTGATAATTGTTAAATACAGATGTGTCGTTTAATCAGTATATGTACCTACACATATCTGAGATTCTGAATTGTTCTACATACGTTATGCTAATCTTTTGATACTTTGAAAAATAATTGTGATACAATATCCATGACATACTAAGTACTTATAAGAAACATATATTAAACTTTAAAAAAAATGTTTTACTACTTATATGAGCCCAGAAATAAATATTTATTTTAAAATGGTAAATTAAAACATATTTTTGTATACATTGAACAAAACAGCTTGACCATTAGCAATTGAATGAAAAGGTACACAACTTAAAACTTAAAGCGTTAATTCTTCAAACGTAGCATAATTTTTACATCTTTCTTTTTGCTGAATCTGTAGTCATGATTTGAGGGATGTTGTAATTTTTTTTATGCATAATAAAGTAGAATGTGGTTCATTGATGACAAATTGCATATTTTCATTGTTGTCTTTTGGTTTTAAATAAAAAAAGGAAGAGTGTAATCTGTTCTTTGTCTCTTGTATCTACTTCACAACATAGAGATAGCCCTATATGGATACTAAGTACAGGGTTATTTTCGCCCCGTGTTAGCTGTTTCACCCTTTCATACTTGCAAACAATTTCCCCCCTTTTAAATTTGCCAAATCATAGTTTTGTTTAAGAAATTTTACCGTGTTCTTTGAATTCGCCCTGTTTTAAATTTACCCAAATGAGGGTAGGGCGAAAATATCCCTGTATACGTTAGTAACCTAGCTTGCCTGTATACCTCGCATAAAGGGACAGCGATAGCCCTCTATGGATAGTAACCTTACCCTTACACCTTGTTTAAGGGACAGCGATAGCCCTCTATGGATAGTAACCTTACCCTTACACCTTGTTTAAGGGACAGCGATAGCCCTCTATGGATAGTAACCTTACCCTTACACCTTGTTTAAGGGACAGAGATAGCCCTCTATGGATAGTAACCTTACCCTTACACCTTGTTTAAGGGACAGCGATAGCCCTCTATGGATAGTAACCTTACCCTTACACCTTGTTTAAGGGACAGCGATAACCCTCTATGGATAGTAACCTTACCCTTACACCTTGTTTAAGGGACAGCGATAGCCCTCTATGGATTACCCTTACACCTTGTTTAAGGGACAGAGATAGCCCTCTATGGATAGTAACCTTACCCTTACACCTTGTTTAAGGGACAGAGATATCCCTCTATCATGCATATAGTTACCTTGCCTTTGTACCTTGTATAAAGGGACAGAGATAGCCCTTTATGTATAGTAACCTTAACTGTATATTTTGTATAAAAGGGAAGATATACCATTATATGGTTACCTGACACACCTCAGTGATTGTTTACACAGTAACAATTATACAGTATCCTATATTGCAGTTCTCAATGACAACAATTCTATACCCATATTACACAGTCGTGGTAGCTAGTGTAATGTCTAGTGTAATGTTTTCAGGGTTCATATATGGGATTCGGCTATTCTATCTGAACTATACAATTAAGTATAATTTAAAGATCTCAATCACAGATTTGAATCAACAATATGAATCCCTCCCTATTCTCAGGAGGGCATGCACCTTCCAAGGCTTGAAGCGCATTCGCTTCTGACCTTCAGCCAAAACAGCGTAATACAGTATTTATATATTTTATATACACTAACAAAGTCCCGAAAGCTTATTGCAGGCAGTAAGACTTTTTTCAGGTATCACTACCTTGACGTTTGGCTCCATTCTTCAATGAAGTCTCCTCACAACAGCCGTCAGCTACCAACTCACTTGTCAACCCAACTGTCTCAGTATATATATACACCTTTTAGGTCAGGTGACCTACTGAGAACCGAAGGTTACTAATTAACAAAGAAACAGGAAGTTATCACAATGCAGCTTCCGAGAATCAGAGGGATAATTCGATCTTGATTAAAACTTCGCTTCAGTAGTGTAATGGTTATTTTCCTGATCTTGACAGATAGTATCCTTGTCTTTTAATACAAAGTGCCTTGCCAGTTACCCCTCAATGTTAACTCGCCAGCTTACCCCAAATAATAATAATCTTTGATAGAACTTTTACTAGGTCATTAAGGGTCTGTAATAAAAGCAATCTCCCTCAAAGTAACCAAGTCAACTCCTTGAATTTATTTTGTTCTAATGTATAGCTTCTTGTCATAGGTCAATGTCAAGGAATTGTGTCATTAGGGAATATTCCACAGAATTAGATACAAATGTATTTCCAGGAAGACACAGAAAATCAATTTTAAAATGCATTGCAGTCTTGCTGAATTCCTGTCCTATTTGATTACACCTGACAAAGCCCAAGTGGCAAATCTGTAGAGCTTACCGAATGACAGCTTTCTACTTTTATAGTGGTATATCTAATTCTTTACAAATTCAATATGTACTGTTTATTTCTCAAAAATAATGAAGTTGACAAGATTTTAGAATGAAGTAATATTTGTAAACTTAATTTTAAGTTAGTAAACTTGACCTTAGATTAGTGATGACAAACTATTTACTGATTTTCCCTTCAGATGAGAGTTTGGAAAAAAATCATTTTAATCTGATTCAGTCCATTTCTCTATAAAAGTACACATTTTAACCTTGCCAATCTTCTAAAAGTGGATTTATGATTTCCTGTATCTCCATTCAGTTTTAAAAGCCCAAACACAATCAGATGGTACAGATTTAAAATCCAGATTGCTTTCTTTTTAACCAGTCACATACTAAAAGTGACCAAAGTCCAATAAATGATGTTACATACATTATCTTTATTAATTTTTTTATTATAATGTTGCAATTACTTAAATGATACATCCATTTTACAGCCTGTGCCATTGTCCATTTACCAGTAATGTAATGAGTGCTAAATGAGTCTACATCCTTCATACCCAATTTATTCATTCTTTTTTTGATTAAAAACAAAACAAATAATCTTATCGATATCTTTAATCTTTATGTTTACATTTCATGATAAAACAGACCTATCAAGTCTGATAAACAATAATGATGTTCTCAATCAAATCTAAATAATGCACTTATCACAAAAACAAATGATTAGACAAAATCTCTCTGGACAGATAAAATCAAGATTTACTTGCTTACTTTTGAGCACCTATTCCACAGAACATTGACTGACAAATAAAGAGATCAAAATAAAGTAAGAGATACATGTACATTAGTTAGGCTAAGAGTTCATCGATTTCTCTCAGCAGGTCATCTTCGTCCTGAGTGATGACTTCTTCTGAATCTTCCTCCCCGAGATCTAACCAGCTGTCTGACAACAGCTGCTCCGTCCTCTTCTTCACTGGACTTCTATAATGTATGAAGGAAAAGTTTTCTAATAGACTGAGTCATTAAAACAAATTCATACATGGCTAATCCATTACTTAAATTACTCACTACCAATAATTAAATGCACAGAATATTTAAATGTACATGGTACACATTAATTGCACATTGACAAAAATCTATCACTTACATCTCTTCCTTTTCAGATGTATTCCCTCCCGTCTCAGAATTTTGTCTTTTTGTTTTGAGTAGAACAGGTTCCGTAGATTCTGAGGCATGCTGGGAACTGACAAGATTGGAATTCTGGGAGTCCTCTGAGATGGCCGTGTCACATGACTTGGTGGTGTCCTGAGTGGACTCGTCCACGCTGTCCGTGTGTTTGTTTTCTTTGGAGTCCTTTTTCTCTTTCGAGGCCTTGTGTTTCTTCCTCCACTTGGACTTCTTTTTGCTGCGGTGATGATGGGAGTCCATGGACTTGACAGGACTGGCTGACGCTCCGGTGATCATCTGCGCCATCTTCAACACATCCGCTGGGGCCTCATTGCTGTCCTCTGTGGATATTAATGATAACTATATAAACCACTCAGATTCTTAAGTTAGTTTGTGTTTCCATACTTAAAGACTATTGTGAACAACATGCACATGACTGTATAATATTTAGTGTCAGTACTAAAACTCATTTGTCCAGTCTGTCGTTTTGTATCTCTACCTGTGTTTTCCTGAGGGAATTCCTCCACTGAGTTCTTTCTGGCTGACTTCTTTTCTGACAATCGTTTTTGTCTCTGACTTTTGGCTGCCATGATTTCAGAGAAAGTCTTCACTTCGATGTCATTAGAGTCCTCCTCTATCAGGCCTGACTCACTCTGTAGATTACAACAGTAGAATATAGATATAATTAAAGATAGAAATGTCAAGATTCTGTGAAAATCACTTATCTTTGTTGGGGTTTACATTCATTATTTTCAAGGCATGAAGATCGAGACCAACAAATTTATGCCCACCACAAAATGTAAAACGTCAAATATGTAACTACTCAGTAATTCTTCATCCACCAAATCCAATACTTGATTATGCTATTAATTCATTGTGAACATAAGGGCAGTGTACCCTGGACTAAGCATAAAACAAACCCATGGAAAATATTTTCCATATATTTTTAGCATTTCACCTGACCAAATATCTAAAATCAATGTAGTCTTAAACATCTAAAAATACATGGACATTAGATATCATAATTGAAAGAACATGTATGTTTCTGGAAAATCTCTGGAAAATTGCAACAAAAATATGTTACTCAATCAAACAACAAAGAATAAACACTTCAGAACTACTTGTTCTTCACAAACAAAAAGAGAAAATATCTGTGTAATTTTTCAACATACTTACCGGTACATAGAAAATACCATGAAACTCAATCTGTACAAACATACTGTATGTAGAAGACAACCATATGCAACATATTCATGGGTTGTCAAATATTTACAAGATTTATTTTTTCCGTAATTGAACAACTTGGTGACCTAAAAATCTAGCCCAGTTCCCGATACCTTAACCTGAAATAATTGTTACATTGATACTCATATATTTACATCCACTGAATATTTTCTCCTTTGTTTCTTAAAAAAACCCATTGCGTTAATCACTGCATGAACAACATTAGGCATGTAGCCTGTACAGATTTTTTGATCAGTGGCTGTTCCATCAATTAAATGTATAAAGACGTTTGCATCATTAATACAATAATTAATCTTTTTTATTCTACTTTAAATGATTATTTAAAAAGATATAAATATAAACAATAAAATGTCTTTCTTTGTTTGTTATTACTGGAATTAACGGTCGCAACGCTTACGCGGGTTATGTATTTTTTCTGCAACAGCTGCTTCCGTTAATTCCAGTAATAACAAACAAAGAAAGCATTTTATTGTTTAAATAACTACCTCAGTGTAATTAATTCTTCCTCTCTTGTCTCCAGAATCTAAGCCAAGTGCTCCTACAAACACAATCATAACCATCAATTTAATAACTGGTAATATAAATCTTGTGGCTTTTTTTTCAATAAGTAACAGTTTTCTTTCATTTATTTTTCAAGGTCCTAGTCAGTGACTCTGTAAAGACATCAAGACGAAACTCTAGCACATATCCCTAAATAACTAAGATTTCTCAAAATGCTGTTTAGAATCTTATTTAAACTAGAGGCCCATGGGCAACAACACACACCTGGGTCACTAATTGCCTTTCCGTTCTTCATATTTTATTCCAATTTTTTTGTTTTTTTGGCTCAAGTGAGCTTAACAGCAACAATTTTTTGCCACTTTGCCATACATATTTTTAGAATGCATAAATTCTACCTATTATAATGCACGTATTTCACATCAGGAGTTAGACATTTTATTCACGTACCAGATTTCTGTAATGCCGGGGGAACATACACCTTCCTTTCTCTAACCTCCTTCTTTGAGCCTTTTGATAATTTTTCAATTTGAGCCAGGAATTTATCTTCCTTTTTTGTTTCTCTGTTTTCCTCCTCTTTTTCTGCTAATGAAATATATAAATTTTATTAAGTTGTATTTAAACAAACTGATAAGGCTATATGTAAATTATTCATGGCACAACAGAATTAATGCATATCTTAAAATACTTACTTTTACTCATTTTGACAACCTTTCCTCCTTTTATATCAATGATGCCAATTCCTAAACTATCAAGAGTTTCACCTAATAAAAACAGACAAATAGAACCTTAAGCAAACTACAATTTAAAGTTTTAACTCGTTTTTTTATCAAGCCCTTTTGCCGTAAAATGTGTCATATATGACATTAAAATTACAAAGTCTAATCATGTTTCAAAAAACCATGTTGTTCACTAACACAAAACTTTTTTTGTTAAATAAAAAATATGGATCTCATATACACTGTTTTCAGTTTTACATGTATATTATTTGTAACATATTAAAAGTTTTCAATCTTTAAAGGAAAATCATAAAAGTACTACTTAACTAGTTAAATTCAAACACACCTACAGGTTTTGATATATGACACATACTGGTAGGTTTTGATATATGACACATACAGGTAGGTTTTGATATATGACACATACCGGTAGGTTTTGATATATGACACATACCGGTAGGTTTTGATATATGACACATACCGGTAGGTTTTGATATATGACACATACCGGTAGGTTTTGATTTTCTGTTGCTCCAGATATTGTTCCTCATTTTCTGAGTTAGTAAATTCTGGAGCTGCTCTCCTGCATCCACTACTCTTTTTTGTCTCTTCACATGAGTAATGACCTCTTCTGTCACACTTGACTTCTCTGGAGATGACCTTGTTGATAGAGGTCGGTCAGGTGTGACCGGTCGGCTGGAGTCTGTGTCTGTCCCATCCTCTGTAACCTAGGCACGTAACAGAATAATAAAACACTATTAAATACCGGTAATTCAATTCTAGGAAATGCAGACTATTGACATGATACCAAGAATTCAAAAAGTACATTGTCAACACAGACTTGTTTACATCTGCTGCAATATTACACCTTGATTTATATAAGTTCCCTAAATATCATTGTAAAGTTTTGCATGTAGCAAATACATACAAGAGAAATTAGCTTCTAAAAACTTGCAAATACATTTACACACACTTTTCTAAAAAATAAGAAAACCTTTATAACACCGATATTGACAATCACCGTATAAATCCTGTTTTACCTTGGTTATTTTTCTCCATCCTCTCTTCCTTATTGAGGCTGTATTTAAAGGTTTGTCTCCAGAGTCATCTCCCTTATTAGGAATAGACAGAGTTATCTTTTCTATATTGTCCATCTTCTTCTGTTTCAACCTTTGACGAGCGTCTAACACAACTGTGTCATCACCAGGTGTGCCAAGTCGACTTTTTATGCCTATATAGAATAAAAGACAGTCCAAACATTTTAAAAATTGCATTATCAAACATCTTTAAAACATTTGTCACATTAAAAACATTCAACAACAAGACAGTTTTTTAAACTCTGAAATCAACTGATATTACATGCACTCTTTTGTACATGTTTGAATATCATATTTCATCTTCTTATTGAAATAAACATATTCATCAGTGCCTGGAAAGGTCAAGCAACAGATGGGGGTTGGTCCCACTGTCCATAAAATTATGAGGCCATTTTGAAATTTAAGGGTCTTAGAGGAAATAACTTGGTTACAATTACCCAGAAATTGCAATTTGCGAACATTAGACAATCCCTACTTGTGACAGTTTTGATGGTGCCCTGATTTGAACTGCCCACAGTTGATGTTAGCCTCTTTTTGACTGATGGCTCTTTCTCAACTGGACTTGATTCTCTGGTGACCTCTGTAATTCTGCCTCCCAATCGCCTCTTTAAACTTGCTTTTAACACTACATTTAGTAAGAACATTCATTTTTTTTATTTATATTAGAAATATCTAGTTTCCCTGATTTGTGTTACTTTTAATTTTCAGAGTATCAATATCACATTATAATTTTTTATTCACTGACCTGGAGTCTTTGCATCTACTTCATCTTCAACAACAATTCGTCTACTTTTACTGCCTTCTGAAATTTGGAAAATAATTTTAATATGAAACAAAATACATGTTTTACTTAGAATCTTATAATAATTTTACAGAAAAAAAAATAATCAAAGGTATGCATTAGGATGTTCAAAACATACAGATATAATACTAATATTGTTTACCTTCAACTTGAGGCAGGTTAAGCGTACTGTCTGAATTTGACCCCATTTTATTTTCTACAAAGAAAGATACAGATAATGGAGCCATTTTAACACAAGAAAAATTGTTATTCTTGATGAGGGCAAAAAATGGTATAGTTTTTACCTGTAGATATAAATGTCCTAGTGTCTTCTTCTATTTCATCTGGGGCAAATAACTCTATCGGTTCCGGTTCAATAAGGTCATCCTCCTCTTCTTCTGAGATTTCTGTGGAACAAAAACATCAACCTTACAGACAAGCATTAAACAGGTAAAAGATTATTTCTTATGGCTGTTCAATCATATGTAATAAAATGAAAGCATCCAAAGGATTAAATCAAAGTCCTGAAGGGCCTGCGAGTTGACTCACTCGAGTTAATTGAGCTTTTTCATACATCTGGACGCCATACCTTAAATTTAGTTTATTTTGCATCTTAAGAGATTGAATATTATATGTCTCCATGTTCGGTTCAGAAACAAGGTGCATATTGTTTTTCCTTTATATACCGTAATTTCGGGATTATAGGTCGATGGGGTATATAGGTCGAAAGGCTCATTTTCAGCCTAAATTTTTGAAAAATCCTAAGATAGGTCGAACTTACTACATAGGACGAGGCTTTGTTTCCCGTTTTCTAAAGATTCTTACGCAGATACAACGTACCAGAACAGGTAAACCCCTAAAATTGCCGGGGTTATTCCGTGACATGAACGTATCAAGAAAACAAACAGGTATTTTAATGAGTACAGCAATTAAATAAAGTTTTTTTAAAAAAATGTAGTTAAAACTTCTTTGAATTGTGTTACTACTTATTTTTCTCTAAACTGCCTGTTCAATGCCTCCGTAGTTTCACACTGTTGTTAAATCAGAGGCATAAATAACATTTGAATACGTTATTATTTTACAGCTATAATTCGGGAAATACCCGAGACCGAAGAATAGTAATTCCGATTTCAGAACAACTTGGACACATTCCTAATAAATTTTATTCAGACATTATTTACCGGTGGACGACAATTACTTCGATGTCCGCCATTTTTATTTTTCTTCTCCAGGGATTTGCTAAAACACGCAAATGACCATTGATGTGTAACACTAATACCCTATTACAGCACGTGGGTTTGTTAATCCTGCCCCGCAGGCATTTAAAACAACACAGGTGTTAAACACCTTTGCGTACACAGTGTAAATCCCTTTATCTGTCAGACAATTAAAATTCTGTTAGAAGCCAATCTTTGTATACCGGTAATTCAATGTACTTCTTGTGTACGAAGAGGTATTATAATTAAAGTTTTAAAAAAAAAAACAGTAATGACTCGCGTTTTTTTTTTTTTGGTAATTAAATTTAGGAATGGAATGGCAACAAATTATTTCACTCATTTTACATTTAAATAAACATAAGACAATAAAAAATATTTAATATACTATTTCAATTTATCGCTACTAATAAATGGTAAAAACACTAGTTGTTATCGTGAAAAATTTCCGTATTTTAAATTTTGATACGGTTGCGGTTTTACTTTTAGTACACGATCGCGACTTCCTAACTTCACAAGATGGATACCGCATGATGTTAATGGATAATACATTGAGGAATTATTTAATAGATGAAGCAATGTTGTTTTCCTTGGTCATCAACGGATAATTAATGGAACTTATTTTGTAAGAAAGCTATAGAATAAATATTTTATTGCTTAGCGGGGCATTAATTTTTTTGCAAAAAATAATCAAAGTTACAAAAGTGGCACAAATTTGCTTTGAAATTGACGTAAATTTTACTGATTTGGGGGCATTTTTCGTAAACTCGAGCCTTAAATAGGCCGAATTCTGAATATTGGTCGACCCAAGCGGTTCTGAGAAAAAAAGTATCGACCTATATTCCGTAAATTACGGTATACAGGTTGGCACTAATGGGCTTCCGTACATATTATTGTGAAAAGCAGCACTGCAAACCTCGATTCTATAATGAATTTAAGCACACTAGCTGCAGTGGTCAGTGTTATGGAGTAATTAGTTTAAAGATTCCCACATTAAATCTAGATTCCAAAATATATTTTTAAAGCACACTAGCTGAAGCTAATGAGAGCAGCAGGTGTTTGTGTTAGGGAGTACTGTAGATCACTTATTTTTCGCAACACCTTATTTTCACGAGATAGTCATTGACTCCATATTAGCGAGACAAAATTTTCACGAATTGTGGTTATTGCTCTATATAATCTTAAGGAATACTATTATACACGAGAATTAAATTTTCGCGAGCACACTGTCTCGCGTAATTACGCGAAAATAAAGTTCTCGCAAATAAAAAGTGATTTACAGTATTCTAGGTCAATTATAAATAAACTTCAGATGGGAAGATTAGATCCACCTAACATGCTTGAACATATATTCATATGCAGTAATTGTACATCATACAGATATTTAATCAAAAATTTCTTTAAAAACATGAAGACATAAATAATGTAACAGTATGAAATTTTATACAGTTTTTACCTCCTAAGTTTATACAATCACTCAAACAAAAGCTTTTTTGCTAGAACTATCATATTTGGCTTAAGGATCACCTTGATGAATGCGTGACAAATTTTAAGCTCTGAAACGGCTGCATCAACAAGGAGTAGCTCGCTACGCGAGCCAACTCAAAAATCATTAGAGGAACAAATTCACATAAAATTTAAATATATCCTCATTTCAAGCAGGAATAATGAAAAGAAGGTATAGGAAAATGGAATGTAGCATATTCATCTATTCTTATTTACAGATCAATCATTTGATTAACTACTATTCAACTGATTAAGGCCAGTCATGTAACATGAACAAAGTCCCCTGATACCCTTTTCTTCCTCCTCCTCTGATTCATCACTTTCCTCCTCCTCTTCCTCTTTTTCCTCCTCCGATTTCTTACCGTCCTCTTTCTGATCCTTCTCCCAGTCAGCTGTGGAGCAAAAAACACAAAAGTAATCATTCTTATAGCCACTCTCACACACTGGATACATCCAACAACAATACCAGCTCTGACATAATTCAGAGTAAGACAACTCTTACCTATTTTGACAATCTTTCCACCTTTTAACTCCATAAGTCCCATAGATCTCAGGGCTTTCTCTCTCTGGATTTGTTCTAGAGATTTAACTTCTACATCACTGTTCTCATCTGTAAATGTCACAAAGTTTTATACTACCTGTATGTACTGTCATCTTCATTAGCTTCTATACTTATTTCATTAATAAATTAACTTTTTGATAAATGTAACAAATTCATGGGGGAAAAAAAGAAAATGAAGATTTAATTAACCTGAATCATCAGGTGATGATTCTTCTGAGTTTGGAGTCTGTTGTTGTTGTTGTTGTTGCTGTTGTTGACTGGTGCCCAGTCGGTTCTTCACTGATGTCTCTGCTTTGTTTACACCTAGCCTTGCTTTCACAGAGTGCTGTTGACCTGTGTTCGAGTTTCCTAGTTTTAACCTCTCCTTCACCGACTTCCTGTTTTCTGTCGGTGGATTCTGATTGGTCAGTCTGCTTCTGATATTTGATTTACTGTCTGGTACAGCTCTTTGTTTCTGTACATTGGAAATCAGTTGCTGTGTTTCAGGAGGACGTTTTGGGATCAGATTTCTTACTGGTTTGTCTAGTACAGCTGTTCTGTCCCTGATGATTGTTTTTACTGGAGACACCATTTCAACATCTGAATCTAAAATAAGGATAAAAAATCATATTTAACATGAAAATATACAAACTAAGGTATCCATCAATTTCTATCTTTTAAATTCACAACAAAGGTTGATTTTGATACAATGACAATGTTTCTGAGAGATCTGTAGCCATGTTTACCTTCAGCCAGATTCACCACAATGGGCTGTACCTCTACCGCCTCAACATCTGGAGTGGCAGGGGATTCTGTCTGAGGGACCGGAGCTGTAACAAAATAAAACAAGATTCACATGTACATGTATAGAAACATATGTTGGTTATGACGAAATAAATGTTTAATCAAAACTCATATACAAAACAAACTGGAACAAGAGATGTTTTTAAAACACTTATGCCCCCCTCCCCCCAAATTGGAATTTTTCCAAGTCCAAGGGGCAAAACTCTGTCAAAAATGGCATGATTGTACCCAAAACAGAACTTGACCTAGATATTCATCTGATAAATCTGTATACTAAATTTCATCTCAGTATGTGCAACGGTTGTAAAGAAAATGAACGGAAACTGCAAATAATTGGTATTTTTCTAAGTCCAAGGGGCATAACTCTGTCAAAAATGGCGCGATCGTATCCGAAACAGAACTTGGCCTAGATATTCATGTGATATATCTGTATACCAAATTTCATTTCAGTATGTGCAACGGTTGCGAAGAAAATGAACGGAAACTAAGTGGACCGACGGACCGACAGACAGCAGCAAAGCAATATGCCCTCCCTTCTTCGAAGGGGGGCATAAAAATGCACCAAAAGCTGACTGTTATCATTAAACACATATTTCTTGACGTTTCAAATTTCACAGAATTCACGGCACCTCATATACAGAACTTAAGAAATCCAGGAATGCAAAATAACAGGTGCATCCTTCAAAACTGAAAGCCGGCTACCCCAACTTACAGTTTAAAATAATTTGATTTCAGTTTACTTTTCATGATAACGTTTGCTCAATCCTCTCTGTTACCAGAAGCTACTCAATTGTAAATTACACTGTATAATTTACCTCAATATGTGCATGTGACATATATCAATACATGAGCTGAGTAGAAGAGGGGGACAAAATGATAAAATTAGATAATTATTATATATTTACAAACCAGAATTCCAGTGGACACTATAGGACACTATAGGAACACTATAGGAACACAGCCATCATGCTTACCTTCGACAGATGTGATAGAATCTGGCTGAGGTTTTACATGTTTGAATGGACAAGCTGCTTTGGTACAGCCGATGGGCTGTGTTTCCCAGTAGCAAGGAATCTCGGCTCTGTTTTTGGTCTGAATAAAATTGAAAAGCAAGAAACTTAAATAAATCATTTTGTTATCACTCTGATAAGAACTTATACATGTATATAAGTACACTAAGTTTTCATTAAATATAGGACTTTCTCAGAACGTCTGTATGGAGTTTAGGTTGCATTACCTGTGGGACAACCTCTGAATGTCTGTATGGACAGTTGGGTTTTATGCAGGTTTTCTGTCTCCAGAATGTACAAGTAACATCATTGGCCTTTGCTGCCTCACAATGTCTAAAAGGGCATGTATCTCCCTAAAATTATACAAGGTCTCAATTATCTTTTCTTTATCGCAATGATGAAAAGAAAAATTCTTTCATACAGTTGCTTATAAATTCTCTTTAATCTGGACAAGTTTTGTTTTTTAAATAAGTTTAACTGTTACAATAATAATATTGAAAAATTTTTCACTTCACAGCCTTGCAAGGTTTGCAGCTTGCACATATATATATCTGACCTTCAGGCAAGTTGCGTTGAAGTAAAAGTGGCAGTCGCTACCAAATGCAGACATCTCTTTTTCTGATTATACTTTGTTTTTCCTCCTGAATGCAGTCAATAAATCTGAGATGAGTATCAAGAACTTAGAAGGAATTCCACAGAGAAGTTCCAATGGACTGCCCTATGTTTATCCTCACCAACCCTAGTACTTAACCTCTGAAAATACATAACATAACTAATCATAACAAATCAAATACAAATTGAACATGCATATAAGAATGAAAATAATCACAATATTTCCAAACAAAAGGCCCAGGGGCCAATTTTAAAACTAAATGCATGATGTTTATCTTTGAGTTCTTTTTCATTTAATTTTGGCCTTTATTTTACTTCATTGAGATGCAGAACTTTAACAATGTAACATTAAACTGATACATACCTTATTTTTAATTTTGATGTTCCAACACTTCTCCTGATAAGAGAATGGATATTTCCAAATTCATCTAAACCTTACACAACCAAACTGGATTTTAATCTATTTTTGCCTCCACAAGAAAAACACAATCAACAAAATTACATATCTAAAAAGCAGTTTTTCTCTCCCATATATGGAATACACCTTTCCTTTAGCATGTTTAGAAGTACACTAAAACAGAAAGATGGAAAAAGAGCACAGACTCATACTAAACCATTGATAACAAACAGTTGTAGATGGATACAAGAGGGAACAGTTCATTGAGATTGGGAAAAGCACAGAAAAACAACAAAGGGGTATACAGAAATTTAAATTTTAAAACCACAACCATTGCCTTGGTATGAAGAGTGATATCTTGATCTATACATCTGTCCTGGTGAACAAATTAACATGTCAATAAACACTTGGTAAAAGGTTAGAGAAAAAGGAAAGCATATCAAACCATATGTCTCTGATCAAAACAGATAAATAATTGCATAGATGTACCTAGATGTTGTGATATGGATATTTTTATAAGTAAGTATTTAATGGTTTTCAATTTTCATTTCCTTAATGCATGTACCAGAATGAATGTAGAAAACTTGAGATATAAATGGATTGATTATGTGTATGTTGTTCCCATTTGAAAATTCTTCACTCATGTAGATGTCACCAATCGACAAAGGGCTTCAAATTTTGACCTTCACCCAGCACTCAGGGCCAATGAGCAGTAAGGGATCTTTATCCTGCCAATGCCTGCTGTGACACAGGACCTCAGTTTTATAAGGTCTCATCCTAAGGACCCCAAATTTCACTTCAAGTGCATGGCAAAGGAACAGTTTTTACCCATTTTTTATTGACTTAGGTCAGTTTTGACCCCAATTCAAACTCTTGACCTCCCGATCACAGAGCGAGCGTTCTACCAACTGGGCTACCATGAATGGTCAGATATGAAATGAAATCCTACAACTGCAACCTTTATCCCCAAAAACCTTCCTGGGTCATAGTCTGTAGGTGGTGTCAATAATGACAAATGTCTTATAGAGGAAGAAATGGGGAGAAACAACCTTAGTCTTTCACGATAGGAGTCAATTGCTTCATAACCTGCACACTACAATAAATGCAGTGACCTACAGCTACAATACGTTCAAATGTAGGTTAGCTTTCAATATCCCCCCCCCCCCATTTAAAAAAGATATAAAATGAGGAAACATCACTCACCAAAATATTCTTATTACAGAATTACTTTTGAAATTTTATCATCTTTCAAATTGTCGAAATAAATTAAGATATTCCAAGTTCAATATTTGAATTTGAAAAATAAAGTTAAGTTATAGCATCTCTAAAACCTATGTTAATCATGTAAAAGCTAGATTTGTTCCTTATGAATAATGAAGACTTTCCAAACAGAAATAAAACGTCTGCAATATAATAAAAATACATGTTGTGACTTTTACTCTTTTGAAAAAAGATCACAGTGTGATTATTACTGATTCAGAAATGGAAGACAAGCAATATAAATATTCATCTAGTAACATTACATCACCAAAATATTTTCACCAAATTTATGCCAAAATCTGGTTCAACAAAGATGGCCAATTTTCTCTACTTTCAGTTTACTAACTGATCCCTGATTAACTGACAATATGACAAGAAAGACGTGTACATAGAAGACAACGAAATCGTCAAAAGATGAAAATGGTTTAGGCAGATGTTTACAATAGATAAAAACAAAAATAAACTATATTCCAACTAAAGTTTCCTCACACCTTTATCCTTTGGGAAAAATATGAAGGAAATGACGTCATAAATTCATAAATATTAGGCAAATAAAATTTTCCGGATAAATGCATAATTTGTTGATTGTTTTGTTTTATTTTCTTACATTGCATTCGAATCGGTATGTATTTGTATTTAAAATCTTGACCATTTGATATATTTATTTAAAAAATATAAAAATCTAACAAGCGTTATTTAAGATGTTTTTATATTTTCGGAATTAAAAATGCTGTAAGAGGTTGGTTTCAAATAGAATCAACCAACATGGACGAAGTTGATCCTTCTTGCAACCCTGTGCAACCTTTACTAGAGGTATTTGATATTTATTAACCTTTAACTTGTACAAGACATGTTTACGCGTGAAGGGAAAGTACCAGCACATTCTTTGAAACTTGCAGATAGCTGCAATACGTGTTCAATTAATCTTTTGGAAGATGAACATAGGCAAAAATTTCGAAATCGTAAGGGTAGAGCATAGACATGATAAAGCAGTTTTGCTTTATGTCTATAGGGTAGAGCTTATTATCACTCTTCCTTTAAAAGGAAAGAAATTATATAAATAAGCAAAAGACAACAAAATATCTTCTAATACTTCTGCATATTCATTGTTTTCCTTATGAGAAGAAAGGTGCAGGTGGAGATGAGAGCCATGCTGTCAAGAGTGAACCGAGAGTGGACCTGCAGCCGGGCCAGGAGGACTACAGTACATACGATATTGTACGAGCAGTTCAGTTCGGGGTCATGGCACGGGTTTATGAACTGGTGGAAGGTGGGCAGGATGTCAACGAAATGGACCGAGAAAATGTCAGCCTGTTACACTGGGCAGCTATCAATAACAGATTAGACATTGTCAGGTGTGAAATGCCATGTCATTAAAACTATACACGTTAAAAAAATGCCATTTTTTATGTGGAAAAAATAATAATAGTGAGTGCAGCTCATAACTGTGAGCCATCACTGCAAGCTTACAAAGCAACACATTGACGAAGAGAAGATTCAGACTTTTCACATTGATCATTCCTGCAGTTACCTAATGGTTGCACCATCAATATATTATGATTTGGGAAACGATGTGCAAAAAATATCACTTTTTTACAAAATTTTACTGAATAAATAGTATTAGCATAGTTATCGAGCAAACTGCATGCATGCATTTAACATTTCTGCATTTTCATAAATATTGATGAACATTGCCTGTACACAGAAAATCATGTATGACATTTTAAATGGCAAAAATGCTTTTCACATGTCAATGAATTTTTAAGTGTATTTGCTAGTGCTGTGCGATATTACCGGTTAACCGGTGTATCCCGATTTTTTTCTTCACAATACGTATCGCGGTATTTTTTTGTGAATACCAGTTCGGGTTCAATATGCTATAAGTTGTTATAAAAAGAGTTATTTGCCCTTTTCAAGGTAAAATATGGCGGCAAGCGACGTGAAGTGTGATCAGAAATGAGAGACACATCTCTGTCAGAAACGAAAAGACAACTGTTACATGAAACCCCTTCATGTTAAAGCCGATTCTGAATATTGCAACTTGATTCGTCAAGTTGTGCCACAAAAAACAGCTTGCCACTTGACACAACGCGACAGAAAATCATGAATACATGTAACATTTTATTTGACATTGGCAAAATTTATTAAAAATTTTATATTGTGATATATTGCAATACAAAATATAATATTCAATATATGAATTTTCGCGATACCCAGCTCTAGCATTTGCAGAGGTTTTACAATTGCATTACATAAATTGATTAAAGTTTTAGTAAGATTCTTTCAACACCTCTGTGCTGTGTAATTTTGAAATTTGTAATTTTATATTGTAGATATTTAATTTCAAAAGGGGCCATTGTTGATAAATTTGGAGGTGATCTAGATTCCACACCTTTACATTGGGCAACAAGGTGAGTACAATAACAGAGATGGTGAAATGTGCTTGATTGCCAGCCATTTTCAGTACTTCATACATCTTATAGTATTACATGTCTGATAGAAGGTAAAATAGTACTTGATAATTTCTTGGAGAGGGGTGGGTGTTAAAATTATTTTATTAATAAAATGATTTTAATAAAATTTATTCTATTTATTAAAATCATCCCGGAAACCATAAGTTAGATTAATATTCATTTTTTAATTGTCAATTAGGATATTGAAGTTGATTTTTTTAACACTATTTATGACATTAGAAAGCTATACATAATAATATTATTTCTTCTTTCCGTTGTAAGACAAGGACATATATCTATGGTTGTTCTCCTTCTGGGATTTGGCGCAGATCCAACTTTACGTGATGGACAAGGTACGCTATGGAACAGATCTAAACCCTTAATTTTCTATTGTACA